AGAAAGTTCCGTAGCTGCTGTGTGAAGAAGTACTTTATCTGTCCCGAATCTTCCAACGTGATGTTTCATTGGATGCCCAGGAGTTCTAGCGTTAGGAGAAAGGGAGAAAAATGGGGCCCACTTTCTCTAGGACATGCATAATTTTATAAAATTATCATGTAACCTCTTACATGCCTTTTCTCTAAACCAAAAAGTCCCCAAAGCCCATTTCCTCATAGGTAAATCACTCCATCCCCTGGATCATTCTGATAGCCCTTTTCTGAACCATTTTCAATTCTACAATATCCTTTTTGAGGTGAGGTGACTAACATTTTGACTTCACTCCCAATGGCACACTCCTCTATTGTCTCCCAATTCCTGATCCTCAAGAGATCCTCTCCTCTTCTTCCTTGACTGCTAAGCTGACTCAGGAGTCTTTGGTGAGGGACTTTGTTGAAAGCTTCTCAAAAGTCCAAGTACACTATGCCAACTGAATTATCTATCTATATTCTTGTTGCCGGAGGATCCACCTCTCTGAGCCAAAAATAGTTCCAAAAGAGCTTCACCAGTTCCCTTGACTCTGTCCCCAGTGGATATGGGGGTCAAACCCAAGGAAAGCTCCATGTGCAGACAGAACAGAAGGGTGCACTTGCTTAGACACTTTCGGTGCCTCATGGATGGACTCTTCCACCCCTATTTTTTCTAAAGTGAAGCCTCCATGTTGCTAGCCAGGCCTTTGCCCAGAAGCATCCTGACCCAGGCAGACTGTCTTCCAGCAGGAAGGGTGTGTTTGTGTGTGGCCTTCCACACTCTTGTCAAAGCGCACCTCCTTTGGGTCTTGCCCTGTCAGCCTGGTCCTCAGGAAGAGTCTTTACAGAGGGTGGTGAAGACAGCGCATGATATCATGGGCTGTCCCCTGAGCTCGCTAGATGACATCACAAGGGATCGTTGCCTTAGGAGAGTGAGAAAAATCCTCAGGGACAATTCACACCCCAGCCAGCACCTCTTTAATCTTCTACCCTCGGGCAGGAGACATAGAAGTATAATCAGTAGTACCAACAAGCTAAAAATCAGTTTCTATCCGTGGGCTGTTAGGCTGCTGAATGGAAAATAATATAGTGCAACTGACTTTCGGGGTTGGTGTGTTGTGTGACAAGTACACAGAGTGCAATGAGATTGAGTGTTTGTACATTGACAATAAAGGTATTATTATTATTATTAAGCTGCCCTTTGCATCCCAACAGACAAGCCGCTGTGCTTGTTGTGGCGCTGCTTCCACCCACGTGTGTTGCTTGGCTCACCAGTGCCAGCATGTCTGTGTTATCAGCAACTGTTTTGTGAAAAACCAGTTAACTATGCACCTATTACCGCCTGCACTTCTCTGCATTTCATTTCCCTCCAATCCCACTCTTTACAATGCACATGTAGAGAGGAGAACGTTTCATGAATCCAGGGAAGTGAATGTGTCAGAGGATGGCTATCTCTGCTTGAACAGATTAACACAGAAACTGGTGACATTAGGATGTGTTGCATCTATTTCCCCTTCCAGACACTGACTCGGGGGAAACCCACTGGCCCTTCCCAGAGAATGGTGGCCTTGTGATGGTCTGAAGAGGGTCCCCTCTTGTGCTGAATGCCCCTTCACAAAGTTTGGAGAGATTCTTTGGGAGAGCCAGCATGCTGGGCTGGGCTACGACCTCAGAGACCAGGACTCAGCTGCCTCTTCAGCCATGGAGCTCCCTGGGCGACTTCGGGGCCAGTCACTGTCACTCAGCCAAACCTACCTCATAGGGTTGTTGTGAGGCTAAAATGGGGAGGAGGAGAACCACGTGTGCAACTTGAGCGCCTTCCAGGAAATGTTAAATATGAATGTAATAATGAATACACAGAATAAATCCTTCCTTTCTTGGTACTGCCTGGAATAACCCGGTGTTATCAGGAAATGGGTCCACATTGCTGCTCACCCCAATAGGGCAGATTTAGCCTTTCAAATTTCAGTGGTGGCCTGTGGGGAACATCCCCGCCCCTTGCCTTCTGTGCTGCTCAATTCACTATGCCATAGCTGAGATGCCCCGTGGCACCCCCAGGCTCAGCCAGTGGTGCTGCCCTTCATCTGCCTCTTGAGCAAGAAGGTTGCAGGAGCAGAGGCTGCAGAAGAGCAGGCCCAGTCTCTGCTGGGGGTGAGACTGAGCTGGTGGGTGAATGCCAGCATGGGTGGCCATGCTGAAGAAGAGGCTCAGGTGTCTCTCAGCAGGCTCTTTGCAAGTGAGGGCTGGTGCTTCCCGGTGTGGTCCCTGCCCAGGCCTGCAAGGCTGAACGGGGGTGGGGGTTGAAAGCCTCTGGGCTGCTTCCTCAGCCTCCTTGCAAAGACCTGCAAGCGGACGGGGAGCCCACAGCCCTGCAGCCTCGCAGGATGAAGGGAGAGAAGGAACAGCCCTAGGACCGGAGGGGAAGGAAGAATGGGGCGTGTGACCCACGCTCTCTCTCCAGCGAGGCATCTCTGTGGCGCAGAAGGCGCCTGACTGCTGGGACAGGGGTCACCTTTTGTAAGCCGCCTTGCAGCCGGAAGCTCCTCCTGGGGCGGAAGACGGGACAGAATAGAAAGGACGGGAAACAAAGTCCGTGAACAAAATTAATCTCGTCCAGCAAAAATCGTGGCGGCGGCGAGAAGGTGACCTACAAGACAGAACAAGCTCTGAATCCTTGCTTGCATCACGAGCCGATTCAAACATTGTCGATCGCATTCATTCATCAGTGAAAAGGTCACGATTGTTGCACTACGGTTTGTAACTGAGCGGAGGCTGGGGAGCTCAGCCCCCCGCCAGCCGCCGCACCAACCGAGGCTGCCACGATCCGGCGCAGAAAGAAGCCTCTGAGCATGTGCCGAGTGCCGCCTTCCTTCTCCCCGCGCGGAGGGTCTTCCTTTCGGCCGAGCGCATCGCGGCTCCGGAGCAGGCGCAGCCCCCGCCCAGGCTCGCTCCTTTGGGGGGGGGGGCTGCCGGGGCGCGCGCGGAGAGGGGGGCGCGCAGGGCCGCGGCGCAAGCGGGGCCGGGCAGGAGCGGGCGGGCCAGACGGCGCGGCTCGGGTTTCAGCGAAGCCTCGGCTCGCTCCATCCTCCAGCCCAGCCGAGCGCGGAGCCGTCGTCGCCCTCGCCTCCCACTTCTCCTCCTGCGGCGCCTGGCGCGGGGGTCTCTGCCGCCCCGAGGCAGGCCAGCCCCCCACCCGCGGCCGGAGCGCCAGGCGGACAGGCGGATGGCCAGGAGAGAGGATGCACGTAGGTGGCCGGAGCGCCCGGAGGCGCCGTCGCGCTGCGCCCCCTCCCCGCTTTGTCCCGCGAGCAGAGTAGGAGCGCGGGCGGGGAGGAGATGGGCGGGACCTCGCCGGGACCGGGCCGCGAAACGGCGAAACCTGCCCCCCCACACCTGGCCAGCCCCGCCCCGCGTGCCCAGCACCCCAAAGAGCGGCGAAAGGGCCAGAGCAGCCCCGCCCGGGCTTGCACGGCGAGGGAGGGGGCGACAGCCGAGGCGGGGGCTCCGTGAGGGGAAGGGGGGCGTCGGGCTCACGTTTCACAGGCCGGGACTGGACCCGCCTCGCCCGCCCGGCTCCCCCCGCGCTCGGCGCTGGGCAAATTGGAAGCAGCTGCGGCGCTGGGGCGACTCCGCGCCTCCTGGTGCTCGGAGCGGGCTGGCCTGAGCCCCCAAAGCCACGGACACGACGGGACCCCCGAGGGCTGTGGGGCGGCCCCTCAAGGTGCGCGCGCGCGCGGGGCGAGATTCCCATGTGTCCTGCGGAAAGGAGAGCAAAGGTCCAGGGACATCCCCCCCCCCCAGCCGGCTCGCCCTGCTTGCCTTCCCGCTACTCCTCGCCTCGGGCACGCAGCCCGGGCAGGCCCCCCCCCGCGCGCTCGCTGGGTCTGGGGCGCGCGCTGCCCGGGGGCTTCTGGGCGTGGGAGCCGAGTCGCAGCCTTTCCCTGCAGCCGCAGCCCCCCTGCCCCGCTGGGGAGACCTTTCCGAGGGGGCGGGTCGCTCCTCCACCGCGGGCCGGCAGGGGTCCGACGCCGCCGCTCGGGAGTGGACGGGGCGTCAGCCCAGGTAGAAGACGGCTTTGCTGGCCGGCTTCTCCCTGGAGCAGGGCGCGGGCGGCGCGGGGCCCCACCGTCAATCCCGGGGGCGCCCCGAGTGCCATCGCGGGGCCCCGACGAGCGGCAGCGGCGGCGACGCTTTCAAGCGCGGCCAAGTATGAGCTCAGCCCATCATTGCTTCCCGGCGGAGCCCGAATCCTGGCCGTGCCTGCGGGGCTCGGAGTCGGCGCCGCGGGACCCCCCCCCCGCCCCTACGCCCGAGGAAGGGCTGACCCGCTCCCGCTCGGAGCACCCGCGCCGCCCGCGGGACTGGAGCCAGCCCGGCCCCCCACCCCCCACCCCACCCTGCCGTGAGGAGCCGCTACAGCGAGGCGGAGCGAGCGGTGGGGCTGCAGCCAAGGAGCCGGAGGAGCCGGAGCCAAGGAGCCGGAGAGACAAAGGCAGGCGGGGGGAGCCAGCCAGGCAGCGAGCGAGCGAGCGAGGGAGCGAGCGAGCGGGGCGGGGAGCAGCCGCGACGGCAGCGGCGGAGACAAAGGCGGGCCGTGGCCAGCTCGCGCTTGCTGCTTCTTTCTTCCCTTCCTCCCTTTCTTCCCCGCTTCTCCTCCGCCTCCCGCCCGCGCGCCGCCTTTGTCTGTCCCGGTCTCCGATGGCAGGCAGGTGGGGTGGCCCCAGGGGCCCTCCTGACCGGGGCGTCGTTCCTGCGACGGCTGTGCCCGGGGCAGGAAGAGCTGGGGGCACGAGTAGCGCCACCGTCCCGCTCTCTTTTGCTACGGAAAGAGCGGCTGAGGGGCTCCTGCTCCCCTGAAGCCCTCGCGGGAAGAGCAGGGAGGGAAGGGGAGCTCCGCAGGGCCTGACCTGGAGCCACACCTGTCCTCCAACCCCGGTCCTCTGGTCTGCCCACTCCTCAGCCCCTGTTCTAGCCAGCAAGACCCACCCCTACCAGCCTGTCTTGCCAGAGGGGAAGGGGTCCTGGGCATTTGAGGGTGCTGGAAACGATTTTTTGGGTCTGGTCAGGAACATCCCCTTTCACCTTTCCTGCAGCACCCACCATTGTCCCCCTGCTCTGGGGTCTGATTTTCCCCCTTGGCCACAAAGACGGACATGTTTCCCTCACTGTCTCCTAGCCTGTTCTTCCCCTTCAGACTTGCTTTCTCTTGTGCATTCCTTGCAGGATTAAGGCGCTTGCTCAGCAGACAGAGGCCGGCCTTTGGAGGGCCTCTCAACCCTCACCAGCTTCCTTCGGAAAGGCTTCAGGGAGCAGCTAGACATGGCTTGGGTCCTTCTGCTGCTGCTGCTGGGGTTGCTGGCTGCCCTGGGGCAGGGCTCAGCCGTCCTGGGCACGCTAGACCTGCAGATCGATGAGGAGCAGCCGGCGGGCACCATCATTGGGGACATCAGTGCAGGCCTGCCCCCTGGCACCACGACTTACATGTACTTCATCTCTGCCCAGGAGGGCAGCGGTGTGGCTACAGACCTAGAAATTGATGAGAATACTGGCATCATCAAGGCGGCCAGGGTGCTGGACCACGAGAGCCGAGACCACTACAGCTTCATTGCTGTCACCCCTGAAGGTGCCACGGTGGAGGTCAACGTCCAGGTCAACGACATCAATGACCACGCGCCCACCTTCCCCAAGCAGCGCAGCTCCCTCCAGATCCCAGAGCACACCCCCCTGGGCAGCCGCTTCCCTCTAGAGCCAGCCTTTGACGCCGACAGTGGCTTGCTCAACACCCAGGGGTACGCCATCAAAGGGGGAAACGTGGGGCAGGCTTTCCGCCTGGAAATGCGCCGTGGGCCCAATGGGGTCCTCCAGCCGGAGCTGGTGGTGAGCAGCGTGTTGGACCGGGAGACGCGGCCCAGCTACACCCTCTTTCTGGAGGCCTATGACGGCGGATCTCCCCCCCGGAGCTCCCAGATGACCTTGGATGTGTCTGTCCAGGATGTCAACGACAACGCGCCAGCCTTCAACCAGAGTCGCTACCACACCCTCATCCCAGAGAACCTCCAGCCCGGCAGCAGCATCATGCGGGTCTTTGCCCTGGACGCTGACGAAGGGGACAATGGCGCCGTGGTGTACGAGATCAACCGCCGGCAGAGCGACCCGGAGCAGTACTTCACAATCGATGCCACCACGGGAGTCATCAAGCTCAACAAGGGCTTGGACTATGAGTTGCGGAAGGTGCACGAGCTTGTGGTGCAGGCGCGAGACAGGGCGGTGCACCCCGAAGTCTCCACAGCCTTCGTCACCATCCAGGTGCGAGACTACAACGACAACCAGCCCACGATGACCATCATCTTCCTCAGTGAGGATGGCTCTCCTCGCATTTCAGAAGGCGCCCAGCCCGGGCAGTTTGTGGCCCGCATCTCTGTCTCAGACCCTGACTACGGAGAGTACGCCAACGTCAACGTCTCCCTGGAGGGTGGCGAGGGCAAGTTTGCCCTCACCACCAAAGACAACATCATCTACTTGATCTGCGTGGACCAAATGCTGGACAGGGAGGAACGGGACTCCTACGAGCTGCGGGTGACAGCCACGGATGCAGGAACGCCCCCGCTGCGGGCTGAGTCAGCGTTTGTGCTCCAGGTGACAGACGTCAATGACAACCCGCCCCTATTTGACACCCAGGAGTATGAGCAGAGCGTCCCCGAGGTGGTTTACCCAGGCAGCTTCGTGCTGCAGGTGACGGCTCGCGACAAAGACCAGGGCCCCAATGGGGAGGTTCGCTACAGCATCCTGCACACCCACCACACCCATTCCCACTGGTTTGCCATCGATCCTGCCACAGGCATCGTCACGACGGCCTCTTCTCTGGATTATGAGGTTGATGCTCAGCCCCAGCTGACTGTGGTGGCCACGGATAGGGGCAAGCCTCCCCTCTCTTCGACCGCTGTGGTTCACGTGACCTTGCAGGATGTCAACGACAATGAGCCCCTCTTCGAAAGCAACTTCTACAATGTCTCCCTGAAGGAGAACGTCCCTCCTGGCACCTGCTTCCTCCAGGTGAGCAAGGGGTTGGGGAGGGACCTGGCCAGCGCACTTGGCGCAGGAGCAGCCAAAGTGGCGGCAGTACAAGCAGCCTGTCCCCCCGGTACCTGGCCCAGGTTGAGGTGCCCTGTGCTTGTCCATGGCTCCTGAGAAAGACAGATCTGGAGGGGGTGGGGTGCCCATGGGGGGTGGGCTGGAGTCCTTGACTAGTGTGGGGAATGAGCATCTCAAGTCCAACTGGCCAAGAGTCAGCCAGCCAGAGGTCTTCTCAGCAGCTCTGCGGTTCGTTGGAAGGGGACCACCTCTGTTGGTAATGGCAGCTCATTTGTGAAGGGCATGGCTCAGGGTTCAAGCGCCTGCTTGGCATGCAGAAGGTCCCAGGTTTAATCCCAGTGGCAGCTTCAGGTAGGCCTGGGAAAGAGAGTCCTGCCTGAAACCTGGAGAGCCTTTGCTGCCACTGTAGACGGAACTACGCCAGGCGGACCTCTGGTCTGACTTGGAAGATGGCAGGCTAGGCTGTTCCTATAATAGCAGGTCCCTTCTAGCCCCACATGCCTCCCTATCTGGAAGGGCTGCCACACTAAGGAAGGGTCAGTCATAGAATCATAGAATCATAGAATCATAGAATCATAGAGTTGGAAGAGACCACAAGGGCCATCGAGTCCAACCCCCTGCCAAGCAGGAAACACCATCAGAGCACTCCTGACATATGGTTGTCAAGCCTCTGCTTAAAGACCTCCAAAGAAGGAGACTCCACCACACTCCTTGGCAGCAAATTCCACTGTCGAACAGCTCTTACTGTCAGGAAGTTCTTCCTAATGTTTAGGTGGAATCTTCTTTCTTGTAGTTTGGATCCATTGCTCCGTGTCCGCTTCTCTGGAGCAGCAGTGGGAAGTCCTACCTTCCCACTTCCTGTCTTAGCCATTCCCCTCTCTCTGCCCGCCCTGTGTGCTCAAGAAGAAGGGACTGGATCAAGAGGAAAAGAATCCTTTCCTTGGCACGTTGGGGGACACAGACTGAGGCAGAGGCCAAAGTCCCAGGACGGGACAAGGAAGCCTCACACTTGCATAAGCCCCAGCAGTCTGCTGAGTGGAGCTCTTCTCCTCCTTGAAGGAGAAGCAGCCTGCAGCTGATGAGCTCCTGCTTCCTGCTCTTCTCCATTCCACAGGGCTGTCCATTGCAGAAACCTTGGATAGGAATAGGCTCACTAGATGGAGACAGTACTTGGCATGCAGGAAGCTCCAGGCTGAGTCCACAGAATCCGCCATGGAGGAGAGAATGAGCTCCACTGCAAGCCCCCTAGCAGCTTCTTTCCCTCGCAGGAGGCAGTGCAGCAGTAGATGGGCCAAAGACCCAACCCCCTTTTATGAACCAGGCCAGGAGATTTGCAGAGCAGATCTGCCAGGGTCCATCAGTCATACCCTCTGGCTGTCGCCAGGTTGGCTCTCTTAACCTTGGAAGAACCCCATTGCAATTTGGATCCTCCTGGGATCCTTTCGGGGGCTCAGCTGCCTTGAGGTGCCTCAGGCGATGCCAGCTTAGCTTCGTGGAACAGAATCCTGCTCCTCTGTAACAAGGCATCCCTCCACCCACCCCACCACTCCCCATGACAGCAGCTGAGTATCTGGAGTGCAGGGGGGGGGCAGCAGGCAGCTGGCCAAGAGGAGGCAAAGGCCCTCTCCCTTGCAGCCCAAGGAGGGCAGGATGGGGTGGGGAGTATCAGAGCCAAGCTCTGCCAGTGCCTCTGACTTTGGGGGCACCAGCAGTGTTGCATGTGCTTGGTTTGAAGAAGGGGTGTGGACCTGTCGGGGCCCTCCAGATATTGTGGGGCTGTACCTCCCAAGAGCCAGGATGGCCGTGGGTAAGATGAGGAGAGCTGGAGACTGGAGCCCCAGTCAGTGGCATCTCAGGTTGTATAAAAGGTTGATTTGTTGATGCACTAAGGAAAACCCAGGATGGACTGACTTCTTCCGGGTTTTATATTTTATCCAGATTTATTTTATATATTGTGATTTATTTTAATAATAATAATAATAATAATAATAATAATAATAATAATAATAATTTATTATTTATACCCCGCCCATCTGGCTGGGCTTCCCCGGCCACTCTGGGCGGCTTCCAAAAGAATATTAAAATACTGTGATACATCAGTTTTATTCAGTTTATATCCCCAACTTCCTCCTGAAGGAGCCCAGTGCAAAACCCGTCAGGGGGGTTTCCTTCCTCTAGCTTCCTACACATTTTCCCCTTTAGCTCTCTGGGCTGTGGAATGTACCTTGCATCTTTATCTGTCTGCTGCCTTGCTCCCGGTTTCCTTTCTCTTGCCTCCAGAAGCTCATAGCTCTGGCCTCTGAGCTCGTCCTTTTCGGAGCTGCAGACCTCTGAAATGGCTGTTCCCATTGGCTGGCTGCTGCTTTCTCCTTGAGAGTTTCCTTATGCTGCTGACATCTGTGTTATTCAAGGGACTTTCTGGCTGAGCAAACCCCAGTTTCCCCCACGGTTGTGCAGCTGCGGCAGCCCCAGACTCCATCGCCACTTATGGGGAGGTTTGCTGAGCAAGAGGAGGAGCTGGATCTGCAGACATTGCTCCTTGCCCTTTCATATTCTTTGAACTGGGAAGCTGCACAATAGCGCAGGAAAGGGGGCAAATGCTTCCTTCAGATATATATTTTTAGTTTATTAAAACATATTTAAAATGTTTTTAATACATGTGTATTTAAAACACAACAGTGTTAATGGAGAAATCTGAGGCTCCCTTGGACAAAAAAAAAGGACACCAGCCAGGAATAGCAGAGCAAAACAGCAGCCAGTAGGTTTGGTCTTTATTAAGACTGTCACGACAGGACTCCCACCTGCCACAAGGTGGAACAAGATGGAAGCCCCGAACAAAAGAGCCCCCAAACTTTTATTAGCTGCTAATCCCCATGTTACACCCCCCCAAACTACATCACTAATACATCATGGTTACATCATGAAAGGGGAGGTCTGGTGGCAGTAATCTGAGCATCCTGGACCCTGCCCCATGGTTCCCCTTGCCCTCCACCAAACACCCATCAAGTGTAATAAAAAAGATATTTACATTTCCCTGTTTCCCAGCCAAGTTCCTCACACCCTTTGGTCTTCCTCTGGGTTTGTTATTTCTGGAATGGCTACCTGTCTGGCACTCAGGTATCAGGATGCCAGGGGGTATCACTCAGGCAGAGGGCCTGCTGAGTAGCTGAGCTCACAGGTCTAGATGAATTTCTGAAGTTTTCCCAGTGAGCCAGTACATTGATACATTGATCAGTGAATTCTTACATTTGGTATCGTACAGCAAAGGACCTTTGAATAGATAGGAAGAAACTGTGAAGAAGTGTTTTGGGGGGACAAATCACAAAAGTGATTGTGCTGATTTTGGTAGTGGGCTGCATGTGCATGATATCTGCTGGAGGGGCAACCCCTCCCCCAACCTGTACATAAATTCCTGCAACAACAGGAATATTTATTAGAAAAGAATTTAAACAGCAAAACATTTGATGGTGGGCATCACTGTAAGATGGAAGACAAGCCCTGTGAGGACCCCCCGTGACATGAGCATGGCTTGGGGAGGGGGCACAGGCACAGATTTCCCACAAGACAGAAAAGATGCTCAGCAGGCATGTCAGACACTGTGCTTCAGGGGGGCCACAGGCTTGTTTCAGAAGGGTCAGCCCTGGGGGAGGGTCTCTGGGTGCGTAGCATGTGGGGTTGGGGGCTCAACAGAGCACTGGGGTGGGTTGGGGGCCTCTGTCCTAGCCTGTTGGCAACAACTGCTCTTTATGGGCATATCTTTTTTTAAAAAAATCTTGTTTGCAACTAGCACCCCTCCCCCTTCCTCTCTCTCTCTGCCCCACACGTGCTTCTTCCATCCCCCCATTTATCATTTGCACACCCTCTTGTCACCCACCAAGGCTAGTTTGCAAAAGGGAAGAAGTGCAGAGGAACCAGTTTCTGCTGCTTGTTCATAGAAACAGGAAATATGCAGCTGCAAAGAGAAAACAAGGGCTTTAATAGAATCATATAATTGTATGATGATAATAATAATAATAATGATTATTTATTATTTATACCCCACCCATCTGGCTGGGTTTCCCCAGCCACTCTGGGCAGCTCCCAACCAAATATTAAAAGGGTTGGATGGGACCCCCTAGGGTCATCCAGACCAACCCCCTGAAATGCATCAGCTAAAGCATCCATGACAGAGGGCCATCCAAGCTCTGCTTAAAACCCCCCAATGCAGGAGAGTCCACAACCTCCCAAGGGTTGAACTGCTCTTACTGTCAGAAAGTCTGTGGCCCTGTGAAACCCCTCCCGGCCCCCCACCTCCCCTCCCTGGCCCTCCTTTGCACCCTGGGTGTTTTTTGCCTGGCTGGGATATGTCCTTGATCTCTGACAACATCTCTTGATGATAGCTCAGATAGTTGGTGGACCATGAGACTTTTAATCTCAGGGTCGTGGGTTTGAGCCCCACATTGTGCAAACGATCCCTGCATTACAGGGGGCTGGACTAAATGACCCTCAGGGTCCCTTCCAACTCTACACTTCTGTGATTCTTTGATTCCCTGGACGGAGGATGGAGAAGGGTGTGTAATGTGCGTAGAAACTGGTCAGTTATGCAAAGGTGACTACAGCCATACTTCTGCCCTGTGGCCACGTGCCCTTGTGAATTCTGCTTCTCCAGGGATCCTGCTTGTGCTGTGGGAAGGAGATATGCAGCCCCACCTTAATGTAATTCAAACTTGCATCCTCCTTTGTCACCTCTTGAGCTGCTTGGGCAGAGAAAATGTGGCTGTGCGTTGGCTCTGCACAGGCGGGCCACACCTGAATTCCTGCATGTGGCACCATCTGAGTGGCAGGGACTCCATGTCATTCTGGGCATTTGCACCTGGGGCCTCTCTGTGCCCTTTCTCACCCAGTGGATCCTGCAGCACCAATTTCTACTCTTTCTGTCTCGTGCCCAGGATCTGGCGTCCTCACTGTGGGCATCAAGTCATGGAACTTCCTGCGAGAGCCAGGCTGCTTGGCATGTGACCAGGGCTTGCCTGGCTCCATCCAGCTGGTGTCTAGTGGTGCTGTGCCCCCAGTGGCTGGGCTCCCTGCTGCGCTTAAGTGATGGCGCCTCCCATTGTGTATCATGGAGGGCAGGGCTAATCCTGACGACTAGCCATGCTGCCAGGAATCGCGGTGGCAGCGGGGGGGGGGGTCCTGCTTGTTTCTGGCCTTTCTCCTTTCAGGACACTGGTTGGCCACAGTGGGAAGCAGGCTGGACTGAGGTGGGTCTGATCTGGTGACCAGGGCGTGCTTTTGCCTGTAGGCTATGCCAGGGAGGGAGCTGTCCTTGGAAGAGGATTGGGTGTGTGATGCAACAGGCCCCTGTGCCATGGGTGCCTTCTGAGCTCTCTCTGTGTACCCAGAGCCATGGGAGGAGTCAGGATTCACCCCCCCCCCGGCATGGCACTTGGGCTGCTGGTGAGCCCCCTCACTCTCCTCCCTGCTGATGCCAAGCTGGGCCTGCCTGAAGGCTGCCCTGTTGGTCTACAGCACAGCTGTGACTACCCAGACAGATTTGGGGCTCAGCGGAACTGACTGTGGGGCCTCTGGGCACTGGCCTCCAGTCTCCCCCTGCTTAGCCCTGGCTGCAAGAGCAAGAGCTGAAGGACTCTGGGTTGATGCAGCTGCAGGGAGCCTCTGGGAAGGGTTGCTGCTGGCCACGCATGGCTGGCGGCCGCTGCTGCTGTCAACAGCTACCCACGGGGCCCGCTCTTCTGACCCAGCCCGTGCAGGCCAGCCGCTCCCCAGCTGACCCTGGAGGCCGGCCGGGAGCCGGGAGCCCTCATTTCCTGAAATAGCCCGGCTGGCTGCTCCTTCACCACTTTTAGCCGCTCAGCAACTGTGCCAGGGTGGGGAGGGCAGCTGCGCAGTGCGCCTAGCCGGGAGTGTGCGTGGGATCGCTGACCACACTGGCGCCACGGCTCCCCTCGTTCCTGGGCCTGAACCAAAGCCAGATGTGGAACTGCGGCTTTGCAAACATCTGCCGAGCGAGGCCTCCTGGGCAGCCTGCCATCCGGGGCCTGGGAGCTGGGCTGGGCTTGGATGGGCAGGCGGGCAGTGAGGGGAGCAGCCTGCAAAAAGGCCGAGTCCCTGCCTGAGAGGGGTGCCCCTTGCGCCTTCTTTGGGTGGGGAGAACAGGCACCCCTCTTTCCTGTCTGGAACTTCAGAGACGGCTGCCCTCCACCCTTGTTCCACCATTGTGAGTGCCCTGAAGGCATGAACTGAGGAGGCAGAGGGGATCTCCCCCTCCTGATCACCCAGAGGGGCTCTGAGCAGGGTGCTGCTCCCTGCTGTCCTGTCCTGCCATGCCCATTGAAGAGTCATCAAAGTTTTGTGGCAGGGAGGTGCTGGGTTCAAATCCCTGCCTTGTCAGCATCATAGCCTCCCTCACGGTGCCTTCCCATCACTCTCTGGGCCTAAATGAATGACTGTGGGGATGAGCAAAAGGCGGGAGGAGCTGAGGAGACCATCCTCAGGATGGAGGGAGGCTGTGTGTGTGTGTGTGTGTGTGTGAGAGAGAGAGAGACATAGCCGCCTCTGGTCTCTGCCAGGGTTGTGGGTGGCCCTGACAGTCCCAGGATGCCGAGTGCCGCTGTGGCCGCCTTTGGAAGGCGGGATGTGGCGTCAGCACTTTGCTCTGAAACATGAGCCCCTTGCGGATGGGCGGCTGCTGCAGGGAGGCCCCTCCATTATGCAGTGACAGGCCGTGCCAGGAAATGCAGTCCCCTCCCCAGCCCTGCATGCTCCAGCGCAGCCCCTCACAGCTGTCCCCCAGCAGTGGGGCTTCCAGTGCAAACAGCAGGATCCTCAACGTCCCCCGTCTGGTGCTCTGGGTGTGTGATTGTATGGCTGTGGCTGAGGAGGGGGCCTGGCAGGCAGGAAATGCTCGATGTGGGGGCTGCTGTACACCCCCTGCCCCCCCCGTCCTGTAGCACTTGGGGCTGAGGATTCGCAGGAGGCAAGATGGAAGAGGAGCTCCTGAGAATCTCAGAGCCAAAGGAGAGCTTTTCTCTGCTTTCTGATGACATGCAGCTGAGCGGTGGAGGTGGCGGCCAGCTTGGGTTTCCTGCATTTTGGGAGGGGGCAGGTTAGCTCTTTGCACTGTTTTTCAGTCTAAATCCCACCCCACCCCTGAAAATACCACAAGAAGCTGTTGGTTTCCAGCTGCATTTTATTAAAAAGCAAAGTGTCAGGAGATCCCATCGCAGGTCAGCTGAGCGATGTGTGGGGAAGCCTCCTCTTCCGCTGTGAGCAAGGATGCTTCCCACACCCTCAGCGTCTCCCCGTGAAGTGTGCTCAGTGGTGGGCATCACCTTATGGGTCACAGGACCCGAGGGGCGGATGGGGGCTGCACACGCCTGACCAGCTCCATGCGCTGCTTGCACCCCCCTGGCCAAGCTGTCAGGAGAGTATTGGGGCCTCCTCTCTATTGGGTTTTTTTGGGGGGGGAGTGGGAAGGGGTAGTTATAGATTCATAGAATAGTAGAGTTGGAAGGGACCCAGCCAAGGGCCATCTAGTCCAGCCCCCTGCAATGCAGGAATCCCCGCTAAGGCATCTCTGACAGATGGGATTATTATTAATAAATGCACCCTGCCTGTCTGATAAAAATTCCCCACTGTGGCTGCATCATTAAAATGATCTACAGCATACAAACCCCCAGAGTGTAACTGGCTGGTTGTGGGGCTGGGCTGTTTGCTTGTCTGTGGGGGCCACATGGCAAACCCCCCTCCCGCCTCCACCACCCACAGAGCTCTTTCCCTCAGGAACACTGGGGGGGGGGGAGCAGAAAGAGCTGCTGTCCTGGCTGGGGAGGGGAGGGGAGGGAGCCCCAGAATGCTGGCATCTCAGGCTTGCTGGTCTGGGTGGGTCTCCCCCCTCCCCAAGCACATCTTTGTCATTCCCCACAGCCTCACCCCCCTCAGGGCTTGCGGAAGAGTCTGTCCCCACCCCCGCCTTGTACAGGCCTTGCAAGCAGGTCTAGTGTGTGTTTTTAAGAGGGGGGAGGAAATGGGGGCTGGTTTTAGCAATAGAGGGAGCACCCCAACCAAGAAGCACATGCTGCCTCTGGGATTCCCTTCTAATTAGAGCAAGCCAACATTAACCAACAATATTATCATTATTATGTTCACTACGGGTTAGAGTAGGGCTCTGATCCTATGATCTGGCATTGTAAATAATGTTTGTGGTTCCTCATTGTGTCTTTCCCAAGAAGTCCATGTGCCGACAGCCATTGTCATAGGACCCCTGAGGGGCATCTAGGCCAACCCTTTGCAATGCAGGAATCTCAACTAAAGTATTCACGACAGATGGCTATCCAACCTTCGCTTAAAACCATTTAATGAAGAGAGTCCACAACCTCCCGAGGGAGACCATCCCACTGTTGAACAGCTTTTCCTGTCAGAAAGTTCTTCCTGATGTTTAGTCAGAATCTCCTTGCTTGTAACTTGAAGCCATTGGTTCAGGTTATTCCCTCTGCAGCAGGAGAAAACATGCTTACTCCATCTTCCATGTGACAGCCCTTGAGATTTTTGGCTATCATATCCCCTCTCAGACTCCTCTTTTCCAGGCAAAACATCCCCAACTCCCTCAACCATTCCTCAAAAGGCTTAGTTTATAGGCCGTTTATCAGCTTTGGTCACCAACCTCAGCATACTTCCAGCTTGTCAACATCCTTCTTAAACTGGGGTACCCAGAACTGGATGCAGGACTCCAGGGTTACGATGACGTCCCTCAGGGCCAACCCAATACTGTACATTTAGGCACCTGAGGAAAACTACAACATGCCCCCACTACCAGAGAAGAAAGGTGAAAAGCTACATCAAGAATAAGCAGGGAATAAAGATCTGCAATGGGATCTGTTGCTCCTGTGGATCCTGAGGCAGTCACCTCATTTTGCCTCATGAGAGAACTGGCCCTGACATTCCTTGATGTCAACACTTGATGTTTGATGAGGAAGCCTACAATTGCATGAGCTTTTTTTGCTGCTGCTGCTGCTGCTTCCACCTTCTTCTTCTTTGGCTATCACTCGCAGCTGAGTAAGATTGTCTTCCATAAACACAGTTTTAACAGTGAGTCCGTAAGTGACTGTGGAGGCCAATTCTGCATCTACACGTCCTTCCATAGTTCTGGGCGGGAGTTGATCACAGTGAGGGTTTGCCAAGCGTGCCTTCCTCTTAGCACATTTTTCCTTTTCGTCCTGAGTTCAAAGCCCATGACACCTTTGGTCAAGGCTGTTCTCCAACTGGAGCGCTCACAGGCCAGTGTTTCCCAGTTGTCAGTGTTTATGCTACATTTTTTAAGATTTGCCTTGAGACAGTCTTTAAACCTCTTTTGTTGACCACCAGCATTACGCTTTCCGTTTTTAAGTTCAGAATAGAGTAGTTGCTTTGGAAGACAATAATCAGGCATTCGCACAACATGACCAGTCCAACAAAGTTGATGATGAAGAATCATTGCTTCATCACTGGTGATCTTTGCTTCTTCCAGTACGCTGGCATTAGTTCGCCTATCTTCCCAAGAGATGTGTCAAAGTTTTTGGAGACACCATTGATGGAATCTTTTTGCTGCTGCATCACACTGCTGACTCACATTCAGCTTGTAGTTCACTAAGACCCCCCAGACTGCAGTTAAGCAGGGATCCCCCATCCTAGATTTGTGCATCTCACTTTTCCTGCCCTTTGGAGAGCACTTTGCGGGTTCAGTCCGTCAAATCGCCCTCATGGAATTGTGTTGCGGAGATGTGTGGGAATCCATCACACCACCTCAGTAGGGGTGGCACAGCACACATGAAAGCAGCCTTCCCCACCTTCCAGATGTGTGCAGGTGTGCATGCAAATGTGTCATTGTGGGGGGGATGTTGCACTTTGGTCCTGCTCCTGCCGCCTGACACGTGCAAATGCCATGCTTCTTTCTTGCTTCCTGCAGGTCACAGCCACAGATGCCGACAGTGGCTCTCTGGGCTCCCTCTCCTACTCCCTGGGCACCGGCCTCACCAGCTCAGCCCCCTCTGCCTTTCGCCTTGGGGAAGAGACCGGCCAGCTGTGCACCACTCAAGACCTGGACCGCGACGAGGGCACCTCCGCCTATGACTTCACTGTCACGGCGGTGGATGGGGTGAGGAGGCCGCAGGGCTCGCCCTGTTGTGGCAGAACAGCTTCAGCCGGTGGTGGCAAAGGGTGGCCACAAGTGGGGAAGGGGGGCGGTTGGAGACCCTTCTGGCTGGACTGTGACAGCCTCTGTGGGTGTTGGGGTGGGCAGGAAGGTTTGCAGCAGCCCCTTTGGCCTCACCCTAAAGAAGGCCGTGGTCACTGGGGCCAGCCACATCTCCCCGTCCGAAACACCAGGAGCCAGTTGGGCTGTGGAAGCACCAGTGTGGAACTGGAGCCCTGGCTGCTACCCCAGTCTGTGCCACCCTCATTGGGGGCTTGTGGCTTCTGCCCCACCCACAGGCAGGGGCCATTTGAGGTGCGGCAGAGTGAAGTCATAGAATTATAGAATGGTCGGGTTGGAAGGGACCCCAAGGAGCATCTTGTCCAACCTCTTGCCGTTCAGGAATCACAACTGAAGCATCCCTGAATTAAACAAAGGTGTGATCCAGGCTCCAAGTTGTGGATTCCCAGCAGCATCTCTCTCTCTTTCTCTCTCCTTCCTCCCTTCCCAGGGTGGGCTGAGCTCCATGGCCTACGTCAAGGTTTTCCTGGAGGACGTCAATGACAACGCCCCCACCTTCTACCCTCTGGAGTATGCCACCAGCATCAGCACCCAAAGCCATCCCGGCTCAGCAGTGCTGCGTGTCACGGCCCACGACAAGGACGAGGGGCCCCATGGGCGGGTGACCTACCACATTGCCGCAGGCAACACGCCCTCCCTCTTTGCCATCAACCCAGACACAGGTGAGGAGGCGAGGTGGGCAGGCAGGGCGCGCCAGCCTCCAGGGGGGCTGCTTCCTCCCTCCCCACCCCTGGCCTCCCCCACAACCAGCTCTCCCTCTTCCTTCGCAGGTGCCATCTCCTTGCTGAGGAGTCTGGTGGGCAAAGCCAACACGCTGGTGCAGCTGGAGGTGGCGGCCCGGGACGGAGGGGGTCTGGCAGCCCAGCCCAGAGCTCAGGTCAACATCAGCATTGTGGCTGGCACCATCTCCCCGCCCAGCTTTGAGCGCACCCAGTACTACTTCACGGTCCCAGAAGACACCCGGCCGGGCAGCAGCGTTGGGGTCGTCTATGCCCACAACCCCGCAGGTAGGCACAGGGAGCCTGTAAGATGGGGCGGGGAGCCTCTGGCCTCTGAGCCAGTCTTTGCCCATTGGGGTCCCATTTTGGCCCCATAACCATGCCCAGCTGGCAGCACAGGCAACATCAGCGGATGGGTGAGACTTCTCGCTGCCTGCCCTCCCCCACTTTGGGCCTCTCTCTTAAAAGAGAAGTGCAGAGCTGTTTCAAAGAAGCCTTTTGGAAGGCCCCTGAAGATGGTCCCTGCGCTCTGTTTTAGCCACTCAGATGGGAGCACAGGGTCTGTCTTAAAGCACCTGGCAAAAAACGCTCCTTGAAGCAGCCTCCCACAAAGCACTTCCTGAAAGGACACTTTGGGAGGTGCTTTAGGAGAGTCCAGTGCTTGAGTGATGTTTAAATTATGGGGGAGGCTGCTTCAAAGAGTGATTTTGCAAAGGGCTTTAAATGTCTCTTAAACCATATTAAGAGGAGGGTGCTGCTGCTTCAATGAGTGCTTTTGCAAAGGGCTTTCAGATGCATCTGCCCCCCACGCCCCATTCAAGTATGAAGCTCATGGGGGAGAGCAGGGCTATCCTAGGCCATTTGGGCCAAAGCTGTTGCAGGTCCCCAAGTTCTTAACAGTCAGGCAGCTGGCTGTCAGGCGCTTAGCAACCCTGTGCAATAGGCTTTCAGAGGTGGGAGGGGCTGCCCAACTGTCAGTCAAGTGACACCACATGCTGTCTACCTGTCAGATTTGGCTTGCAAGGCTGATCAGGATCTGCACCATCGATCCAAACAGGTCCCGCACCCCTACAATAAATGCAGAGAGTGGCAGGAGCTCAATAGAAGAGTTTCTGTGTCCCAAGTATGTCTCTATTTGGGGGGCCAGGGGGCTGTTTCCCACTCCAGCAGGTCTCCACCCCCGCTCTGTTCTTGCCTCCAGGCCACTTGGACAGTGTGTTCTACTCCATCTCCTCGGGGGACCCCCACGGGTACTTCTCGGTGGACCCAGAATCGGGGGAGCTGCACACCAGCCTGCCCCTGGACCACGAGGCCCAGTCTCTCCTCCTCCTCGAGGTCCAGGCCCGCAGCGGCTCCCCTCCCGCCTACAGCAGCGCTCGGGTGCAGATCAGCATCACGGACGTGAACGACAACGCGCCCGCCTTCCCGGCCCCCTCTGACTCAGTGCTGCTACCTGAGGGGGCTGCCCTGGGCACGGTGGTCTACACAGTGCAGGCGGAGGACCGTGACAGCGGGGCGAACGGGCAGGTGCGCTTCGAACTGGCCTCAGGAGGGGCCAGCGCCTTCACCGTGGAGCACTTCTCCGGGAAGGTGCGCCTCGCGGGGGCCCTGCAGCGGGAGACCAGCGCCCCCTACGGACTGGTCATCCTGGCGCAGGACGGCGGGGTCCCCCGGCTCAGTGCCACCTTCACCCTCTTGGTTCACCTGCAGGCGGCCGATGAGCACGGGCCCATCTTTGACACGCTCACCTACCGCGTGGAGGTGCGCGAGGGCGTGCCTGTGAGCACCCGCTTCCTGCAGGTGCGAGCCCTGGCACGGGAGCCCAGCGCCCCCTTGGCCTACCACCTGCGGGCTGAGGGCGATGCAGCCAGCTTTGGCATCGCTCCAGACACCGGCTGGCTGTACGTGCGCAGCTCCCTCGACCGGGAGGCGCAGGAGCTGTACGTGCTGACGGTGCTGGCGGTGGCCGGGGAGGGCGAGGGTCGCCAAACGGGCACCAGCACCGTGCGCATCACTGTCACGGATGAGAATGACAACAGCCCCCGCCTGAGCGAGGAGCGCTACTTCTTCACTGTGGCCGAGAACAGGCCGGCCGGCAGCAGCGTGGGCCGGGTGACGGCCAGCGACCGGGACGCGGGACAGAACAGCCGCCTGGCCTACCGCCTGGTGCCGCCCAAGGGGACCTTCCTGATCCACACCCAGACCGGTGAGGGAGCAGAGCGGGAGCGGGAGGCCCTTCTCAGCAGGGGCTCCCGCGGGGAGCCGGGAGGGAGCAGCTGGGGGTCTCGCCTGCACTGAGCGCCTCTTCTCCTCCTCCTCCTCCAGGGGAGCTGAGCCTTCGGAGGAGCTTGGACCGGGAGCAGCAGGCCAGCTACCAGCTCCAGGTCGTGGTTCAGGATGGGGGGACGCCTCCCCGCAGCACCACGGGCACAGTCTACGTCACTGTCCTGGATGAGAACGACAACGCGCCCACCTTCCTGCACGTGGTCGAGGGCCGCGAACTCCTCCTCCAGGTGGGCGAGGGATCCAGGGGGCAAGGAAGGAGCTCTTGGGGGCACTGGCAGTTCCTCAGAAAGGGCAGCAGGAAGGCCAGGGCCCGAGGGGTAGGATCGTGGAGCAGGGAGGTGGCATCACCCTCTGCGTGTCCAGGCAATGGCTGCCAACTCCATCTCCCCCCCCCCCCCCGCTGTACCCTCTCAGGTTCTGGAGGAGAAGCCAGCTGGGCTGCTGGTGGCTTCTTTGAGGGCCAAAGACCCGGACGAGGCAGAGAACGGCACTGTCTTCTACTCGCTGTCAGGTAAGTAGGTCCCCCTGGGCTGGGCTCCTGGGAGGCCCCACACTGCCCAGAGGTTTCAGGCCCCCACTCCTTCTCCCGGAGGGTTTTCTGGGCCTCCCCTTGGCTGCGCACCCCCCTCAGCTCTTCTCTCTCTGTCTCCCTGCAGGTGCCTGGGCAGAGCGCTTCTCCCTGCACGTGGCCACCGGGGAACTGCGGACAGCCACGCGGCTGCGCCAAGCAGACCGGGGCGAGTACGTTTTCACGGTGACAGCAAGCGACCGAGGTGCTGCCCCCCAGAGCACAACAGCAGCCGTGCGCATCCAAGTAGGAGCCCTCTTTTGCCTCGGGCGTGGGCTGGGCCTGCCCCAAATACCCCCAGGCCCCTTCCTAACCTCTCCCCTCCCTCTGCAGGTGGTGTCCACAGCCCGCCTGCTGCCCCGTCCCGACACTACGGTGCTGACCTTTCACCCCACGGAGGGCCTGCAGCCGGGCTCTCTCATTGGCTGTGTGGCCCCCCCAGAGCCGCCTGCACCCGGGCAAGTGACCTACATGCTGGTGGGGGGCAGCAGCGGGGACGGCCTCTTTGTGGTGGACCCAGGCACGGGGGACATCTACGTGGCCCAGGAGCTGGACTACGAAGCAGGGATGAAGCACAGCCTGCAAGTCAGCGTGGAAGATGTCCTGCAGGGCTACCCCAGCCAGCGCCTGGTGTTGGTCGAGATCCACGTGCAGGACAGCAATGACCACGTTCCCACGTGGCCCCAGGACCCCGTCACTGTGGTGGTGTCTGAGGGGGCCACCCCTGGCACGTCCCTCTTCACCTTCCAGGCGCTGGACGGGGACGGCCCGGGGCCCAACAGCCAACTGCGCTACAGCCTCTTGCGCCAGGAGGCCCCCCCGGCCCCCTTCCAGCTGGATGCGCGCAGCGGGGAGCTGAGCCTGCAGGGGGCGCTGGATCGCGAGACTCAGTCTGCCTACCTGCTGGTGGTCCAGGCCACGGACCAGGCGCTCAACGCCAGCCAGCGCCACTCGGCGGCCGTCACTGCCCACATCTTCGTCACAGATGAGAACGACAACGGGCCCGAGTTCTGCTCCCCCTCGAGCATTGACGTCCCTGAGGACCAGCCCACGGGCTTCCTGGTGCTCCAGGTGGTGGCCAGGGATCGGGACCTGGGTGAGAACGGGAGGGTCAGCTATGCGCTGCGCGCAGGGAACCTGGACGGGCGATTCCACCTCAACCCCAACACAGGTGAGGCAGAGGGAGGTACAGGCCGCCATGCAGGGATTGGTAGTCTGTGTATGCAGGATCCCACCAGGCATTCCCAGTAGTTGGGAAAGAGCACTGCATCGGGATGGAAGGGATGTCCTTCAGTTATATGAGGAGTCCTCCCGCCACGAGATTTTTCCGCAGGTGAGGCAAGCCTGTGTTCTCCCGCCTTTGGCACACCCTGCTATTGTGGCTGTGCGCTCTGCTGATTGGCTGGTGGCGGCGGCAGTCCCTCCTCCCTGTCCTGGGGGGCCGTCTTGCAATATGCCATCAATAAATGGTCTGTCTGTCTTTCCGAGATGTGGCCTGTGCACAGTCCCCCTGCCCCTAGGCGTGTGCAAGGGACCTGGTATGTCACCAGGAGCAAAAGCACAAGTCTGGGAAAGAAAGGTAAAACAAATCACCCCAAACTTAAGGCCTAAGACCCTTTAGTGCAGGGTAGGCAACCTAAGGCCCGGGGGCCGGACGCAGCCCAGTCGCCTTCTCAATCCAGCCAGCGGACCGTCTGGGAATCCGCGTGTTTTTACATAAATGTGTGCTTTTATTTAAAATGCATCTCTGGGTTATCTGGGGCATAGGAATTCGTTCACCCCCCCAAAAAAAATATAGTCCGGCCCCCCCCATGGTCTGAGGGACGGTGGACCGGCTCACGGCTGAAAAAGGTTGCTGTCCTCTGCTCTAGTGTGCGATGGGGGCTGGTGAGAGGCCTTCTGAAGTCCTGTGTTGTAATACCTCCCCAGGAGCAGAAGTCTGAGACTCTGCACCTTGTGCTTGGCTGGGGGGGGGGCTAACCCTTTGGGGCAACAGCTCCTTATGAGGGTTCTGGCAGAAAACAGAGGGGGAAATTCCATCTTTTGGTCGTTCTAAAATGCTACTGACATCCTTCTGAGGTTTACCTTCTCAGTGATTGTTGACAAGGGTTTCTGGATAACAACTGCTTTATTCTCTTCCTTCTCTGAATTGGACTTTTGCAGAAGAATACTTTTTTACATAAAAGGATGAAACTCCTCCTTGCGCTGCTTGCAGGTGTAGAAATACATTTCCAACTGGAGTAACACTGGCCAGAAATCTGAGAGCAGAGTCTTGCTCCAGCCCATAACAATGAGTTCTGAGTTGATTCCCAGAACTATGAGATCCCTGCAACCCCCTTTTGCCGGTCTTGAGGCAAAGTGCCTTCATGCCCCATCTCCATCTCAAATGTTGGCCTCCTGCTCTCCTCCCAGGCGCGCTATCCATCGTGAGGACGCTGGACCGGGAGGAAGTGTCCCAGCATAACTTGACAGTGGTAGCCACGGACCACGGGTTGCCACGGCGCTCTGCCACGCAACTCCTGCTTGTGCATGTGCTGGATGTGAACGACCAGGCACCTGCCTTTGAGAGAAACAGCTACGAAGCCAGTGTGGCAGAAAACCTGCCCCCTGGTGTCCCCGTGCTGCAGCTGCACGCCACCGACCCCGACCTGGGTAAGAGCCTGACCCTCGGCCTGCGGTCATTTGCAGGGCCATCCACCCAGAAGTGGAAGGGATGGGGAGGAGTGTCTGGCCAGACAATGGGGTCTGCCAGAGAGCACAAGCCCCCTTTCCATGGGGGCTCATTGTGTCCTCCTTGCATATTGTGCCAAAGGCCTTCTGTCTTTGAAACTGGAGACCTCTGAACTCCTGGGCATCAGTGGGTGAAGAACCTCTGCCAGCCTGGGCTGAGGGCACTGGGGTGGGCCAGGGGAGGAAAGGTTGGACTTGGCCAGCTGGTCAGGACATCTCAGCCTAACCTCCCTCACAAGAGGGCGGCTAGAATTAAATGGTGATAATCCTTGGAGCAAAAGGAGGGTGCAAATGCAAGAGAGACCACAGAGGAGGCAGGCCCAGCCAAGGTGGCTTCAGCCCAGCAGATCAACCCAACCAAATGGCCAGAATGCCCAGTGGGTGGCAAGAGCACCATTTGGTGTTGGGTTGGCCACCGCTCTGTGGAAGCGCAGGGGCCCCTGGCCTAGCTGGTGCCTGCCTTTGGCTGCCTGCTGGAGCACCTCCTCTTGCTTCAGCCCTGCTTCAGAGCAGCAGCAGCTCCCATGCGGCAGAGACGTTGTCTGCTCCTTGGCAGTGGTTGGACCAGTCTGTGGTTGGACCAGGAGGCTCCCCGTTTCCATGTCAGGCTGGTCTTGAAAGGCTTCTGAAGCCCAGTTTGAACATGCCAGCCTCTGGCAGCTGCCACAGCTGGGTCCCCAGTCCCTGCCCTGCTAACACTCTGGCTTTGCCGGGGGGGGGTCAGCCGAGTGTGGTTGGGAGGGTGTGGAAGAGGGGCCTTTGCGCCTGTGGGGCTGCGCTTGTGAGGAGGTCAATGTGGGGGAAGAGTAGGGCCCATGCTCAGCCTCCCTTGCGTATCTCGCCAGGATCCAATGGGCAGGTGTCCTACGGCGGCATCTCTGGGGACGAATTCTCCATCGACCCCCACACGGGTCTGATCAGCACCCGGCGCTCCCTGGACCATGAGGAGCGTGCAGAGCACTTGCTGACAGGTAAGGTGGGGGAGGGGGAGGGGGTCCTCGGGGGGGGGGCTCTTGTGAGGCCCACAGGCCAGCGGCTCCTTCTAGTACCAAGACAGACTCTCTATGGCTCACAGCCTGCTCCCCCTCCCCACAGTGTACGCGCGGGACAAGGGGCTGCCCCCTCGCCAGGCTAAGGCCACGGTTCGCATCCTGGTGGCAGATGACAACGACCACGCGCCCACCTTCCAGGCGGAGGCCTCTTCCCTGGAGGTCCCAGAGAACCAGAGCCAGGTGGAGCTGACCACCGTGCGGGCCACGGATCACGATGCAGGGGAGAACGGGCGCCTCACCTACCGCCTGGCAGGTGAGGGAGGGAGGGAGGGAGGGAGACTCCCTGCTTGGGGAGATGCAGTGCCAAAGGCAGGGGAGGGCAGAAGTTTCCCACCCCACCAGGGGCTCCTTCTCCTGGTCCCCCTTCATTTCAGAGTGGATCCATGCAGCCCCCATTTCCCACTTTGGAGCCGTATTAAACCTTGGAGATTTTATTTATTTATTCATTACATTAAAATTTATACATTGCTCAATTGTGGGAAAACAACCTCAAAGTAGTTTACAAAAAGATGAAAGAAGAAAATCAAGAAAAATTTGCAGTGATGCTTTAAAGCCTACAAAAAGTTAAAACGCTAAAGCAGATAAAATCTGCACCAGCACTTCTGTGCTTCCCTGAACAAGAATGTCAGAAGGAATATAGGGAAGCTGCCTGTTTGATACCAGTAGGCAAGGAGTTCCAGACTAAGTTCTTTCCAATGCAGAAAGGGGGTTATGGGATGCCTGTAGTGTCAATTCCATGAAGTGGGTAAGGCAATCTTCAGGCAGGGGAGGATTGACACGTGGGCAGCTGAGAAACCAGCATGAGGGGTAGTTTGGGCAGTCATGTGCCAGTCCAGGAAAGCTTCACCCTCCTCCTGCTCCTCCCTTCAGCTGGAGACTCTGAGGAAGACTTCGCCTTGAACCCCGTCTCCGGCCAGCTGTCCACAGCACGAGGCCTGGACCGGGAGCGTGTGGCCAGCTATGCCCTGACCGCCCAGGCCTGTGACCATGGCTCCCCCCCACGCTGCACCAGCCTGGTGCTCCACGTGAAAGTGCTGGATCTGAACGACAACGCCCCTCGCTTTGCCCAGGAAAGCTACGTGGCCGAGGTGCCGGAGGACTTGCCCGTGGGGGCGCTGGTGCTGCAGCTGGAGGCCCAGGACCCGGACGAGGGGCCCAATGGACGCGTCTCCTACTTCCTGGCCAACGAGTCGCTGGGCACCTTCCAGGTGGAGCCTCAGACAGGCCGCCTCACCACCACGCAGCCGCTGGACCGGGAGCAGCGAGACTCCTACCGCTTCATGGCCGTGGCCGTGGACTCGTCCCCGCAGAGCCCCCGCAGTGCTGCCGTGCAGGTCACGGTCAGCGTCCAGGACGTCAACGACCACATCCCGGCCTTTCCGCTCAGCCCACTTTCTGTCACGCTGCCCCGCAACACGCCCGCCAAGCGGGTGGTGGCCACGCTGCGGGCTGAGGACCACGACGCGGGCGCCAACGCCTCCCTCCTCTACCGCCTGGCCGCCCCCAGCCCCGCCTTTGCCATCAACACCTACACAGGCGCCATCCAGCTGCTTCAGCCCCTGGGCACCCTCACCCAGCGCCAGCGCACCGTCTTCGTCCTGGCCAGCGACCTGGGGGAGCCCCCGCTCTCCTCCATCGGAGTGGTGGTCATCCACCTGCAAGACGAGGCCTTCCGGGGGGTCCGCTTCCCCCGCAGCACCAGCGACGTGACGCTGCCAGAGAACGCCGCGACAGGTATGGGCAGAGGGTGGCTCTGGCTGGCTAGTCTGGAGCAGAAGGGGAGGGGGGCTGCCTTGTCTGTCCCCAGCCCATAAGTGGGAGCACCAAGGCCACTGTGTGTGTGTCCCAGAGGAAACCTCAGAGTCTGGCATCCTGTTCTCACAGGGGCTGAGCAGTTGCCCATAAAATGTGTCCTTAATGTTGTACACCACCCTGGGATCTTTTGATAAAGGGTTGAATATTAATATTAATATTATTATTAATAATAATATAGGAAACCCACAAGCAGGACCAGAGCACAAGAGCAACACTCTGCCCTCCTGCGGTTTCTGGCAACTGGCATTCAGAAGCAGTGCTGCCTCTGACCGTGGAGGTGGGCACAGGCATCCTGGCTAGTGGGCCTCGGGAGCCCCCTCCTCCTCCATGGATTTGCCTAAACCTCTTTCACGGCCATCCGAGTTGGTGGCCACCCCTGCCTCTTGTGGCAGGGAGTTCCGTGGTTTAGCTCTGTGCTGCATGAAGAAGTGCTTGCTGTTATCTGTCCTGAATCTTCCACTAACCACAAAGCAGGTTTCCTTCTGGAAGTGGATGTTCTTTTTCTAAAGGCCTCCCCCCCCCGGCTGCCTCCCCCTCCAGGCACCACCGTGCTGAGCACCCCAGCCACCCACACAGCCGGCTCCTCAGGCCGCATCACCTACAGCATCGTCAGCGGCAATGAGAAGGGCGCTTTCCGCGTCCAGCCCAGCTCAGGTACGGAGGGGCCCTCGAGGGCGGGGCCAGGCCGGCCCCCTGGGGCGTGAGGAGAGGCCTTGGGCCACATCTCTGGTCAAAAGGCCCCCTTGGAAGCCTGCTTGGTCCTGGAGGAGGTGAGAGCCAAAGGCTTTGTGGGGGCCGCCTCCCTCCCTCCCGGCTCCCTTCTCCTCCTCCACGGGCTTGGATGTGGTCCTGCTCCAGGGTGCCACTTCCATGGAGTGAGGGCCTCTCTCCCCCTGGATCTGGCCATCTGGGTCCGGCTTTTCTCGCTGCCCTTGCCAGACGCAGAGTGCAGGCCTCCACGGCAAAGGAGGGCCCCACATGCCAACCAGAGCAGCCCCCAAGTTGCCTTCAAGGGAGAGGGTGGCCCCCACCACACGGCTTCCCCGGGGAGAGAGTGTGGCGCAGACGGCCGATCTGCCCCCTTCTGCCCCTGCAGGCCTGGTGTCGGTGCAGAATCCCCGCAGCCTGGACTTTGAGCTGAGCCCCCGCTTGCACCTGGTGCTGCAGGCAGAGTCCGCCTCCTCCCTCGGCTTCATGGCTGTGAACGTCAACCTGCAGGACGTCAACGACAACCGGCCGCGCTTCCGGCTGCCCAACTACGTGGCCTTCATCTGGGAGGCCCAGGGCTACGACTCACCCGTCATCCAGGTGGGAGGGGCCCTCTGGGATGGGGGGCTCCTCGGCAGGGCTCCAGGCAAAGATCAGGAGCAGCACCGGGGGGGGGCTGGGGGGGCATGTGGGCCAGGTCCAAGCGGGGGCAGGACTCTCCATGTCTTCTCACGGCAGGTTGTGGCAGATGACTTGGACCAGGGTCCCAACGGGCAGGTGACGTACACCATCAACCAGACACTGCCCATGAACGGGCTGTATCGCATCAACAGCCAGACGGGCGCCATCACGACAGCGGCCATTCTGGACAGGGAGATTTGGGCCCAGACCCGGTGAGTCCGCCCTTCGGCCTCCTCGCTTCCAGCCATGGAGCGACTGGCCACAAGCCTCGCGAGGAGCCCATGGGGAGACATTTATCCTCTCTGAGGCTCTGTGCTGATGTTGGGTAGAGGGAGAGAGGTGGTGTTTAAATTGTGTAATTGCTTTTAATTGTTTTGATTGATGTGTTTCTGCTGTGCAGTGAATCTCTTTGGGATTCCTCGCAGGAAGCAACTCAGAAGTGAACTGAATCATGGAGAGGCAGCCAGTCCAGAAAGGGCGGGGATTGGGGGATGGGCAGGGACAGATCTACTGTGAGACTAATGAAGCTTCGGCTTCAGGGCCCTGAATCCCAGGGGGACCCCAGAAGCAACTTTAGTCCAGGTTGCTTAAAAATTGTGGGTCTAGTAGACCCAATCTGAGCTGCATTGATTTGAGTCTAAGTTGTATATATTTCAACAACACCAAAGTCCGAGAGTCAGGAGCACAGATGTTGTAAAGCTGTCAGTTCTGTCACTGAAGAAGAGAACGGGGCTTGCCCAGACCTTGTTGCTGGTGGCCAAGGGGCCCCCTGACATTTCAAGCTCCAGGCCCCAAAAAGGTAGGTCTGTGACTGGGCCAGGCCAGTTCCCTCTTCTGCCCCCGCCATGCGCTCCCTGGAATAGCAGGGGTGCCTGTGGGGGCCTCCTGAAGGCTGCCAGTCCACAGGATGCCAAAGGGGAAGGGGCACCGTGTGGCACCAGGCGGGCCTCTCCTTGGCCCTGACCCCCATTCCCCAGGCAGACGCCAGCTGCGCCCCCTTGTCCCTGAGACGCTCCTGCTTCCCTCCGCCCACAGCCTGGTGCTGACCGCAACAGACCGAGGGAACCCTCCTCTGGTGGGCTCTGCCACCCTCACAGTGCTGGTGATGGATGTGAATGACAACAGCCCCACCATCCCTGCTCCCTGGGAGGTGCGGGTGCCTGAGAGTGAGTAGATGGAACAGGGCTCATGAAGCCTCCTTGGTTGGCCGGGGGGAGGGGTGCTGTGGGAAAGCGGGGCTCTCTCGGCACGGCTCCCCTCAAAAGCGGGCACGGAGGGTGTCACCTGGGAAACACTTGCAAAACCTGAAGACATGAGCACCTCTGAGCAAGTGCAGAGCTTCTTTCTCTTCGTGCTGGCACAGAGCCCTCCGTTGAGATGGGGAGGAGAAGCCATGCCCCCTGGGCAACCCCAAACAGCTCTGCATGGCCTTTGCCCCTGGCAGGCCCAGCTCTGACCCCCTCCCCCCACTCCACAGACGCCCTGCTGGGCACCGAGATCACCATGGTGACGGGCAACGACGTGGACTGTGGGCCGCAGCTCTCCTACATGCTGGTGTTGGACAGTGGCACCGCTGGCACCTTCAGCATCCTGCGCTACGGGGGCCGCATCACTCTGCTGGGGCCGCTGGACTATGAGCAGCGCAGCCGCTATGCACTGACGGTGCGCGCCTCGGACTCTCAGCACGAGACGGAGGCCAACGTCACGGTGCTGGTGGAAGACGTCAACGACAACCCTCCCGTCTTCTCCCAGGCCCTGTATCAGGTGCGCAGCCTCTCCCCTCAGGGGCCGCACGTCCTTCGCAGGCAGGGCAGAACCCGTTAGAAGGCCATGCACAAAACGATCTGCGTAGGGGAGCTCTGCAGCTGTTCCACACAAATGCCGTGCGGGAAAGTGCAGGAAAGTGGCCCAGAGCTAGGATTCAGAGGGCTGGGCAGCGACAGCACCTTCGATTGCAAACCTCGATGCAAATTGCTATGTTGCTGCTTTAGTTTAAGCATCACTTATGCCAAATATGAAAAAGTGTCCAGGTGTGAGTTGCCCCCTTCAGCTCAACATGGCTCAGTCACATGCCAGAGAGACCACGCCTCCCCCCCAGATCCCCTCCTCATTGCCCTCATTCTGCTGTGCTCCCCCTTTGGCTTCTCACAGGGGCACCCCTGGGTAGGGGGCAGCTCATGCTAACAGGTTTCCCCCACAACCGTGGAGGGCAAATGAATGCCCAGGAATGATAGGTAACCCTCTGTGTCCTCCCAGATTGTACTGCCAGAACACACCCGAGCCGGCAGCCCCATCCTGACCCTCAGCGCCACAGACCTGGACTCAGGCGCCAACGGGGAGGTCACCTACCAGCTGGCCAGGCCAAGCCACTTGGTCTCCATCCACCGGACCAACGGTATGAAGGCAGCAGTGGGAGGAGGCTGTATCCACGGAAAGGCCCCTGTGAGATGTGTTGGAGGGGCAGGGGCAGTTCTGGGAGGGACGGGACTTTGGCTGAGCTCTTCCTTCTCCTCCTTTCTCCTCTTCATCTCTCTCCTCTTCTTTGTCCTCTGTGATGTTCTCCCTCCTCTGTCTCTCCTTCCTCCTCCTCCTCCTCACTGCCCTTTCTCTGCCCTCCCAGGGACCTTGTTCACCACGCAGCTCCTGGTGCTGGATCCGGGGCGCTCCACACTGGACATCCTAGTGGAGGCCCGCGACCAGGGCACGCCCAGCCTTTCGGCCTGGACCACGGTGCAGATCCAAGTGCTGGACGTCAACGACCACGGGCCTCAGTTCCTGAAGCCGCACTACAACGCCTGCGTGTCGGAGGACCTGCGCCCGGGGACCACCCTGCTCACCCTGGAAGCCACAGATGCCGACGTGACGCGGGAGAACGCGGCCCTCGACTACACCATTGTCAGCGGGAACAGCGGCCACGCCTTCCAGCTGGAGGGCCGTTCCGGGGGCGCCAGTGCCCTGGTGCTGGTGGAGCCCCTCGACTTTGAGGCCGTGGCCATCTACAACCTGACGGTGGCCGTGTCGGACCGGGGAGTGCCTCAGCACAGCGCCGTGGTGCCCGTGCTGCTCACTGTGCTGGACGTCAACGACAACCCCCCGGTGTTCGGACGCTCTGCCTACCACGTGGCCGTGAGCGAGGGCACCGGGCCCGGGGCAGAGCTGCTGCGCGTGGCAGCCCAGGACCCCGACTCGGGGGCGCACGGCCAGGTCCGCTACAGCATCAGCTCCGGGGACCCCGGCGGGCTCTTCCAGCTGCACCCGTCCACAGGGGCGCTGCGCCTGGCAAAGGCGCTGGACTGCGAGGCCCAGGCCCTGCACACCCTGGTGGCGCGGGCCTCGGACGGAGCAGGCGGCCATTTTGCCCTGGCCTCCATCACCGTGGAGGTGAAGGACGTCAATGACAACCTCCCCTACTTCCCCCTGGAGGTGCTGAGCTGCAGCCTGCGGGAGAACCTGCCGCCAGGGAGCCTGGTCACCACGGTGCGGGCCGTGGATCTGGACGTGGGAGCCTTTGGGGAGCTGCGCTACGCCCTCCTGCCGTCCGAGGGCGGGGAGGCCTTCGCCATCAACAGCAGCTCCGGGGAGCTGCACGCGCTGCAGCCCTTTGACTTTGAGCGCACAAAGGCTGTCCAGCTGCGGGTGCAGGCCACGGATGTTGGCAACACATCGGCCACAGCCACCGTGCGTGTTCTGGTGACCGGGGAGGACGAGTATGACCCCGTGTTCCTCAGCCCGGCCTTCAGCTTCGAGGTCCCCGAGGGTGCCCAGCGGGGGCAGAGCATTGGGTCCGTGGTGGCCACAGACGAGGACGAGGGCCCTGACGGTGTGGTGCTCTACACGCTGCTCAAGCCGTCTCCCTTCTTCGGGATCAACCAAACCAGTGGCGCCATCTACCTGCGCGTGGACAGCCAGGCGCCCTCGGGGGGGCCTCCCAAGCAAGAGCCCCGGGAAATGGTGCTGGAGGTGCAGGCCCACAGCCCCTTGCCCGCCTCGCGCTCGGCCTCCGCCCAGGTCACCGTGGACGTGACGCACACCTCCTTCGGCCTGGTGCCCGACCTCAACCTGCTCCTGGTGGTCGCCGTGGCCGCCTCCCTGGGCGTGGTGGTGGTGCTGGCCACCGTGGCCATTGTGCTGGCCCTGGTCCGCTCGCGGCAGAGCCGTGGCCCCAAGGAGGTGGATCTGGCCCATGTGCAGAGTGGCTCCTTGCAGAAGCTGGGTCACGGCGAGCCGGCCCTGCCCGGCGGAGACTGCCTCTACCACGAGGCCCTGCCCGGCTATGGCACGGAACCGGCCGGCCCCTACACCCGGGGTGGGTCTCTGGACCCTTCCCACTCCAGCGGGCGAGGTTCCGCCGAGGCGGCCGAGGACGACGAAATCCGCATGATCAACGAGTGCCCCCGCATGTCCAGCGTCACCTCCTCCCTGCAGGAGCACCTGGTGGCTCGCGGACCCGACTCCGGCATCCAGACGGACGCGGACCGCCTCTCGGACGTCTCCTGCGAGCCTGCCACTCTGGATGCGGCTCACTGGTTCAAGAACCGGAAGGGGCCTGGGGGCCTGCTGCTTCCCGGCCAGCCCCCCCAGCTCTACCGGGATGACGGGGGCAGCAGCGGCCCCTACCTGGGGGCCGGCTGTGGGCTCAGCGTCTCCTCCGCCCCCAAAGACTACTCTTTTCCGGAGGACGGGAAGCCCTGCGTGGACGGCTCCCTGACGGCCATTGTGGCCAGCGATGAGGAGCTTCGCGGCAGCTACAACTGGGACTACCTCCTCAACTGGTGCCCCCAGTTCCAGCCCCTGGCCAGCGTCTTCACAGAAATCGCCCGCCTGAAGGACGAGAGTTCCCTGCGCAAGCCCTTCCCCGCCAAGCCCAAGCCCCGTATCGACCCGCCTCCACTCATCACCTCCGTGGCGCACCCGGGCGCCAAGTCCGTGCCCCCCAAGCCGGCCGTGGGGCGGGCCTTCCCCCACCTGGCCACCGCCTCCTCCTCCTCTCTGCGACGCTCCCCCATCAGCCACGAGGGCTCCCTCTCCTCGGCCGCCATGTCCCCCAGCTTCTCCCCCTCGCTCTCCCCACTGGCTGCGCGCTCCCCCATGGTCTCACCCTTCGGGGTCTCCCAGGGGCCCTCCGCCTCCGCCATCAGCACCGAGCATTCCCTGGAGGCCTCTGAGGAGGCCGAGCTCCGCATCTAGCCTGGGACTCTGCAAAGGGTGTTGACTGAGCACAAGCCCCGCCCCCCCCAGTCCTGGAGCCGAGACTGTGGGACTTTGCCAGGCTGGCTCCTGCATCTGGGGCGCTCTGCCTGCAGGAGAGTCGTGGGTTGCAGAAGCCGCCCGGCGTCACCGTCCTCACCTCTTCCTCGGTGCAAAGGGATGCTGTGAGGGGCAGAATGCGTCCCTCTCCAGGCAACTGGCTGGCCAAAGCGGTGGCAGGAGATGGGCTGCGCTCCTAGGGGGCATTCCATGTGTGGCACAAGGACCACTGCCCTGTGGCAGATCTCACTGCTGTCCTTCCACTGCCCCCACCCCATGTACAGATGCTACTCACAGGAAGACACACACCACCTTCTCAGTATTGTTCCACCCCCACCCCACCCCACAGGGCACTGCTCCCCCCTGCACACGGAGCTGGCTGGGCAGGGTCTGCTGAAGGGGCGTCTGGCTGAAGCCCCCGTGGCCTCAGGGCTGTCCCTGCCCCCTCCAGACCCATGAGATGCTGCTGCTCCAATTGCAATGGGACTCAAAGGCACCCCACAGCAGTAAAGGGGGCAGCCAGCATGGAGGAGCCTCTTTGCCTGACCAAAGCGTATCTCTCTCTCTCTCTCTCTCTCTCTCTCTCTCTCTCTCTCTCTGGGCCAAGGTAGGTGCAACTTGTGCCCTTCACAGTCCCACATGATGCCACCAGCTCCCCTTCCGTGCCAGGGGCCCCTGTGCCCTCCTCCCACTGCTTGCTTTGCACTGGCACATGCATGCATTGGGGGGCTGGTTCCCCCCCCCCACAAGCAACTCTTAACCTAGGAAGAGGGCAACTTCACTTTCCTCGCTCACACTGGGTGCTGCCCAGGAAGAGCAGCACTCTGACAGCTTGGCACTGGGTGTGGGGGCCATGGGGTCGTGGGGTGAGACAGCACCAATGCCCTTCTTGTCCGCGTTGCTCTTTGTCTGAGACTGAAGCAGGGGATTCCAGACTCCCCACAACTTCAAAGCAATACCTCCCCACCCTCAGCACAGACTTGCAATAACCAAGTGCTCCTCCCTTGGCTTCCTTTTTTCAGTGAGGGGAGTGAATGGCACTACAGTAGCAATAATTAAACACCCCTGTCTGTCCACCCCCATCCCGCCTACAGGCACATACATGAGAATAAGGGCAAGCAGAGGGAGCGGCCATCTCCTGAACCCATCCAGCTCTGGCGGGTAGCAGCTGTCTAGACAGGGGAACTTCCCAGGCCTCTCTGGAGAGGCGGCCAAGTTTTGTACCCAGGATCTTCTGCATGCCAAGCAGCTGCTCCCCCCTTCCCTGCCAGTGCTGGCAAGAGGGATCGTGTCTGGCCAAATGCCCTGCAGATAGAAAGCTAGCATGTCAGGAGGGGAAGATTCAGCTGCCAGGCTGGTCAACTGGCTCCAGCATGACAAGGAGCTTGAGGGGCCACAGGGGCTTGAAAGCTGCAGATGGGAAGAGTTGATGGGTGCTTTCGGCAGGATGCTGAAGAAGCCCAGGAAGCATGGCAGAGAGACCCCATCAGGGGCAGGGGCAGTTTGCTCCTTGCCCACAGGCTTCCCAGAAGGCTCCTGCGCAGGGGGGTGGGCCTGGGGTGGCTGAGGGCACTTTCTCTCCAGGCCGGGAAAAGCTCTACCAGCAGAACTGCTGCCTGCATGCACAAGACCATGGGCCCAGGCCTTTCTGAGGGACAAGCAGGCGAGGGGTGGTGCCCTCCTTCCCCCTCCCATGCCCATTTCACCCCACCGAGGCCTGTCCCTCTCTGGCATCCTCTCTGCCCTGACTGCAGCCCAGCCTGGCAGACTCTGTTTATTTATTGTAATCTGTTTCCTATTTCCAGCATTTTGTATCTTTTTGTATTGCTGAGCATCCGCAGCATGATAAGTCCCGGGTGCCCCGCCCGCCCCCTCCCTGGCCCTCCTTTTGAGCAGGGACCAGATCCAAGTGCCAACTTTTTGAAGTAATGCCTTAATAAACCACACCGTGTTTGTAAGGACTCGTCTTCTTGGGGGGGGGGGGACTGAGGGGATGAGACGGGGCCCCAAACCCCCAAGGCAACCGCTTTGGGGTGGCGGGAGGCACCCTTTTGTGGGTGGCAGCTTAATGGACCAGAAAACCCTCGGATGAGCTTTCGGGTCCAGGATCAGGCCAGGGGCTCATCTCGTCGGGCAGCCTGTCCTCACAGCGGCCGACCAGAGGCCCCCAAGAGAAGCCGGCAAGCAGGATCCGAGCCAAGAGCCTTCGCCCCTCCTGTGCTTCCAGCCACGGGCCGGCAGAAGCGGGGCTGCCTCTAGCTGCAGAGTCAAGCACAGTCGTGGCGGCTCGGAGCCCCCAACCGCCCCCGACGGGGTTTCCGTGGCGAGAGCAGCCGCTCTTCCTCCTGGACGGCTGTTCCCTCCAGCACCCCTCTCTCCCCCCAAGCGCAGTTTGCTCGGGCTGCCCCACTCGACGCCCAGACCTGCGGCGGCGAGGAAAGCCCCGGCCGGCGCAGCGGGCGAAGGGGGTCGGCGTCGGGGCTCGGACGGGGGCTTCCCCGACCCGCGCCACCATCGGTCGCGCCTGGTCCCGGCTCCCGCCCCGTCGCGCGCTCGGCTTTCGAGGGCGCCGGGCTTCATCCGCTTAGCCTAAGCCCCGAAGCAGATGCGCCTCATCAGGCGGCTCAGCTCCCCGCGGCGGCCAATTGGCAGGATTAGCCAGAGCGGCCCGAAGACGTGAACTCCGGCTGAACCCGGACGCTTGAGCTGCGAGTCTTGCCTGACGGAGTGGACTAGATGACCCTGGGGAATCCCTTCCTTTTTTTTTTTTAATAATTCTTTATTAAGGTTTTAAACAAACAAAAAAGAAAAACAACACACACAAAAAACAATACAAAACTTAACAATAAAAACACAAAACATAACAATTAAAAACAAACTCTCTTTTCCATTTCCAATTTTAAATTACTTATTTTCTGGACTTCCTCATACCTCCCTCTTTTGTATTCCAATCCACATTATTTGTCCAGCAGTTTCTTTTCCACTTTTTAATCTCAATCTTTAATTTAATAAAACGTTAAAATATATAACTTCAACTTTTTTTAATCCTAATCCTTAATCTTAATATCATATAGCTTTAAATTTTTCCCTTTTATTATCAAATTTCCATTTCTTTAAACATCTTTAATCTTGATCTTTAATCTTAATCTATCCTTAACTTTAACCTGTACAGCTGGAAACCACTTGTTTTCAGTCCAACATCACTCTAACATTCCTTAATTTTGCAGTGTTTCTGAAGATAGTCTTTGAATTTCTTCCAGTCTTCCTCCATCGACTCTTCTCCCTGGTCACGGATTCTACCAGTCATTTCTGCCAATTCCATATAGTCCATAAGTTTCATCTGCCATTCCTCCAGCGTGGGAAGTTCTTGTGTCTTCCAATACTTTGCGATGAGTATTCTTGCTGCTGTTGTTGCATACATAAAGAAAGTTCTGTCCTTTTTTAACACCATTTGGCCTACTATGCCCAGGAGAAAGGCCTCTGGTTTCTTGGGGAAGGTATACTTAAATACCTTTTTTAATTCATTATATATCATTTCCCAGAACGCCTTAATCTTTGGGCACGTCCACCAAAAGTGAAAAAAAGTACCTTCAATTTCTTTACATTTCCAACATTTGTTATCGGGCAAGTGATAAATTTTCGCAAGCTTAACTGGGGTTATGTACCACCTGTATATCATTTTCATAATATTCTCTCTTAAGGCATTACATGCCGTAAATTTCATACCTGTGGTCCATAACTGTTCCCAGTCAGCAAACATAATGTTATGACCAACGTCCTGTGCCCATTTAATCATAGCCGATTTTACCGTTTCATCTTGAGTATTCCATTTCAGCAGCAAGTTATACATTCTTGACAAGTTCTTAGTCTTGGGTTCTAACAATTCTGTTTCTAATTTGGATCTTTCCACCTGGAAGCCAATTTTCCTGTCCAATTTAAATACCTCCATTATTTGATAATAATGAAGCCAGTCTCGCACTTTGTTTTTTAGTTTTTCAAAACTCTGCAATTTCAGTCTATCTCCGTCGACCCTGGGGAATCCCTTCCAACTCGGCAGCTCCACGCCCCTCTGGAGCCCCCCAGCCCTGTCGAGCCCTCCAGGAGGCGAGGGGGAGCCCCGCGGGGCAGGCGCGCCAGCTGGGAAGGGGCTTGGGGCGGAGGCTCCCCTCTGCGTTTGCCTCGGGCACGAGCCTGTGTCGGCAGTTCGGGGACGAGCGGCTGGAGGGCACCCGAGAGAGCGGAGGAACCGGGTTGCTCCCACTAAACATTCTGACAGTCAGAGCTGTTCAGCCGCGGAAGCGATTCCCGCGAGAGGAAGGTTGAAGTTCTTAACGAGAGGCTGGATGGCCGTCTGAGGTCCAGCCCCACGGTTGCTGCAAGTGCTCCGTGGGGCCCAGACCTGTGGGCCGCTGCCTGGAGCCTGGAAGTGTGTGAGCACGTTTATCCAGAGCACCGCGGAAGCTGTGTTGATCTCTCTTGCCAAGAGTTAACTATCAGGTGTGTGTCATCTTTATCTGCATCTCTCTTCTGCCTTACATTTGCTGAAACCCAAGTCTGCCCACGGCTGAAGACATTTGGGCGGATCCCTGCGCTGTCGGGAGGCCTCCTCGCCCTTCCTGTCGTCCCTGCTCTCACTTGTGTGGGCAAAAGACCAGTCGAACAAGAGCAGAAGGAGGAGAGCCTCCTGGGTCAGGCGAGGGACTGATTTCAAGTCAAGTGGCCTAGTTTGCTACGGTTCTTCTTTGTTGTGTAAGTTGGGACAGTGTGTTGCCTCGGAAACAAAGAGCTAGGGGTAGGGAAAAGGGACCACGTCTTTTGTCTTTCCTTCCTCAGTATCCACTGGGAAATGATGTCATCAAGCTGCTTGCAAAGAAGCTGCCAGCATTTAGACCGAGTTGAGAATGGGACACATGGAAGGCTGCACTTCTCTCTGCAAGACTCCTCCCGGGCTCACCCTGGAAGCGCCACAGGGAAGCAGCCTCTCCGGGGCCCTTCCCCGCATGCTCAGCCTGTGTGTTGGGCCCTGTGGCCTCTGGGGGCCACAGCCGCCCCGTCTCCAAATGGAGAAGGAAGAGCCTTGCTTCTGTGCTCACATCCTGCCTCCAGGCTTCCCCTGGCGTGAGAAGAGGATGCTTGACGGGACAGGCTGGTCCTCTGATCCTGCAGCCAGGCTCCTTTTGTGTTTCATCAAGGTCAAAAGCCTCCAAGGACTTCCTTCGGAAGGAAGCAGCCGGGATGCATGATGTGTCCTTGGAGGAGTTCTTCTTATTTCACCATTGGGTCACAGCTTGCGGCAATTTAATAAGCAACCTTAAAAGCACTTCAAAACAGATTTACAGAAGATTGGGAGAAGTTTATTCAATATTTGCAAAAACTAAGTGATAACCAGAGTACGTTTTAAGCTTTAAGGAAGCTCTGTGATGTGAAAACCTAATAATAAGTATAAACAATGAATTGAAGCTACCAGAATAAATAATAATAGTAGAATTGTGTTAAAAGTTATAAAATGAAGGAAGTTCAGACAAATTGAGGGAAGTCAAAAAAATGGAATTAAGAGGTAATTAAGAAGTTTGAATGTACAACTATGTTTCCTTTTTTTGTATTTGTAAACCAATAAAAATATAATTTTTTTAAAAAAAGAACTAAAAAAAAAGCACTTCAAAACAAATTAGTCACAGGAAGAAGGTGGGTCCTGATGACACGCACCTTGGGCGTCAGAGGCCGGGGGAAGGTGTGCCTCTTTTGCATGTGACGGAAACTCCAAACCATGCAGGTGCACCTGGGGGGGGCAGCCCCTGCTTCTCAGAGAGCTGCAATGTGTCTAGCAGTAGCCTGTGACCAAGCAGGGTGTTTTGAGGTGTGGGGGGCAGAGGAGTCCTGCTTTCGGCCGGATAAGCTTGCCGGCCCTTGCCGCCCAGGGCTGTCTGACTGGCAGAAGACCTCTGACATCTTGAGCAGAGATCAGTCCCTTTCCTGGCCCTCCGTCTTGAATGCAAGGAGCCCATGCATTATAGGAGCCCTGGACAGTGGTTAAGTCCAGTCCAATTCAACTAAGGGGTGTGGCGCTTTCCGGGTCATGTGGCCAGCATGACTGAACCACTACTGGAGCATGGAGGACCATGACGAGGGCCAGAGCACCACCATTGACCTTCCCGGCGCAGCAGTTCCTATTTATCTGCTCTCACTGGTCTGCTTTCGAACTGCTAGGTTGGCAGAAGCTGGGACAGAGCAACAGGAATGCACTCTGTTGCGCGGATTTGAACCGCCGACCTTCTGATCAGCAAGCCCAAGAGGCTCAGTAGTTTAGACCACAGGGCCACCCGTGTCCCACAACGCTATGTTCTAACACGACTTCTAAGTCCAGTGTTGGGGTGCCCCTGAACACCAGTTGCTGGGAACAGCACAGGTCCCCCTTGCAGGCTCCCCAGAGATGTCTGGCCGGCCATGGAGAGAACAGGGAGCTGCACCCCACGGGCCTTTCGTCTTGCTCAGCTGCCGGGCTCTTCCTGTGTAGGTCCCTCCCACCAACGCAACTTGAGAGACTGGTGTGAAGCAGGAGGGCTCCTGGGGGGAGTGGTCATCCTTTGAGGCTGTGGTTCTAACCTGGATCTGGGCTCCAGCCTTGAAACGGATGCCAGTGCCAACCCATGCCAGTCCCCCTTCCACAAAACACTCGATTTCCCCCACGGACCTGTGATTACTCCGCAGCAGGCGATGCTTCTTACTAGATAGCTTTGGAAGGAAGAGCACCAGACCACTCTCTGCCGGGGCTGCAGATGAGGCGAGGGCTCCTCTGTCTTTCCCAAGAGATGTGGTGGGGATGCGAATGAAGGGCAGGTGCCCCTGGCAGCATTGTGACGGCTCCTGCAGGGGCACCTTTCATCTCACCCCCTTCTGATCCCCACACACTTCTAATGCGTGCTAAAATGCTTTTCCTTTCTTAAAAGCAAAGTTAATCACGCAATATGGCCCCGGAACCGCAGCTGGGCATCTCGCGGGCCTTCGGTGTGGCCCTGGCGGGTGCCCGAATGAGCCCCTGCCCACGTCTGGTGCAGTTGTGGCGGGGAAGGTGGCGTTTCGTCGCCTTCCTCCCCATCAGGATCCCGAGGGCGAGCGTCGCCGCTTCCAGCGCAGCCCCCGGACAGAAAAGGCGCCCGAGCTCTCACCGGCGAATGCTTTAGAAAGGGCCATCAAAAGGGCTGCGGGATTTATTCCTGCCCCGATTGCCCTTCTTAACATCTCGTGCTTTCCTTTCTTTTTCATGAGCCCTGTCCTTGCGTCCCACCGGGCAAGGCTTGGGGGGCCACAGGCGCCTCCTCTCGCCCGCCCCGGCGTCGGTGCCGGCGGCCAGAGTGCAGCCTCTGAGCACGCACAGAGTGCAGCCAGCTCAAAGCGGCCCAGCGGGCGAGCCACGTGATCTGGCTGGCTCCCCCGCAATCATGTGACGGGCAGCTTCTCACGTGACTCAGTTCTGGGCTCCTGCCTCGAGCGAGAGGCTGCGCTGCGATGGGGCTGCTGGACTGCCGGTACCGGGGCGCGGGGGGGGGGAAGGGGGAAGGGGGTGGGGGGAAGGGGGAAGCCCCCCGGCAGACGCTTCCCGCTCCGCTGCCTGACACCCCCTCCCGTTTCTCCCGCGCAGGTGCCTCCTGCTGGCGCTGCTCCGGCTGCTCGCCTTGCTCCGCTTGGACGCCGCCGCCGCCGCCTTCGGGTGGGCTCCGGAGCCGGACCAGCTTTTCCAGTAAGCGGCCTCAGCGGGGCCGGGCGACGGGGAAGAGGCGGTGGCGGGGCCGGGCCTGGGGCGGAGGGCGCCGTCGGGGCAGCAGGACGGGCGCTTGGGCCCCTCGGGGCTCGCTCGCCGCCCGTCTCCCGCGAAGGAGGCGTCTCCCAGCCGGGGCTCGACCGAGGGAGGCCGACCGCGGAGATGGGCAGCCGCGGACCCCAAGCGCCCGTCGGGCTGGAGGAGGTTGGGGTCCGGCTGGCAGGAATGTTGTTATTATTAGGGGGTGGGTCTGGTTGGGGGACGGAAGCCCCCTTTGGCCTTGCCAGCTGAGCTTGCCGGATCCCCATCAGTCTCCTGTGAAATGGGTGCAGGGTGTTAATTCCTGGTTCCCCTGGGGGAAAAGCTGGATTTGGCTGGCGCTGCCAGACTTGGGCACTGCTCTTGCCTCCGCTGCCCACACTCTGCCGCACTCTGCCAGCTTGTTGCCACCTGTGACAGCCGTGTCTCTTTCCCAGGATCCCGGAGGGATGGAGCTGTCTGGGTCGAGTGGCTGCCTCCGAGGCGCTGAGCCTGACCTTCGCCCTCCGGCAGCAGAATGTGGGGCGCCTGGAGGAGCTGGTGCAACGAGTCTCCTCTCCAGACTCTCCAGAGTATGGTAATGCCCCCCTTCTCTCTCTGCCCCCTGCTTCTGCCCCTCCTGCTGGGGCTTCCATGCTCTCTCAGTACAGCCAAGAGAGCCGGCCTCCTTGTGGCTCAGGGCCATGTTTCATATGTCCTTGGAGGACTGCGCAGGGTTCTCCTTACGACGTCTTCTAAGGTAGGGACATCCTGTTCCTGGGCTCCCTTGCAGCACTTTGGAGGCCGAGGCTGGCAGCCTCTCACAGTGCAGCCCTCGCAGTGCCTCCCAGGCAGTGAGTCCTACTGAGCGCAGCGGGACATGGTCCTGTGTGCAAGGATTGCAGCCGCAAGGAGTTTGTGGCCCTGGGGACTTCCTGCTCAGCTTCTCTTGCACAATCTTTGGCGCTCTGGTGGCTCCCTGGGAGGAGCAGCTCGTAGGGTTTGTGGGAGGAAGGCAGGCAGGCAGATTTCCTCTTCCCAACTCCAAGGCCGTCTTTACCCCACAGGACCATCTTGGGGTTTTCCTGTGCCCTCTTTTTCCTGAGAGGGGGGAGTCGGCTAGCCTAGGAGTCCCTAGCAGAGCTCTCAGCCCCATTCCTAGGCTTCTGCTCCCAGGGCTCTCAGGGGAAGCCTGTCAGTCAAGGGGGAGCAGAAGTGGCACCTTCAACAGGAGGTGGGCAGACCGAGCAGGCGCTGGCAACCAGCAGTGGAAGACTGTGCCCTTGCTTGGCTGCCCAGCTCCCCTGACAGTCGGGGGGTGGAGGGAGACCCCTGTGACCCTCTGAGGTAGGTGGGCCACCAGAAGTCTCCTTCCCTCCCTCCACGCTGCCCTTTGTCTCGCAGGCCGGTTCCTGTCTCTGGCGGAGGTGCAGGCCCTGGTCGCCCCCTCCCCGCAGACGCTGAATGCCGTTCGCAAGTGGCTGGAGGCTCATGGGATCTGGGACTGCACAGACGTGGGCACCAAGGACTTCTTGCAGTGCCTGGTGCCAGCCGGGTGAGTTGGGACGTGGGGGCTCTTTGGGCAAGGGGAGGGCACAGAAGGCACCCTGAGCTCCCCCCACAGCTGACCCTGATCCGAGGCTTCTCCATGCAGCACGGCAGAGCAGCTCCTCCCGGGGGCACAGTTCCAGCGCTACGTCAACGGGGAGCGAAGCGTCGTGAGGTCCCCCTTTGCCTACACCCTAGCAGAGGAGCTGGCAGAGCACCTGGATTTTGGTACGGAAGCCTTGGGGAAACGGGGAGCGGCACCATGGGGCGCTCTGTCCGCTGTGTGCATGAGCCCAGACTGCCAGGGAATGTCCGGGGGGGGGGGGGAGAGTGTCTTCACCCTGCCAAGAAGTTGGTGGTGATGAAGGGAGGGCGGGCTGGACTGAGGAGTTCTCACCCCCCGCCCCCCGGTCAGCCTTGAGCCTTGGGCTGAGCAAAGTCTGCTTTAGGTGCCCCCTTCCTTCTGCCCCAGGATAACCGCAGCCTCTTCTTCTTCTCCTCCTCCTCCTCCCAATTCTCAGTGGGGGGGCTTCACCGCTTCCCTGCCGAGAGGAAGGCAGTGAGTAGGGCCTGGACTGCTGGGAAAGCGCTGCTCTCCACCTTTCACCTGGGGGTGACGCCGGCTGTGATCCGCCAACGGTACAACCTGACTAACAAGGACGTGGGCAGCTCCCACAACAACAGCCAGGCCTGTGCCCAGGTAACTGGGGGGGTGCCCCCCCGGCAGCCTCTCCATTCCCTCAGTGCCCTTCAGGGGAGCGGCCCCTGGCAATGAGGTGTGCTGGGTCTGGGTGCCCCACGCCTGCCTCTTCTCCTTCCCCCCCAGTTCTTGGAGCAGTACTTCCACCAAGCGGACCTGGCGGAGTTCATGGGTCTCTTTGGGAAGAGCTTCCCTCACCATCTGCGCGTGGACCAGGTGGTCGGGCACCAGGGCTGGGGCAAGGCCGGCCTGGAAGCCAGCTTGGACGTGGAGTACATCATGAGCTCTGGGGCCAACATCTCCACCTGGGTCTTCAGCAACGGTGGTACTGACCAGCCCCCCAAGGGAAGGGCTCCAACCTCTCTCTTGCCTCTCCCAGGGGAAGTGGGGTGGGGCAGGAACCCCCTGTGATGTGGCTGCCTGGCTGCTTTCTCTGCGCCACCCTCATCCTGGGACCAGTCGGGGCTGAGTGCTCTACTGGAAGATGCTGGGAGGCTGGCGGACTCTGACCCTCTCTCTGTCCCCCATTCCAGGATGAGGCAGACGTTTGGGAGGCAGGAGGGGGGTCTCTGGGGCTGGCCTGCCCCCATCCCACCTCTCCCTGTTTCCTGTGCAAGGTCGGCTCCCCGTGGGCCCTGCTGATATTCTTTCTCCCCTCGCCTCCCCCAGGGAGGCATGAGAGCCAGGAGCCTTTCCTGCAGTGGCTGCTTGTGCTCAGCAACATGTCTGCCCTGCCCTGGGTGCACACGGTCAGCTATGGCGACGACGAGGACAGCCTGTCCCGGGCGTACATGGAGCGGGTCAATGTGGAGTTCATGAAGGCAGCCGCGCGAGGCATGAGCATCCTCTTTGCCTCAGGTAGGTGGAGGCAGGCAGCCTGAACCCTTTGGTTCCCCTCCCTCGAAACACAAAACTGTCTCTGGTGGCACTTTGGCCTCCATGTTCCTCCCGCTCTGCCACTGTGCCATCAAGGGAAGCCTGTGAGGGGCAGGGCCTTCTTGGTTGTGGCACCTGCCTTTGAAATTTGCTCCAAGAAGGGAGATGCATCTGGCTATCTCTTTGTTGGCTGGGTGAACATCTCCTCCTGTCAGAAGATCTTCTCAGTGGTGTGTCTGCCTGCCTTGTAGGAGGAAGGCAGGGACAAGATTTATGTTGACTTGGGACATTTTATTGTCCTCTTTGGCAAGCTTGTGGTTTTAGGCTGTGATTTATATCGTGTGTTAAAGCGCTTTCAGGGTTTGTTATTTTAGTACATAGTATTGCTTAAACACCCCTTAATGTTGTGTTGTAGGCTGCTTTGGTACATTTACCATAAAATGTATTAATCTGAAGAATTTTTACCTCACTGGTTAATTTCAAAAACAATTGCAAGGCAGTTTTCCAAATGTATAATTAAAAACATCAAACATAGAATCAATGGTATAGAATAAAACAGTAATGGCAATGAAATAGTGTAGCAGCAACATTTCAAAAAGACAATAAAATTCAGGTTGCTGTCGATAAAGCAGGTTGCCCAGGCCGCTAAAGCAGTTTCCATGGTGTGCCTGAAAGGGTAGAGCGGGGGGGGGGGGGGTGGAGGGAGTGAAAGTGGCTTGCAAGTGCCGCCACCAACTGGCCAAGTCTTTGGCTGCCCTTTCCCTGCAGGTGACTCTGGAGCAGGTTGTCGGTCAGTCCATGGAGGGAAGCACACCTTCCGGCCCAGCTTCCCAGCCTCCAGGTGAGAGGAGAGGAAGGCGCCGCGAGGGGCAGGTGGGGCTGGCGAAGGGGGTCCTTGACCCAGATCCACTCACAGAGGCCTGGCCCTTCCGCATCCCCCTGAGCTTTATGCAGACCTGCTCTTGCCTTTCGAAGCCCTTCTCTGAAACCAGGGCAGTGAGCCGCTTGCGTATTTTCCAAAATGCAGGGATTCTGTAGCAGATACTAGATCTCAAATCTGCAGCCTTACTGGGTATGGGCTGTGGCTTGGCAGGGGAGCCCTCCTCCTGCTCCCTGCCCTTGGACGGAAGCAGAATCTTCTTGGGGAGGGGTCTGCGTTCTGCCCCCCTCAGCCACACTGGGAGCTGCTGGAGGGCTGCCTGTGTCTTGCCAGTCATCCTGGGGGGCTGGGAGCCCCTGGTCTGTCGGTGCCTTTGTGACGCCTTGCCTTGCTGTGCCCACAGCCCATACGTGACCACAGTGGGGGGGACGTCGTTCCAGCACCCCTTCCTGGTCAGTGCTGAGGTCACGGACTCCATCAGCGGGGGAGGCTTCAGCAATGTCTTCCCGATGCCAAAGTACCAGGTGAGTCCCATGCCACTCGCAAGGTGCCATCGTGGCTCCCTGCTGGCTCCGGCACAGTCATGTATCTGTTGACCCATCATGGCAGATTTCAGCCAGCAGCTCCTGGGCCCTTTGGGGTTTTCTATGATCCATTATGGAACTCCTTGCCACAAGCCTTCTTTAAAATTGTGAACATTTGCATAAATGGCTTTTACTGTGGTGAAGTGGTGAATTTTGAAGCGCAGGAGCTCACCCTGAAGGGCTGCCAAGCCCCCCCCCCCCAAGAGTCCAGAAATGAAAGATCCTCCCAGACAGGTGGGACTTGGGATCCCTCACCCAGGACCCGTCTCAGCTCTGCCTCCTTCCTCTTCTCGTCTCTTCCCTCAACAGACAACAGCTGTGAAGCGGTTCCTGAGCACGACCTCCAAGCTGCCACCTTCCAGCTACTACAACAAGACGGGCAGAGCCTACCCAGACCTGGCCGCGCTCTCCGACAACTACTGGGTGGTGTCCAACCGCATCCCCATGCCCTGGGTCTCCGGGACCTCGGTGAGGCGGCTGCCTGCAGGCTCTTGAGCGTTGCCCGCCTGGTGCCCGCTCCTGGGCAGGGCCGTCTGCGGGTGCTGGGCCTCACTCCGCCTCTTCTCCCCCGACAGGCCTCGACTCCTGTGGTGGGGGGCATCATAGCTCTGATCAACGACCGGCGCCTCCAGCGAGGGCAGCCCCCCCTGGGCTTCCTCAACCCCGCCCTCTACCGGCTCCAGGAGAAGGGGAACAGCACTGCCCTCTATGACGTGAGTGTGGGAAGGGGCTGGGGCCGCATCCTGCTGAAGCAGCTTGGTCCTTGGCTTTGCCAGCGGTGCGTGGGGTGTGTGCACGCAACACAGCAGCATTTTGCTTGCCGCATGGGGCAAAGAGCTGCTCTGCCTGACGACACGCTCTTCCCCTCTCCTCCTGCCAGGTGACCACGGGCTGCCACTACTCGTGTCTAGATGAAACTGTGCAGGGCCAAGGATTCTGTGCGGCTCCTTCCTGGGATCCCGTCACCGGCTGGGGGACGCCAAACTACCCAAAGCTCCTGTCTGCCCTGCTGGGCTAGGCGGCCACATCACACTTGCAGACATCCATGGCACTTGGCCACTCAACAGCCGGGGTGTTGAGAGGTCTTGCCTGGTGTCCAGCAGCCAAAGCCACATCTGCTCAGGGGAAGGAGTGGGTGGGTTGGGAATCTCAGGCTGCAAGATGGAGGCGGGGGCATTTCAGAGGGCCTGCCCCTGCCTCCATTGCAGGACCAAAAAGTGTGCATTAGCCTAACAGAAAAGACAGTGGAAGCAGAAATATGCAAACATTCATCTCTGTAAATCTATAGTGGTACGTCGGGAGGAGAAGGTGCAACTAAAAGCTAACAGTCTAAATTGTGTTTTGCGTGTGAAATACCTTGACGTGGAAAGGGTTGTGGTGTTTCTCTTAGCAAATGTGAGAACTGTGCATCTACAGCAACACAGGAGAAGTCCCATTACTGGCAAATCAGGTAGGGGGAGGGGTCACAGGGTGTGCCTTTCTGCACTTAAAGGTGTGATGTACCCCCCTCCCCATACTCTCTGGATGAAGTCCTGCCTCTAGGAAACCTAACTCCATCCCCAAGTGCTCTTCACAAGCTCCAACTGGAAACTACCTCATTGGAGTGAAGATGGGGGTTGCCCTCCCTGTTGGCGCTGTGTCTCCCGGACCCACTCATGGGGGGCCCACAAGATGCAATGCCAGTGAGTCCCTCTCTATGCCACAACTGCTCCCTAAGCAGAAGGCCTTGCTTGGGTCCTGGCCCCGATCCTGTCCCACCTGCAGGAACTGCTTTGCCAGCACTACTTGGGCACGATTTGCAGGTTGGGGGATTTTTGGGTGGAGGGAGCCCAGTTCAATGCCTCCATTGCCTGGGAAATCTTTGCCAGGCAGGCCCCCCCCCTCATTCTTTCCCTCCTGCTCCAAGGTCAATGGAGGCAGCACTTCTTCCCCCATTCCTACCCCCTAATTTGCACTAGAGCATTTAATGTAGAAATACGGATATTCTTCCTCCAATAATGGATTTATATATTCAGCTTTGATAATTCTAAATACAATTACTTATGGTTGTGATTTCTTTTAAAAACAACAGATTTGTGGTGTCTCAGGTTCATGGGTGTGAATGCAAAAGCAGAGCAATAAATAAAGACTTTGGAGACTTTGGGCTGCTCTGTGGTGTATTGATTTCCGGCTTCGGTTGGGTGCGTCTCTCAAACTCAGCCTCGCCTTCCCTGACTGGCAGCAGCGGCCCGCCCAGGCCCACCTGCGGATGCTGCCGGAGAGGACTGACCCCGGAAGGGGGGTCGGGACCCCTTCCGTCCTTCCCCATGTTGCTCGAGTCCCGCCCCGTGAAAAGCAGCAGCAGCAGCGCAGGCGCGCCCCCGGCTCAGCCCAAGGGCGGCCATCCCGGCCAGCGGCCCCGACCGAGAGCCCGCTCCTCCTCCTCCGGGGACTGGCCCACTCCGCCCGCCGCTGCTGCTGCCGCTCTCGTGGCCGGGAGTTCCGCAGCCCAACTCGGCCGCCCGGACTGCCGCGGAGGCTCCGCCCCCGGCCCCGCCCCGGAGAGGAGAGCGGAAGTGGCGTCTGCGCGGAGGCCGTAGAAAGATCGGTCCGGAAAAGGAAGCGGCGGCCGCCGCTCAGGCCCCGCCCCTCCACTTCCGGGACCTTCTTCCCCTTCCTCTCGGCTGGGCTCGCGGCGCCTGCGCAGAAGCTGCTGGAAGCGACGCTGCTGGCCCGGGACTCCATGAGCGCCATCGGGGGAAGCGGCGGCGGAGGCGGCGGCGGAGGCGGCTTGGAGCCCGACCTCAGCCCGGCCGTCCCCGTCCCCCTCCCCGCCGCCGGGGGAGACAGCGCCAAGGGCAGCCCGGGGCTCGTGGCGGCCGGAGCCGGAGGGGCCGGTGAGAGAGGTGGGGGGGAGGGGAAGGGGGGAGGGGCAGTGAGGGGAGGGGAGGGGGAGGGGCAATGGAGGGGGAGGGGAAGAGCAGTGGGGGAGGGGGAAGTGGGGGAGGGGAGGGGCAATGGAGGGGGAGGGGAAGAGCAGTGGGGAGGGGAAGTGAGGGGAGGGGCGATGGAGGGGGAGAGCAGTGGGGGAGGAGGAGGGGGAGGGGCAATGGAGGGGGAGGGGAAGAGCAGTGGGGGAGGGGAAGTGGGGGAGGGGGAGGGGCAATGGAGGGGGAGGGGAGGAGCAGTGGGGGAGGGGAAGGTGGGGGGAGGGGCAGTGGGGGGAGGGGCGCCTCCCTCCCTTTGCCCAGGGTCCCTCTCTAAATCCCTCTCTCTCCCCGCAGGTGCCTCCTCCTCCTCTTCTTCCTCCTCTTCTTCCTCCTCCTCCTCGTCCTCCTCGTCCTCACTCCTGGCTCATCCCGCGGAGGCAGCGCCCTCGGTGCCCAACGGGATCTTCGCGCCGCCCGGAGCGGCCGCCAACGGGGACTCGAAGCCTGCCGTCCTTGCCGCCGCCCCGTCCTCCTCGGCCTCCGCCGCCCCAGCCTCCTCTCCCACCTCCAGCGCCCCGCTGGTCGACTTCCTGCTGCAGCTGGAGGATTACACGCCCACGGTGAGGCCCCCTTCCCCGCCCGGCCCCCGGCAGCCTCGCCGGCCCCTGGTGGCATCATCTCCCTCTTGAACCACCCTCCTCGTGCTTCCCTTCCAGATCCCAGATGCCGTCACGGGCTACTACCTGAACCGCGCTGGCTTCGAAGCTTCCGATCCGCGCATGTAAGTGGAGCCGTGGGGGGAGAGACCAAGTCCCCAGGACAGATAGACTGCCCCTTCCTCTAGGGGCCCCGTGTGGCTCTTAGAGACCCATCCTGGGGCTCTCCCACACCTCCCCTCATCCCTCCTCTGGTCTCCCCTTCCAGCATCCGCCTGATCTCCTTGGCCGCCCAGAAGTTCATCTCCGACATTGCCAACGACGCTCTGCAGCACTGCAAGATGAAGGGCACGGCCTCTGGCAGCTCCCGAAACAAGAGCAAGGTGAGGTCCCCCCAATGTCTCCCTCGCAGGGGGCCCCTTCCGCAACTCTCCCTTCAGGTGCCCAGGCGGGATGCCCAGCTGACGCCCCTCCCTCTCCCCTCCCCCACTGCAGGACAAGAAGTACACCCTCACCATGGAGGACCTTGCGCCCGCGCTCTCCGAGTACGGCATCAACGTCAAGAAGCCCCACTACTTCACTTAGCTGCCAGTCCCCCTGGATTCGCTCTTGGACTGCTTCTCTTTCCTCTTGGCTGCTGTACCATTAAAGTTCTCCCTTTCTGGATCTCCCTCCCTGCCTGTCGCTCCTTCTGCATCGGAGGAGGAGGGGAGCAGCTCTGATGAAAGATGGGGTGTATTTGAAGCAAAGGTGTGCCAGAACACCGGGGGGGCGGGGGCGTAAGGAAGATGTCTTTGGCTCGCCTGGGCATGACGTTCCTGGGACACCCAAGGAAGTTCATCCATCATTTCCTGTGGTGCATGTGTAAGGTAAAGGCAAAGACAGTGATATTTAATAGAATCTTAGAGTTGGAAGGGACCCCAAGGGTCATCTAGTCCAACCCAGCTGCAGTGCAAGAGTCTCAAGAAAGGAGATTCCAACTAAACATTCGAAAAAACTTTCTGACATTATTATTTATACTCTGCCCATCTGGCTGGGCTTCCCCAGCCACTCTGGGCGGCTTCCAACAAAATACTAAAATACAGTAATTCATCAAACATTAAAAACTTCCCTAAACAGGGCTGCTTTCAGATGTCTTCTAAAAGTCTGGTAGTTCTTCTTCTCTTTGAGATGGCCCTTGGGATCCCTTCCAGCTCGTAAGAGTCTATGATTCCTGACAGTCTTCACTTCTCCAGGGTCAGCGTACCTAACAGTTCATCTTAGTTGCCCTCTGCACATGCTCCAGTGAATGGGAATGGTCTGGGCAGGGCCTCCCTCCCCTGTCTTGTTGGCACTTGGGCAGCAATGTTCCTCGACAGCGAAGCTCGTCCAGCATTGCCTGTGAGGTGCGGGGAAGCCAAGGTCAGCGAGGCTTCTGAAGGCCACTTGCAGGAAGCCACACCAGGGAGATGGGCTCTGGTGCCTGGGGGCTGCTTGCTTGTTCCCCTGTGGGGGAATCTGGCTGGCCAGCAAGAGAACAGATTGCTGGACTTGGTGGGCCTGCTTGGCCCTGATCCAGGAGCAAAACAGCTAGGAGTTGCAGGGAGGAGGTGGGTGGAAAGCTTGACTGCTCCAGGGTCAGGGGCTCAGTTGCTCCAGCTGCAGCAGCTTTTCTCTTTGGTTACTTGTGCTGTGCTGGGGAAACCAGAGGGAACTGGCCTCTTGAAGGTCAACCTCCCCCCCCCCAAGTCTGGACTTGCTGTAGTGATCTTCCAGTGCCCCACAGGTTTTGAACCATTCTATTGGAGAAGGGGGACTTTGGGGCAGGGGGATGGCAGTGGTAGGTTGGGCAGCAGGTGTGACTCCTACCTTTCTATGGTAGGCGACAGTCCAGGCCCTCCAAAACTCAGAGGTTTCGGCTCACACACAAAGTCCCTCTCTGTCCAGTCAAGCACGGTCACAGTTGACAGTTTTTTCCACTAGGCAAAAACACTTCAGGAGGGGATGGAGCTGTGCGAAACAGCCCCCGCCCCCCCCCGCATGCAGCCAAGTGGCTCTGCGTGACTCAGCAGCTGCCTCAGAGCCTCCCCTGTCCTGTGACCACGGCCACCAACCCCGCAGTAACTCAAGCGCTGAGGGTGGCCTCAGCTGATGCCAAGGAGAACACTCCCCGGCCGCACCCATTGCATCTGTTCTGCTTTCTTTCTCCCATTCCAATGGGTCGTTTGGTTTTCTCCTTCCGTCTCTCCACCGAGAAGGTGTGTGGAGGCGATTACTTGTGGAGCAGGGAAACTTACTCTGCAAGGAAAACCACAAGCATGCTGCTGGCTCCGGCGAGAGGCCTATCTCACCCACCACAGCTGGCTCGTTGCCTCTGGTGCTGGAGCAGCTGCAGAGCTGCTAGGAGCAGCGGCCTGATCCTGCTCAAAGCACCCACATGTGTTGGGCATGAGACCAGGAGAAAGGCTGCTGCCCGCTGAGCCTTTCGGCTGCCACTGCCTGTCCTTTTCCCAGCTTTGCACTATCCTTTCTGGGCTGCGTCTGAAAGAGGGTTGTGGCCCATATTTGCCATGGCATTAGGAGACTGAAAAGAGGCTGGTTTCAGTCGAGGGCAACAGAAGACCAGCCAGAGTGTGGCACCTGATGGGAGTTGAACCCAAATACAGCCACCTCCCCACAGTAGATTGTCGTATGTTGGAAATGGACCAGGCTCCCGGGGCTGGAGCAACCGTCCTCTTCGGCCGAGGCCCACCAGGGAAGCTGGGGCAGCCCGCTGTGTCCCCCTCACCCCACAAAGGCTGCAGTGACCACGGTCTCCTTTAATAACTCTTTATTTTGAGCCCTCTGGCTTGGGCCGGGGCCTGCATAGAAAAGATAAAAACCGTGCAGCGCAGAGGCAGGCGGTGGGCTCTGAGTGCGATGCGACCTTGCTGATGCGCGCTGAGGGGACGGGGTGCTAGGCACTGTGGAAGGCAGCGCAGCATTGCTGGGGGAGCTTAAAAGGCCAGGGCAGCTTACAGCAGGGACCCCCCCCCCAAATAGAGCTGCCCCGAAAGGGGAGGGGGGCAAGGCGGTGGCTCCTTCTGTACCGTTTTGTTTCAAGAGCAAGGAAGTGGCGCTTCCTGTCATCAGCGCCTCCCCAAGGCACTTGTGGGCAGGCTGGAGGGGGGGCCTGAAGAGCACGTCCCCCTCCCCTCACTTCTCCTGCATCTTCTCAAGGATGGGGACGATCATGTCAAATTTGGGGCGCTTGGCTGGGTCCTCATTCATGCAGATCTTCATCAGCTTGCAAATGTGGGGGGAGATGCCTGGGGGGATGGTGGGTCGCAGCCCCTCCAGGGCAACCTGGGAGAAGGAGGAGGAGGAGGAAGAAGAAGAACCTCAGATGGGGCCCCCAGGGTCGCCAAGTCCAACCCTGCCAAGGTGTGGGGGGGTCCTGCCCTCCTGCCCCTTCCTCACCTTCATGCCAATCTCCATGTTGGAGAGGTCAGCAAAGGGCACTTCCCGCGTCACCAGCTCCCACAGCAGCACGGCAAAGCTCCACATGTCGGCCGAGCGGCGGTTGATCTCCTCTGCCTTCTTCTGGAGAGCTGCGGGAGCAAAGAGGGGCTGCAGAAAAGCAGTGGCTGGAAGGGGGACCCCTCCCCAGCAGGGCAGCTGCTCTGCCTGCACTCGGCCCCCCAAGCAAGCCCAGGGGGGCTTGGGGGTCAGAGGAGGGCAGTGTGGCAAAGTGGTCAGAGGCACTCGCGGGAACGGACCCCCCCCCCCCGGGAGTGCTTTTCAGTTTGAGGCGTTCTTCTGCATTAAGCAATAAATAAATATAATGAAACTAAGAATAAGAGCCAGAAAAGAAAGATGACAAGTTCGGGGCGGGGGGGGGGGGGAGATCTGTGGAACAGCTCTTAGTGCAGTGACTGCTCTGCCCACCACAGTCGCAAGAGGGGAGACTGGCTCTGGCGCTTGGATCCTGCTTGCGGGCTCCCCTGAGGGGCATCTGGTCGGCCAGGTGGCGCAACCCCCCTGGCCCGATCCAGCAGGCTCGTCTTTGGATCTCAGCGGAGGGCAGGGCGCCACTCACCTTCCGGCGCCACCCAGGCGGGCGCATACATCCTGCCAGGGCACTGGAAGGAGAACTTGACGTCTGCCATGCTGATCCGGGCCGTCATGTCCTCATCGATCTGTGGGGGGAGGGAGGACACAACGGGGAGCTCAGCCTCCTGGAGACCCCACCCGCCCACTGAACCCCAGAAAGGGCCCCCCACGCACCATGATGCTGCGGCTGTTGAGATAGTGGCGCGGGATGAGGGGCTCCAGGGTGTGCAGGAAGGCCATTCCTCGGGCCACGTCCAGAGCAAACTTCACGGCCTGCGTCTGGTCCACCACAAAGTCTGCAGGGGGAGAGAGAGTGGGGGGGCAGATATGGGGGGGGAGCCTGCGTCTGCCGGGGTCAGCGCTTGCTCCCGAGCGCTGTCCGGAAGGGTGGGAAGGGCTTCCAAGGGCTGCCTGTGATTCAGGGGCCACAGTGCAAGAATGGCAGGCCCCCCAACCCCTTCTGGCTCTGGCCATCAACGCACTTTAGGCCTGGAAAGACGTAACGGCAGCCAGAAAGCACTCTGTTCCCTCCCAAGAGCTACAGAGAGAGCAAATGATTCCGCGTTGCCCGGGGGTGGGCTAGATCCCTGGGATCCCTTCCCACATCCCCAGCAAGGCCCCTGGGTGCCCTCTTGGAAGCAGGGCGAGGTAGGGGAAGGGAGACTCACTGGTGCCTTCATGGAGCACGTTGTAGAGGGAGCCGTAGGGCATCCAGTGGGTGAGGGTGATGGGGTGCGGAGCAGGAGGAGACTGGCAGGCTCCCAGGACCGGCAGCACGTTGGGGTGGGAGAAGATCCTGCGAGGGGAAAGGAGGCGAGTGGAGGAAGCAGCCCAGCCACCCACCTCCTGCGCTCACGTGGGCAGGCAGGGGCTGCCCCACAGGACCCCCCACCCACCTGAGCTTGGGGTACTCCTCATTGAAGTCGCGGCTCTTGCGGGTCGTCCAGTCTCGGGGCTTGAGCACTTTGATGACGATGCCGTTTCCCTGCCAGCGCCCTTCCCAGAGCTGTGGAGAAGGCGGAAGGTCAGAGGGGAATGGGGCGAAGGAGACGGGGGGGAGAGAAGGGGAAAGGAGCGGCCCCCACCTCTCCAGACTGGTTCTCGTTGAGCTTGTGTCCCAGGGTCAGCTGCCGGAAGTCGATGCCAGCCAGCTTGTTCAAAGTCCCGTTGCCTAAAAGAGGAGACCTTCAGCCAGGCGCAGCCAGCAGAAGGAACCGCCCAACCCACTGGGCGAGGAGAGTTCCCTCTGCCCCCCCCCGGCTCCCAGGTCTCCCCCTTCCTGCAGGGCTCTTACGAGGTCTTGTCCGTGTTGTGCCCTTCCAGAAAGTGTCCTTGAAGGGGATGCGCGTGAGGCTCTGGCCCAACTTCTCTGCTCGCTCTGGAGGGGGTGGGGAGAGAAAAGAGGGATGTTGTGCAGGTGGAAAGGGGGTGGAAAGAGCCCCCCCCCCCAGCTCCTGGAGCTGAAAAGGCAGGGCCAGGAAGCAGGAGGGGGTGCAGAGGAAGGGTGGCAGGAACCAGCAGGGGACCCCCAAGGGAAGAAGGCTCAGAGCCCTCCGGGGGTTGGGGGTGAGACCTTGGGGAGTGGTCAGAGGCAGGAGACTGGGAAGAGGAGGTGTGGGAAGAGGTAACAGGGTTTAGTCAGCCGGGATCCAGAATCAGAGGCAGAAGGAGGGCGGCCAAGAGGCAGAGATCAGGCAGGCTGGAGAAGAAGCCAGGTCATGGATTGCACATCATGCACTCGGGGAGATATCTTGGCTGAACAAGTGTGTTCAAACGCTCTAAAGAAATTAACAAATGTAGTCTGACCCAAAACAAAGGGGGGAAGTAGCTGAAGGCAGCCGCTGAGCAGGGAGGGGCTTAAGGAGGCAGGGTGGGCCGGAGCCGCACTCACCTTTCAGGGAGTCCCGCAGGGGCGCCTTGGCCTTGTCCAGGGGTGTCTCCCCATATTTGTTGCAGATGCTGACGAGAGCCCCGCTGGCCACCAGGTCCTGAAGGACGGGGAGGGTGAGACCGTCTTCCCACAGCAGCCCTTCATGCCCAGCCCCCCTCCCCACGGGGCACCAGGTCTTCCACCAGCCCCACTCCCCACAGGTCACCGCTGCCCTCCTATTACGGGGCTTTCATTTAGTTTTAAATTGCGTGAATTGGGGTATATGAATTTGCTTGAACAGAGCGCGAATGTTGCCACTGCGGCAGGAAGAGACCCGGCAGCCCCACGTGCCTCTGCCAAAGCAGCCCTCACCTCAGCTACCTGCTCCTGGGCCCAAAAGCAGGCGTAGTGGAGGGGGGTGTTCCCGTGCTCGTTCACCGCGTTGATGTCGGCCTTGAACTGGATCAGCTGAGCAGGGCAAGAAGACAGAGGGTGGGCTGGGGAAGGAAATCCCACTCCAAAAGACCCCCACAAAGTGAAATTCATCCCCCCCCCCGGGAGGGAGATGCGCCAGACGGCCACCCTCTTCCCTCTCCCTGCAGGGGGCGCCCTAAGACCCAGAGGAGGAGGTGGGGAAGCAGGGGTGGGGACCGGGAGCCTTGGGCAGCCCCCTCCCTGTGGGGTCCCCCCTACCTTCTGGACAATGTCCCGGTGGCCGTGGCTGGCAGCCAGGTGCAGCGGGGTGTCGTCCCCCCGGTTCATGACATTGATGCGCGCCCCTCGCATGACCAGCATGTCCACCACGCTGGAGCGGCCCTCGCGGCAGGCCCAGTGCAGGGGACTGAAGCCGTGGTCATCGCTGCAGGGAGGGAGAGGGGCCCTGCTCAGTGCCCAGGGCAGGAGAGGGGCCAGCCTGGCCAGGGGGCAGAGCTCCAGGGGTCCCGGGGCACCTGGTCAGGGCTGGGAGTGCCAGAGGCAGGAGCAGCCTGGGAGAGTCTGGGAGCCCAGGAAACCCTCCTCCCTCCCTGAGCTCACTCTTCTGGAGCCAAGCGCAGGAGAAGAGGAAGACCAGGCCTTAAAAGGAGATCTGAGCCAGGAAGACGGGGCAGCCCCAGGCCCCAGCCGGGACAGCAGCGAGGGGGCCAAGCAGATGGGAGCATCCCAGGGGAGAAAAGCAACCACTGGCCCGGAAATCAAAGGGTCGCCTAGTCCGGCCCCTGCAAGGCAGGAATCTCAGCTAAAGCATCCTTGACAGATGGCCGCCCAACCTCAACTTTAAAACCTCCGAGGAAGAAGCATCTGCCTCCCCTGTAGAACAGATCAGAAGGGGATCCTGGCTGGCATCACAGACCCCACCCACCCATCCTTCCTGCCACCCCCAAATCCCTTCAAGCCTTGGGGACCAGACTTCGGGGGGTGGTGGTGGTGGCTGTGGCTGCTTCAGAGGACTAGGAACAAGTTCAGGACCAGAGGAAAATGAAGCCACCCATTTGCCTGACCCTGGACTCCCTAGAGGGATTTGGGGGTCGTTGCACAGCCCCCAGCTTCAAGCCGCCTGCCCCCAGGGAAGGAGGCTGGCTCCTTAGGCAAGGGGCTTCTCCCACCCCCACCCCAGGGCTCCTCCACAGCAAGGCTGAAATGAGGGGGGAATCTGGGCAGCCTCCCTCACTGCCCTCCTCCCCTCAGGGCTGGGCTGGTGCTTCTGGACTCCCGCCACCTGCTCTGCCATCCAGGCTCCCCCCCCCCCCCCCAGCTCCGGCAACAGAATTCCTGCCGGCGTGTTTCGGAGCTGCGGTCATTTCCTGTCCTTTCCAGCCAAGGGGACAAAATGCAGGACGAAGGCGGCTTGGGGGCGCGGGGGGCGGACAGGGGGACTGGGGGACTCCCTCCCTCCCTCCCTCCCTCCCGCTCCCCACTCACCCCTGGTTGAGGTCGTTCTCCGTGTTGTCCAGCCAGAGGCGCACGGCCACGGCGTTGCCCTCCCGGCACTGGGTGAAGATGTCGTCCATGGTCCCTCCTGCCAAAGGAGGGCGGGGAGGGTCAGCCCGCCGTCGGAGCCGCGATGAGCCCCTCGCCCCGCAACCCGCCTGGCCCCCGCTGCCGGGCGTGCCGGGCAGCTGCACCCCACCCGAGTAACGGTCCCGAGCAGTCCCGATTCAGGGCGGGAAGAGGGCGATAGGCAGCCGCCCCGACATCCTGCTCGGGGGCCGAGAATCTGGGCTCTAGGTCCGGGCAGGAGCCCCCGACGCCGCCCTTCCGCAGCAGCGCCGCAGCGCCGGGCCAGCTGAGCCCCCCAGGGTCCCCCAGGAAGCCGCCCTCCCGGGCCCCGTCGGGCAAGGGCAGCGGCGGACGGGCGTGGCCGGGGCTGCTGCGAGGCTGCGGCTGGGCTGCCCCACCCCGACCCCGGGCGATCCCCGTCTCGCCGCCCCCTTTACCGTGCCCGATCGCGGCGGCGGCTCCGTGTGTGGCGCGTCCCGTCGGCTCGGCTCCTCCCCGCCGCTCCCTCGGGCGGCTCCCGCCGGAGACCGCCCCTCCCGGCCTCCGCTCCCTCCGACGGCCCCGCCGCTCCCGCCCCGCCCGGCAGCAGAGGCTCCGCAGCAGCGGCCACGGGCGCCACCAGGCGGCGCTGCAAAGCCCGCCCAGGCCGGGCGCGGGGGTCCGGGCGCCCCGCCTCCGTCCCAGACAGGCCCCTGGGCCGGGCGGCGGCCCCGGGCGCACTCTGCTCCCCGGCCCGCCCAGGCGCGCCCCAGCCACGGGGTCTCTCTCCGCCGTCGCCCCCCGAGGGCGCCCCTTCCCCCGGCGCCCCTTGCTGGCGCGGCCTCCGGGCGGCAGGGGGAGCCCGCGGGCCGCTCTGGCGGCGCTCTCGAGAGGGCAGCCCGGAGACCCGGAACTTCCGCCAGCGTGAGCGCCCGGGCTGCTGCTGCTGCTGCTGCTGCTGCCTCTTTGCCCCGGGACGATGTTCGAGGAGGCTCCGTGGGGCGAGGCGGCGGAGCTGGCGCTGCCGGGCCCGCGGGCCGAGGCGAGTCCCTCTGGGGGCCGCCCCCGCCCAGCCCCGCCGCGCGCCGGCGCCTCCTGGCCACGCTGCGCCGCCTGCAGAGCTCGGCGCCGCGCCCGCCTTCCCCGGCCTCCTCCGGCCGAGGCAGCAGCAGCGCGTCGGACTCGGAGGCCGAGCAGCCGCCCGAGAGGAAGCGCCCGAGGAAGGGGTGGCAGGCGGGGTCGCCCCCCGGAGCTCCGCCATCGCAGCAGCAGCAGCAGCGCCTCCCGGCCCGGAAGGAGGAGCCGGCGCCCCGAGCAGGTGATGCCGCTAGGCTGTGGCCGAGAGAATTGCCCGGGGTGCAAAGGCGGGTCAGGGGGGTTGGCCTGGGTTGGAGTTCGGGTGGCGGCAAGCGGCAAGCTGCCTTCTCGCGGGACTCTCGACGGCTTGTGGGTTTCCCATCAGGGTTGTCCACTGTAAGGCTATGGTGTTGGACTAGGTTCTTAGGATCTTATGAAACCGTCCCTGGGGGCCTCTGCAGGTGGGGTGGGGCTGGTCCCTCTGCCTGGAACCCCGGTGGGCTGTTGCCACCAGCAGTCAGTGCACAGAGCCCTGGACTAGAGCGATCATCTGGGCGGGGGGGGGGGGGCGATGGAGCCCAGGGCTAAGCACCTCTGTCCTTGCCCTGTCCAGACAAAGCAGCTGGAGGCGGAGACCCTGAGCCCAGCAGCAAGCAGAGGAGCGCTGGGGCAAAGGACCCAGAGGAGGAGCCAAGGCAGCGGCTGACCAGGAGACAGTGGAAGAACCGCCAGAAGAACAAGCGTCGCCAGAACAGGTTCAAGGCAGGGCTGGGCCGCGAGGAGCCCCCTGCAGTCCCTGCAGCAGCAGAGGAGCCCCCCAGCAGCCAGGAAGATCCAGCAGGCCAGGAACTTCTCAGCGAAAGGGCAGCATCCCTGCGGCTGCGCATGGAGGAGCGGCTGGAGTCAGCGCGCTTCCGCTTCATCAACCAGCAGCTCTACACATCCTCCAGCCAGCAGGCGGTCCAGCTCTTCCAGGATGACCCTGAGGCCTTGGCAGTGTATCACCGGGGCTTTGCCCGGCAGGTGGCCCAGTGGCCTGAAAACCCTGTGCAGCGCTTTGTGCACTACCTGCGTCAGAGGTAAGGATGGGGGGGGGGATTGGCCAGCTCCCCCCCTTCAACATGTGCTGGTTAAGCAAACATCTGCACGTGTTGCAAGGTCATAGTTAATGTATAGAAGTGTTTGACAGGATGGGTGCACGGTCTAACTTTGCCCCTCCCCTCACAGACCAGCATCACTCGTGGTGGCAGATTTCGGTTGCGGGGACTGCATGCTGGCACGCAGCGTGCGGAACAAAGTGCACTGTTTTGACCTGGTGGCTCTGGACCCCCGAGTCATGGTCTGTGACATGGCCCAGGTACGTTGGGGGGAGGGCCTCCTCACAGCACCTGCCTTCTCCAGGCTTGGGAACAGCTGTGTGATGAGCCCATGCAGGTGGGCTTTGCTTCACTGGAGGCTTTTAAGCAGAGCTTGGACAGCCACGTGTCAGGGCTGCATTGAGTGTGATTCCTACAGTGCAGGGGGTTAGACTAGAGGGTCCTTGGGTGTCCCTCCCAGCTCCATGATTCTATGACTACCTCACACACATGGTTTTCCGATTGCGCCTCCCTCTTTTTGCTCCTTCTGTGCAGGTCCCCCTGGATGATGAATCTGTTGACGTGGCTGTGTTCTGCCTGGCACTGATGGGTACTAACCTGCAGGAAATCTTAGAAGAGGCCAACCGTGTGCTACGAGTTGGGTAATTGTGGGGTCCTGGGGTCACTGGCATGGGAGGGGCTGTGGCAGTGAGGGGGACATGTGAAATGGCTGATCAGGGCACTGCCAGCTCAGTCAAAACCTATGGCTGTCATATGGGGATGATGATATTTAATACCTATACTGCTTAATAATAATAATAATAATAATAATAATACTCTGCCCATCTGACTGGGTTTTCCAGGCAGAAATATTAAAATATTAGTAATATATTAATATAGTTAGAATATTTTAAAGCGTTGTACAGAAAACTGAAATAACAACAACTTAAACAAAAGATATGACTAAAATAAAGGATTATGTTAATATACATTTATTAATATTCAGACAATAAATTAATGATGGTTGCAAAGAGCCTTGAGGCAGTGAATCAGCTAAATCTGCTTAGTAGCAAAATTTCAGCATAACTAACTTGAATATTGAAAAAACCACTATTCGTGTATTTTCTATTTCAGTATCAAAACAGTCTCGAAAATATGCATGAAGCCCCCCTGATCTAAAGTTTACTTGCATTCTTTAAAATCAGTCCTCGGCACCAATTGCCTTTGAAAACAAGTAGCGAGGAGGAGGAGGAGACTCTCTGGCCAGGAAGAGCGTTGGTGGAAGTGCAGACTTCCCAGGCAGGCCTTGGGTTCACCCCCTCACACCCACCCATGGCAGCTCCAGGCAGAGCTCAGAGAAGGACCCCTGGGTCTGAATTCCTGGAGAGAGAAGGAAGGCTCTCAGTGGCTACATGTCGGCCACAGGATCAGAGGCAGCAGCTCTGCATCATTGTGAATAATAATAGTAGTAATAATAATTTTATTGCTTGTATCCCGCACATCTGGGTGGGTTACAGGACATGAAATACTGTAAAACAAACATTTTAAATTTCCGAAGGTGGGAAGGGGCTGCTTCTGAGGCATCCTCTGAGGTTTCCTGACGTGAAATGCAGTAATAAAATAAGCAAGCATTCCTTGGACTGCTTAGGGGGAAAGGATTACATGATTGGTAACCATTCAGAGCTCCAGCAAAAACAATGACCTATAGCATTTGGGGCCCCTCTCTTTGGGGGCCAGGCCAAGCCGGCTCCCAGCCCCTCCCGGGTCCTGCAGGTGCCCTCCTGACCCACACGGGGGGGGTGTCCTGCTCAGGGGATTCACTCAGCATCCCTCTTAGTCCTTTCTGCCGCCCTTGCATTTCTCTGCCCCCCCCCCCCCGCTGGCTGATCTCCGCCCTCCGTCTCTCCGCGCAGGGGGACCCTCCTGGTGGCCGAGGTGGCCAGCCGCTTCCCGGACGTGCGGGCCTTCGTGGCCGCGCTGGCCCGGCTCGGCTTCCGCCTCCTCCGCAAGGTAGGTCTCCTCCCCCTCCCTCCCTCCTCCCTCCCTCCTTCCCGGGGGCCGCGCGAGGCCCCCTTCCGGCCCGCGCGCGCCTCCGCATGGCCTTCCCTCTCCTCTCCTTGCAGGACGTGACGGGCAGCCACTTCTTCACCTTCGAGCTGCGCAAGGCGGAAGCGGCGAAGCGGAAGGGGCGGGGCGAAGGGGCTCTTCCGGGCCTGGCGCTCCGCCCCTGCCTCTACAAGCGGCGGTGACGCCACGGGGGGCGGGGCTTCGTCTGGGCCGCCGCCTCGCTCTGAATAAAGCGCTTGTCTCTCGAAGCGGAAGTGTCTCGTCTCGTCTCGCAATGCCTGCTGGGGGCTGTAGTTGAGGGAGGGGCGGCGGCGGTGCGTGGCCGGCGCAAGCGCAGTCCGGCCGAGTCCGGGCGGCAGCAGCAGCAGCAGCAGCGATGTCGGGATCGGCGGGCGGGCCGGGCCCCGGCGGCGGCGGCGGGGGCAAGCTGGACATCAACCGGGCCTGCGTGGCGGAGCTGGAGCGGGCGCTGGTCGGCATCGGGCGCCGCCGGGCGAGGGGCATCGTGCGCAAGCGGGAGGTGAGGGACCCAGGCGTCCGAGGGGCCCGCTCCCTTCCCCGGGGGGGGGGGACTCCGCTCCGGGCGGGAGGGGCTTTTCCGGGGGGCTCCTCTCCTCCCGGTGCGTGACGGACGGGGCGCCCTCTCCCCGCCAGGAGCTGAAGGGCTTCGCCTCCCTGGACGACCTGCTGCACGTCAAGGGGATCACGGCGCGGATCCTGGAGCTGAACAGCCAGCGGATGACCTGCTCGCCGCCGCCGCCGGAGCCCGCCCGAGCCGCCGCCTGCCGGGCGTCGTCGTCCTCGGCTCCGGCGCCCGAGGTGGGCTTGGCGGCGACCTTGGCCCGCGTCTCCGGGGCGGGCGGGAGGCGGGCGGAAGAAAGCCGGGCGGGGGGCGGGCGGCCGGGCCGAGGCTCGCTGAGCCCCGCTGCCCGCTTCCCCGCGCAGGCTCCGGACGAAGAGGCGGGTCGGTCCCCGCCGCGTCCCGGGCCGCGGGAGAGCTGGGCACCGGCCTGCTTGGCGGCCGAGGAGGAGCCGGGCAGCTCCTGCCCGCCGGGGGCGGCCGACTCCGAGGATGAGACGAGCGGCGGCGGCAGCAGCGATGGCGAGGAGGGCGGCGGCGGCGGCGACGTCTACTTCTACTACACGGTGGACGAGCGCTGGATCGACTACCTGGAGCGGACGGAGGGCGGCGGCCTGATCCGGCACACGCGGCCCAAGGTGAAGAAGGGGCTGCGGGGGGAGAGGACGGGAAGAGGGAGGCTGCCCGGGATGGGCCAGATCCAGCAGACGCTTCTCCTTCGGAAGCTGCCGGGGGAAAGGAGCCCAGAGAAAGGGACGGGGCTCGGGGGCGCAGCAGCCGAGAGGGGCTGGGCAAGTTTTCGGTTTGGCCTTCTCTTTGGCCCGGGGCGGCTGGCAGGAGAAGAGGGTGATGCTGGCCAGGACCTTCAGGTTCTTCCCGGAAATGTCTGTGGCATCAAAAGCTTGTGCTGAGCGTTTCTCAGGGGTGCAGCCAAGGGACTGTGCTGACCAAAACAAGTGGGTGGGACCACTTGAATTTAATGCCTTGTTCATGATATCTTTTCTTTTCCTCGCTGGAGGAATTTTTGAAGTTGGAGCACATTTTTCCTGTGCAGATTTGAAATCTGCAATTCAAGGAGGAGGGGCTGCTGGGGGCAAGTAGCCACCATGGCTAAGCATGCTCTGCCCTGCAAGGTGGGAGGCAGCGATGCCTCTGAAAACCAGGTGCTGGAAGCCACAGGTGACCAGAGGTGGGGGGAGTGTTGTTCTTGGGCACAGATTGTGCCTGTGGGTTTCCATAATGGGCATCTGGTTGGTCACTGTGGGGACAGAGGGCTGGACTGGACGGGCCTTCTGATCAGCAAGCCCAAGAGGGTCAGTGTGCTTTAGACCACACTCCCATTCACATCCCTTTTTGAATCTGCACAATGGGGTGAGCTCCTGTTGCTTTGTCCCAGATTCTGCCAACCTAGCAGTTTGAGAGCGTGCCAGTGCAAGTACATAAATTGGTACTTCTGTGACAGGAAGGTAAATGGCATTTCTGTGCGCTCTGATTTCCGTCACTGTGTTCAGTTGCACCAGAAGCGGTTTAGTCCTGCTGGCCACCTGACCTGGAAAAACTGTCTGCGGACAAACACCGGCTCCCTCAGGGTGAAGCGAGATGAGCACAGCACCCCATCGTCACCTTGGACTGCACTTCAACTGGGGTCCTTTACCTTTACTTGATGGGCCGTTGGCCTCATCCCGCAGGCTCTTGTGATTCTCGGGTGTGTTCTGGCCATCAAGGCTCCAAGGATGAAAGGCAAAAGCCGTCAGGTGGGGAGAGGGCTGCATCTTTATTCCCCACCTCCTGCCCTTACGAGGTTGTTGTCCCAAAGCAGTTTGTAGATCTGTGTTCTGAGAGAAAGTGTTGAACCTTCCAGTCTTTTGGGGAGGCAGGAGGCATGGGGGCCCTGGCATGGCTGCTGTGCGGTGGAGGCAGCAAGAAGGGCGCCCCACTTGACCTGATGTGGCGCTGCGTGCATTGCATAGCCTTTCTTCTTGCGGAGCCGAAGGGTTTCCTGGATCCGTGTGACTCCATTCTGCCCCATCTCTTTGCATTGCAGATGAAGCGCAAGTCAGAGAGCGGCCCGGATGGCAGAGCCCAGTCACCTGGCAAGAAGCTGTGCAAGGGCTCCGAGAGGGGCAGGTGAGGAGGTTGCGGGTGGCGCTTGGGAGCTCCTGCAAGGTGCCGGGGGAGACGGGGTCTGTCTCCAGCCGGACTCTGGACTTGGGCCCCTGGCCATGGCATTCTTCTGACATACTTGCTTCCTCTCCAGAGTGTTGGGCCCCTGTGTCGCTAGCCCCACGGCCACCTTTGGGGATTTGCGGAACGCCAAGGCAGGCCAGGCGCGCTGCCGGCATGTCCCCCCAATGACACCACCCCCTGAGCTGCAGGACTGGCTGCGCACTTTCCAGGTGAGCGGCAGGCAGAGGCGCCTGTGTCTGTGTGTGATGCATGAGGCCCTTGGCTGGAGCCAGAGCAGGGCTGCGCTTTCTGGCTGGCTTGCAGCTGACCTTCCGACATTCGGCAAGAGCCTTTTTCCACGAGCCGGGCATTTGGCAGATGTTGTGCTGTGGTGTGTTTCTCATTTCCTGTTTTGTTTTAGGGGTTTGATCTTAAAAGTGAGCTGATGCATTGTGGTGTTTCAACATTTAGAAAGTGACAAAGCTTTTGCTTTGATTGCTTTTGTGGGCTGCTTTGTGGCCTTGGTTCTGGCGCAGAGACGGGCTGCAATCCTGGGTGTTGCGCTTGATCTCCCCTTACTCCTTTCTCCCGCCAGCGCTGGAGCGGCCCAGAGAAGCTGCTGGCTCTGGATGAGCTCATTGACCGCTGTGAGCCTCCCCAGATCAAGCACATGATGCAAGTGATTGAGCCCCAATTCCAGCGCGATTTCATATCACTGCTGCCCAAAGAGGTGAGTGTCTCGTGGGTGGGGGACCTCGGAGGAAGAATGCAGGGCAGCCGAGAGAGGACAGTGGGGAGTTGTTGGCCGAAGGTGTTGGTGGAAGAATGAGCCTGCAGGGTGTTGTTAGAAAGCCTTGAGCAACAGGTCAGGAGATCAGAATCTGAGCCACAGTCAAGAGGGGACACGATAGGTAGTTGTAAAAGAAGTGAAGAAGTGTGCATGCACACAAAAGCTTATACCAGAACAAACTTAGTTGGTCTATAAGGCAGTATTGGACAATTATTATTTTTTTTATTTCGACTGCGTCAGACCAACACAGCTACCTACCTGCGTCTGAAACAAATAAGAGTCAGAACTATTCATACCAGCTACACATTTTTAAAGTGTGCATGAAAACTCACAGAAACACTAGGATGAAGTAACAGAGAGAAACTGGAAGAAGAGAACTTTATCTGAAGTGCAAATGTGGCACCAGCAGGAAAATTGAGTAGAGCCAGTTGCTTTAGCAGGAGATGAGACACATCAGAGAAGGAGCTATTTGATTTGATTACAAGGCCTTGGAAAACTTTTAACGGCAAGAATCAAAGTTATCGGAGAACCTGAAGGCCTGGTGAGAAGCTAAGAGCCAGAGTTCAGTTCCTGCCAAAGAGGAGAAAAAGGAATGAGACAGGCAAGGGAAGGAGCAGCAGCAGAGGGCGTTGCAAGAGGGAGGAAGAACGAATCAGCCCCAGAGAGGGAGGGCGGGAGAGCTTGGCCAAGAGCAAGAGGCGGGTGTCCCAGGCCTTGTCTCTCCAAGGCAGCTGCTCATTGTGCAGCAGAAAGTGATGGAGAAGAGGAAAAAGTGGGTGTGTGGTAATTGGGCAGGGAAATCAGGCCTCTGGGATCCAAAAGATTTCTGGGTGCTAAGGCAAAAGTTGGGCTTTATGCTCAAATTAGGCTTTAAAATGTAAATAGATGCAAAGTACAAAATCTTGGTTTTTTGAAAGTGATTGTTAAATGGTTTTAAATGGTGTTGTCATAAGTGGCAGATGGGCAGAACACTTTCAGTCAAAAGCTCCTTTTTCTTAATTTTTAAATATACAAACATTAAGGGGAGGCTGTCAAAGATGTCAAGGGAGGGAAGAGAAGCGGTCAATGGATTTAGCTCGCTTGAACGTCTGCGTACGTGAGCTAATGTAGCGCACGCTCTCTCCCTGCCTCTCCAGGCCAAAGCAGAACTTCCCTTGTGAGGTGCAGGCTACCATTTTTAGAGCAAAAGTGGTGTCATAGGGAGTCCTCTGTAACACATCCAAAGAAAGCCAAATCAGACGGGAGTGGCAAGGAGGACAATAAGAAATGGCAGGAGAATGCTTGGAGGGCAAGAGATTGGCCCAGATGGACAGGACAGGGAGCTCAGCCGCAGACTCTGTGCTGGATTGGAAAGGCAGGAGAGGCCTTGTGGGCTGTGAAGCAGTTTGGGATTGCGTGGCCACAGTGGCCCTGACAGCTGCTGTGTGGGAGGAGGGCGTGGACCACGGGCTTTCCAAAAGGCCTTTGCCCAAGGCCTGGCTCTGATCCAGCTCTCTTCTTGGAGGAGCATTGGAGGGCTGGTGAGGGTAAAAGGATGGCAGCAGCCACTCACCCCCTTTCCCAGCTGTTGGTGTCAGGTCATCTAGATGGCAAAGTCTCCACATTGCTGTGGTGGACGTGAGAAGCTGCCCAGCCCAGCCCCGTGCTCTCCATGCCTGGCTTGCCATTTGCACCCAGGGAGGCCTTTCACGGGAGGAAATCGTGTCCCTTTTGCAGTTGGCGCTCTATGTGCTCTCGTTCCTGGAGCCGCGGGACCTGCTCCGGGCGGCGCAGACCTGTCGCTACTGGCGGATTTTGGCCGAGGACAACCTGTTGTGGCGGGAGAAGTGCCGCGATGCAGGTGAGGCTCAGCTCCTGCCCGGTGTTGCTTCCCGGCTGCCCTTGGGCCTCCTCCCTGTCACAGCCGCTTCTCCCTCCTGCAGGTATTGAGGAGCCCCTGAGTCTGCGCAAGCGCCGGCTGCTCAGCCCAGGCTTCATGTACAGCCCCTGGAAACTGGCCTTCCTGCGGCAGCACCGAATCGACATGAACTGGCGCGGTGGGGATGCCCGCCCCCCCAAGGTAGGGGACCTCTCTTGACCCCCACCATTGGGGTGACGTGGTGCAGGGTTTACACACCTCGCCATGGCCTAAGACGCTACTCTGGGATCTCCGGGGTGGCTGCACGATGGGGACCAAAGAGCAGGCTCTGGAGGAAGAGCAACCCAATGCCTGGGTGCCCAGCTGGGTCCCAGTCCCTGTCCTATACCAGGCAGGGGCCAGGGCTCAGTGGTGGGCTGGGACAGACATGTGCCCCATACTCTTGAGAGCTGCTGCTGCTGCTGCTGAGCTAGGTGGACCAGGCAAGCACCTTTGACTTCTGGCAAAGAAGATCCAGAAGGTAGAATTATTCTGGCTATTCACAAATGCGGGATGGGGGGGGGAGAGACTTGGTTGCTCCTTGAATTGGGGCTGTCACTGTGGCTGAACCTCCAGCCCTTGCTGAATTTGAAGTCCGCCTGCTTGATGCCAGCTCCTGACCGCTGGGCCTGGTCTCAAGCCTTGGAGAACTCAAGGCCACTGGGCTTGGGGAGGAAGCTGCCCCTTCCCTCAACCGCAGAAAGGGGGTGCAGGGTGATGCCGGCTGGCCTGCTAATTCTCTCCCTGGACCAGGTTCTGAAGGGCCACGATGACCATGTCATCACCTGCCTTCAGTTTTGCGGCAACCGCATTGTGAGCGGCTCAGATGACAACACGCTCAAGGTGTGGTCGGCTGTCACCGGGGAGGTGAGTCTGGGAAATGGTGCTGTGGGCGGGGGTGGCTGTGGCTCCGCCTTCCTGGCTCTGAGCATCTTCCTCCTCCTCCCGCAGTGCGTTCAGACCCTGGTGGGGCACACGGGGGGTGTCTGGTCTTCCCAGATGAGGGACAACATCGTCATCAGCGGCTCAACAGACCGCACCCTCAAGGTGTGGAACGCGGACACGGGCGAGTGCGTGCACACCCTCTACGGGCACACCTCCACCGTGCGCTGCATGCACCTCCACGGCAGCAGGTAGGTTGGGGGGGGAAGTCGCTCCAGGGACCCCTCCTGCCCCTCCTGCCTGGGACTCAAGCTGCTTGTCTCTCCTCCCTTGGCAGGGTGGTGAGTGGGTCCCGGGACGCCACCCTCCGCCTCTGGGACATCGAGACAGGACAGTGCCTGCACGTGCTGATGGGCCACGTGGCCGCCGTCCGCTGCGTCCAGTACGACGGGCACAAGGTGGTGAGTGGCGCCTACGACTACACGGTCAAGGTCTGGGACCCCGAGACAGAGAGCTGCATCCACACCTTGCAAGGCCACACCAATCGCGTCTACTCCCTGCAGGTGAGGGACCCCGACCCCTTCCCTCCCCACCCCCCGAGTCGCACAGCCCCTCACTCCTCCCACCCCTCTCTTGCGCAGTTTGATGGGACCCACATTGTGAGCGGCTCCCTGGACACCTCGATCCGCGTGTGGGACGCCGAGAGCGGCAACTGCCTGCACACCTTGATGGGGCACCAGTCCCTGACCAGCGGGATGGAGCTGCGCGACAACATCCTGGTCTCTGGCAACGCCGACTCCACGGTCAAGATCTGGGACATCAAGACGGGCCAGTGCCTGCAGACCTTGCAAGGTGGGTGCTGCGGGCAGCTGGCTGGGCTGCAGGGACCTGAAACTCCCCATTGGCCCTCACCAAGTCCTGGGGGGAGGCTTTTCTCCCTCTGGGCAGAGGCCTGCCACCAGGGGCGTCCTCCAGGAAGAGGCGGCTGGGCACGGCAGCGGATGGCTGCTTCTCACCTTCTTTGCCCCCCTTCTGCAGGTCCCAGCAAGCACCAGAGTGCCGTCACCTGCCTCCAGTTCAGCTCCAAGTTTGTGGTGACCAGCTCAGACGACGGCACCGTCAAGCTGTGGGACCTCAAGACGGGCGAGTTTGTGCGCAACCTGGTGGCGCTGGAGAGTGGCGGCAGCGGGGGGGTGGTCTGGCGCATCCGGGCCTCCAACACAAAGCTGGTGTGTGCCGTGGGGAGCCGCAACGGAACCGAGGAGACCAAGCTGCTTGTTTTGGATTTTGACGTGGACCTGAAATGAGGAGGAGGGCTGGACTGGCAGGGGGGGCCTGCGGGACGGGCAACCCCCCAGGCGCGAGTGAGTGGTTCCTGGCCGCGCACCTTATTTATAGCTTGGCTGCAGGGCCCTGGGCGGCTGGCAGAGCGGCAGAGCACCCAAGTCTGCTTTTTGTACACACTAATAATATATCACTTTATTTCTGTACATGGCTTTCTCTGTGTCATGTGGGTTAAGCCCGGGAGGGGGGAGGGGGCTGTCCTGGGGAGGGGGCTCTGGGGGAGGGGGCAGGGCGCTGCCTTTGCCCCGTGCTGCCGCCCCCCTCCCAGCGCAGGAGGCTGACGGCGTGGACACGCTGCTGGAGGCACAGCTCAGGGGCCATCTTGGAAGGCAGGCTCAGGTGCAGGATGACGTGCTGGCTGCCCAGCGCCACGGGGACCTCGGGGACCCCCAGGTAGACGGGGCACAGGTACTTGTTGGCCGGGAGCTTGGGGGTGGTGCCGGCGGAGGCCATGTCCCAGGTCAGGCGGGCGGCCTGGATCCAGATGGTGGGCAGCGGGCAGGGCTCGGCCGTGCGACTCTCCTGCAGCAGCCCACTGTGGGCCTTCCAGAAGGCGTGGCGCAGCTCCAGCCCGCTCAGATAGATGCCTTTCTCGGGGGCGCTGGTGGGGGGTGGCCCACTGGGAAGGACCTGGCAAAGGAAGGCAAGAGGGAGGGGGAAAGGGGGCGCTCAGGGACCGGGGCTGCGGGGCCTGCCCCTGTGCCCGCCCCCATGCCCGCCCGCCCGCCCGCCCTCTCCTCCCTACCTGTTGGTGCAGCTGGTAGCGGTGCAGCTCCTGCCTCTCCACGCGAGCCCTCTCTTGCAGCACGGCCAGGAGGAGGCGGCGGGGCTGGTGGAAGGCGGCCAGCTGGTAGTGGGCCACCAGTGGACCGCTGATGGAGCCCAGGTAGCTGCACAGGAGCTGGGTCCGCTGCTTGAGCGTCTGCAGCCAGGCCGGGGGGGCCTGGGGGCCGGTGAGGGCGTAGGGCAGCCAGGGGCTGGGCAGGCAGCCCTGCTTCAGGTGGTAGAGGATGGTGCTGCAGCGGCGGGAGGAGCAGGGCTCCCCCTGCAGGCGCTCCTGGGCGCAGCTCAGGTCGCAGCCCACCTGCTTCAGCAGGGCCAGGAGGATGCCCGCCTCCTCCAGCAGGAAGCGCTGCAGGGGGCGCGGCCGGGGGCGGGCCTGCCCTTGCGGGGGGCACCCCTTCCAGCCCACCTCCCAGCCGCACTCGCTCAGCTGCTCCTGCAGCTCCTGCACCAGCCGGATCCCGTCCCGCAGCAGCTGCTCCAGGGCGCCTGTCTGCGGGCGGCAGGGGGCCCGGCGGGGCTGCCACAGGCCCTGGGAGGCCTGCAAGGCCGCCAGCAAGGCCTGGCTCCGCTCCGCCAGCATCCGCTGCTGCAGTGCGCTGCACAGGCCGACCCCGGCAGGCTCCATGGGGCTGGGCAGTTGCTCGATGCCGGCCTGGGTGGCGGCCGCCGCCTCCTCATCCGTGTTCCCTGCAGGGGGCAAGGAAAGGGCGGGGGATCAGCAGAGCACCCAGCGCCCCCACCGGCAGGCTCTTCCCTGCCCTCTTCAAAGACATTAGCCAATTCACGAAGAGCCCCGCAATGGCCACCCACTGCCGCCACAGCTGGAGGAAGCAAGGCTTCCAAATACCCCTTGCCGGAAACCGCAGGCGGGGAGGGTGTTGCTCTTGCGCTTGAGTCCCGCTTGCGGGTTTCCGCAGTGAGAACAGGATGCTGGGCCTGACCCTGACGGCTCTCCTGATCTTCTCTCACCTGGGTTGGGGCAGCCGACGACTGTGGCCACGAGCTGCTGGAGGCTGGAGGCTGGCTGCAGGGGGGAGGCGGGAGCCAAGCAGGCCTGGCACAGGCTCTGCACCACTTGGGCGTCACCGCTGTCCAGGATGTGGCCCCCATAGAGCATGGTCCCTGCAGAGGCAGAAGAGCCAGCCGTGTTTCGGAGGGGGCCTTCAAGGCCTTGGCTCTTGCAGGCTGCCCCTTGAACCCCTCACTCAGCCCTGTTTCCATACCGGCCAGCTCCTGCAGGGCTTCCTGGGCTCCGTCTGTTAGGCAGCTCAGCCTCTCCTGGATCCTGAGCCCGGCCAACACTTCCCCGTGGCTCCTGCAAGGGCAGCACAATCTCAGGCACAGGGCAGAGTCAGAGCAAAAACCGCACTCCTGGCTTGCCAGAGTGAGGACCGTCTTGGCCCGGGGGGGGGGGGCGCCTGCTCCCAACTTTCTTATGGGTCTCAGCAGCTGAGAGGAAGAGCCCTTGGACAGTGGAACAGAAGACCTTGGCTGGGGACGGGCCTTTCCTTCACTGAAGGATTTTAAGCAGGAGTCTTTAGCTGTGAATCCCGCATTGCAGGAGCTTGGACTAAAGGACCCTTGGGGCGCCCCTACAATTCTGGTTCTATGAAAGATTCTTGGGTAAACTTCATTTTGGGATCAGTGGGAAACAGGTTAAGAAACAGGAAGTGAGTATAAATAGGTGGTTCTCCCAATTGTGGGATGTAGAAAGTATTCCAGTGTGGCAGCCATGAAAAAGGAAATTTGCATGTGAGGGATCAGTAGGAAAGGAACTGAGAATAAAACTGCCAGTATCATCATGCCGTTTCAGGAATCTGGTGTGTGCCCACATTTGAAGAACGATATACAGTTCTGGGCACCTCCTCGCCCCTCAAAAAGGTTATTGCAGAGTTGGAAAAAATTCAGGAGGGGCCCCCTGAGGGGGTGGAGCGACTCCCTTACAAGGAAAGGGGGCAGCATTTGGGACTTTTTAGTTCAAAAAGTGAGGGGCAACATGGCACACGGTAAGTGGAAAGGGGAAAACTTTCTCCCTCTCTCGTAACCCTCAAACGCGTAGATGTCCAATGAAGCTGAATGTCAGAAGGGCAGATGGAAGAAAGTTCTTCCTGCAGCACAGAGCCAGACGATGGCCCTCACTCTCGCAGGAGACAATGGCGGCGGCCATCTCTAAAGAGGAGCCACAATGGCAATCCTCTTCCTCCACCATTGGGCCAGCTGCTGGAAACCGCGCGAGGGGAAAGGGCTCTGGGGCTCCTGTTCTGCCTCTGGTTGGCCACGTGGGAACCGGAGGCTGGGCTGAATGGCCTGATCCAGGTGGCGGCTCCTACACCCTCTGTGCTGTGCAGGACTGATGCTGGGACCTGTGCTTTTTAACTTTTTTTGTGAGGGTTGTGTGAGCAGTAAGGTTCCCAGGTTTGCTGTTGATACGAAATTGTTCAGGGTGATTAAACTCCAGCGGGATTATGAGGAACTCCAAAGGGATCTGGTCAAAGGGGCTATCAAAATGGCAAATGCAATTCAACGCAAGGAAAAGTGATGTAAGGTAAAGGGACCCCTTACCATTAGCTCCAGTTGCGGACAACTCTGGGGTTGTGGCGCTCATCTTGCTTTATTGCAAATGCAATACAGCTCAAGGAAAAGTGATGTACTTTGGGGCAAAAGAAACCCCTAAAAAGTGGGGTCTGGACTGCTGTGGCCAACGCAGGAATGAGCTCATGGGGTCCCTTCCTGCTCTGGACCTTCTTGGTTGGTCACTGTGAGAACAGAAGGCTGACTAGATGGAGCCCCTTTGGCCTGATCCGGCTGCTGCAGGACTCCTTAGGTTCATCCTACTTGGCAGCTTCCATGGGTGCATCCTGGGTACCCTCCAGTTCACCTGCTCTGGGGAGCCCTGGTGAATTCTGTGAGGCACAGGTAAAGGGGTCTTCCTCCTGCTGCTGCCAGAAAGGGCTGCAGGGAGAAAGCCCTCAGCCTTTCCCTGGCTGCCTGTCAGCTGGGAGATCCAAGCCCTCATCCGCTGCTGCTGCTTCCCACTCTGCTCCCCCCCCCCCTGCAGCCAGCAGCCCCCTCTGTGGCAACCCTGTGGGCAAGGACTGGTTTGTTAGCCCACACAGGCAGCTCCAAGAGCAGGGGAAGAATGGGGAGCCCACAGGTGGCGATTCAGGGTGCTTTCCAAGTAGCATAAAGCAGAGGAGGAGTTTCCAAACTCCCATGAGATGTACTGGCAGGCTCTTGGCCTCACTGCTGGACAGGGCAAGCACCTCCTTCACTCACCACAGGTATGTCTCTGCCTGGGTCCACTGGGCATAGGTCTGCCTGTAGAGCAGGACCCCATAGAGGGCGAGGAGGGGCAGCCGCTGCTCTGTGTCTAGGTTCTGGGTTCGCCCCTGCAGCCAGTAGTGGCTGCGTGCCAGGATGCCCTTCAGCTCCAGTGGCATATCGCAGAAGAGGGAGGTGGCACTGCGCTTCAGGAGTTCTGTTGGCACAGAAGAGAATCAACCACCACAGCAGAGGCCGGGAGGGACAGTAAGGACAGCCGAGGCCATGAGAAGTTGCTCAGCTTCTGTTTCTCTTGCAGAGGCAGGTGGAAGGCCCTGTGGCAGAGCCAGCGGCACTGGGAGAGCCCAGATGACAATGAGCAAGAGGGAGCGGGTCCCTGGGAGAGAGAGAGATGCAAAGGGGGGCAGTGCGCCTCTTTCCCAAGGGGTAGGCAGGGTGTGGAGAAGCCCCTCTGGCCGTGCCCCCCTGCGGCATCAGCCTCCCTTCCTCATCCCTGGCCTGGTACCTGGCATGGAATGAGGGGCGTCAGCTGCAGTGATGAGCCACAGGCGGAACTTGGTGTGGATCTCGAGGCCTCCCCCTGGCACCTTGCCTGTGCAAAAAGAGGGCAAGGTGAGAGGTGCTTTGGCTGGGGGGAGGGAGACACCTCCCGCTGCTTCCATCCGCCTCACCTGAGGATTTCACCAACTGGTCCAGCAGCTGCAGCAAGTCGGGGTCCCAGTGCTCCTGGAGGTGGCAGTTGGTCAAGACCAGCCACTTGCCTCTCTTGCTGCAGATGGGCAGCGTCCGCCAAACCCGCTTGCAGGCATCTGGGGTGCCAAAGGAGATGACTACCACACTTCCCTGCAGGGGCGGTGCCTGGTTACTTGCTCTGTCCTCCCAGAGGGACCCAGCTGACACCTGCACCCATTGTCCCTCCCCCTCCTTGTGCCCCTCGTCTCACCCCTCGTCCCCGCTGGGTGGCCATCTGCTGGATCCAGAGGAGCGGGTGCATGAAGCAGCCTGGGGAGCTGGCCGAGGGCGTGTGGAAGATGATGGGCTTGTTGGCCCGGCTGTAGGAGTACGGGTAGGTGAGGGCCATTTCCTCGGTGAGAGACCAGCCCAGCGAGCAGGTGGTGAGGGCCGAGACCACGCTGCTCATGGCAGAGGGACACAAGATGCGCCACAGGATGGCGCGCTGGAAAGGCCTGAGGTGGGCGTGGCTGGGACACAGGGCCAGCCCCACCATGGTGGAGCGCAGGCGGAAGTACTCCTGCCACTGGCCGGCCTGCCCAGCCAGGGAGGCCTGCAGCCCCTGGAACCCAGGAACGTTCTCCAGCAAGCCGCACTCCTCCCAGGCCTCCGCGCTCACCCAGCTGGGGCAAGGCACCCCGGCCGGCGGCTGCAGAAGCTCCTTGGCCGCCGGCTCCCGCAGGCCCTGGCAGAAGGCCAGCCACTCCAGCGGGGTGATCTCCCCCGCGACCTTCAGCGTGGCCACGGCCCCCAGGAAGAGGTAGAGGAGGCGGTCCATCTCCCGCAGGCAGGGCACCGCCTCGGTGAGGCAGTGGTGGAGCACGGCCTTGCTGAGCTCCAGGAGGCGCGACTCCAGCGACTCCTGCTTGGTGGTCTCCTGCCGCTTGGTGGAGAGCAGCGCCTGGCGCACGTGGGCCATGCAGACGCTGCTGGGGAAGCTGTAGGAGGGGTGGAGGCGGCAGACCTGCTGCAGGGCCAGGTGCAGGGCCACGCCCAGGCGGGGCACCATCCGGTACTTGTTGCACAGCGCCGCCTGGTCCTGGTGCTGAGAGACCATGTGCTGGTGGGTGGCGTGCAGGGCCTGGATCTGCGTCTGCAGCAGCCGCACCATCGGCATGAAGTTCTCCTCCTCCAGCAGAGAGCGCTGCGGCTGGGCAATCAGGGCCACCAGCTCCTCCTGCGGGGAAGGGCCACGGGGCTGGGCTGAGCGGCCTCTCCACGGCCGCCCCACCGCCCCACGCCAAGCCACAGGAGCCCCTGCCTCCAGCTCCTCCTGCGGGGAAGGGCCACGGGGCTGGGCTGAGCGGCCTCTCCACGGCCGCCCCACGCCAAGCCACAGGAGCCCCTGCCTCCAGCTCCTCCTGTGGGGAATGGCCACGGGGCTGGGCTGAGCGGCCTCTCCACGGCCGCCCCACGCCAAGCCACAGGAGCCCCTGCCTCCAGCTCCTCCTGTGGGGAACGGCCACGGGGCTGGGCTGAGCGGCCTCTCCACGGCCGCCCCACGGCCCCACGCCAAGCCACAGGAGCCCCTGCCTCCAGCTCCTCCTTGGGGAACGGCCACGGGGCTGGGCTGAGCGGCCTCTCCACGGCCGCCCCACCGCCCCACGCCAAGCCACAGGAGCCCCTGCCTCCCTCACCTCCGTGGCCTCCAGCTTCCCCTCCAGCTGCAGGATCCCAAACTGCAAGGCCTGCTGGTTCTTCAGGATCTCCTTCCGCTCGGCCCGCAGGACCTCCACCAGCAGCAGCTCCTCCAGCGCCTCCTGGCTGAGGCTGAGGTCCATCACGTTCAGGCTCTTGAGAAGCTCGTGGTCCACCTCTGCAAGGAGGAGCCAGGCGGGAGGCAGGGCCCAGCCGTCCCAGTCACCCGCCTGCCTGCCTGCCACTCTCCGCCCATGGCTGGCTGCGGGGTGGAGGCACCTTGGGCTCTTGTCCCCCCACACTTTGGGGAACCCAAGTAGGTTGCTGCCGTGCTTTGACAGTGCAGCTTCCAATGCTGGGCGAGAGATCTGCTGACTCTAGCTTTGCTTCCACCCGCAGCAACTGGAAGTTTCCAGAGCCTCTCACCCTCTCTGAGAGGGGAGCCGAAGATGGCTCTCAGGGTGAGCAGCGAGTGGCTGAGCCGCCTCCACCCACCTCAGCTCCCTGGGGAGGGGTTCCACAGAGGAGAGCCAGGAGGGCGCTTGGGCACCTCCCTTACCTGCAGCCAAAGCCTCCAGAGGCAGCTCAGTGCACAGGTAGAGGCGGAAGCAGGGGGGCACCTGCGCCAGGTCCTCCATTGACTTTGAGTGGAGGGCACCTCCGAACGATTCCTTCTGCATCAGCTCCTCGAGGGCTGGGCACCAGGGGACGTTCTTTTCAAAGTCCGTCAGCAACACAGGGGTGCCTGTGAGGAGGTGGGAGCCAAGCAGCACATTTGCCTGAGCTCACGGACGGCGCGGGCAGAGTACAGGGCTGCTGAAAGAGAACTGCACCCTCCCAGGGGGCTGCCAGCGGCAGGGGCACCACCTTCCTCCGCTCACCAAGGCTGGCTGCTTTGCAGAGGTTCTGCTCCAGGTCTGGGTCTGTGAGCGACAGGACCTCCAGGTTGTCTTCCGCGATCTCTATGGAGCTGCCCTGCTCCACCATGTCCGGCACCAGGTCAGAGATGGCATAGACCTGAGAATCCGCTGTAAAGAGGGGTTGGATGAGAAGCTACCCGCAGGCAAGGCCATGTGCCTGACACCCCCCCCCCCGCACACCCCACTCACCCTCTTCCATAGCTCTGGAGGTCAGCAGCCAGAGATAGGCCTGCTTGTCAGGGTCCACCAGCAGAGGCCAGCGGTGAGCCTGCGTGTGGGTGCTGGAGAGCAGGATCATGCCCACCAGGCGGCTGCTGGGGACCTTGGGCTTGTGGACTCGATCCCAGAGTCGCTGCTCTGGAGGAGAGCTGAGCAGGGACGCCAGATGCAGGGGCTGTTGCACAGCCAGCAGCAGATCGCTGTGGGAGGCTGGGCCAGGGCAGGGCAGCTCCTTCTGCAGGAGCCGCCTCACGTCGTCCGGCCCGAGGGGCCCCCAGGCCCCGGCACACACCGCCTGCCACTTCTCCAGCAGCTCCTCCCGCCGCTGCGGAGGGAATGGGCCCAGGTAGGAGAGGCTGGCTGCGGAGAGGAGGGCATCGCCATAGACAGTAGTGCGCTGGGATTCCAGGTTCTAGGAAGGAAAGCAGAGGCGCCAGAGGGCTGAGTCTGGGAGAACGGCACCCTCGCCTCGCAGGGCAAGGGGGGGGACATGGGTGGACAGCCGCCCGCCCCTCGTACCCTTGTGACAGTTGTCCAGCTGGCCATGTGCTCGGCCACGGAGCTCTCGACGGTGGTGGCCTCCTCTTTGGCCTGCAGGGAGTGGGTGAGCTGGTGCATCAGCTTCTCCTGGCGCTCCTGCTTCTGCTTCAGCTCCTTGATGCGCAGCTGGGTGGCATCTCTCAGGTATTCCGAGTGCAGGCGCCGGTCGCCCAGCTCCACCTTCTCTGCGTTGATCTGGGCATCGCAGTACTTTAGCCGTGCGATGGTCGGCTGCCAGTCGAGCAGGGCCCAGTGGTACCAGTAGGTGGCCGAGATCCACTGGAAGAGGGCGGCAGCAGCCTGGCTGGCACTGGATATGCTGCTCTCCGAGATGCGCTCCTGAGTCACAGCCCGGCCCAGGGCCTCAAAGAGCTCTGTGGTGAGGCTGTCCTTGGGGTAGAAGACAAGATCCTGGAGGGGGAAGCAGAGGGGGGGGAATGGGACCCTGGCCTGGCTTTTCCACCAAGGAATGAGGGGCAAGAAACACTAGGCTGCTTGTATTCAAATGCCCCAAGCTAAAACAACCGGCTGCTTACCATGAAGATGGGCCAAAGGGGAGCACCTTCTCCAGCAGTTCCAGAAGCACCCAGGGGACTGAGGGGTCTTCCAGCCTGTCCACCTCGCCAGCTCCTGCACATGGCCTCTCCTCTGCCTGGCTTCCCTGCCCCTTTGGTCACAGAGCATGGGAGCCACTCCAGAGGTGCCCAGGCCTGTGCAGAAATGAGTTTTTTTGCCATTTCCCCTCCCATTCACCCAGTCTGGAGAGGCCCGTTTGGAGCTCTTCACAGTCTCTACTTGTTTTAACAACTCTGAACAGTTTAGTATTGTCCGCAGACTTGGCCACCCCACTGCTGAGCTCTAACTCTGAGTCGTTTGTGTGCAAGTTAAAAAGCTCGTGTCCCGATCCTGATCCTTGGGGCACTCCACATTACACATGTATTTGTTCAGAGAACAGACCATCTATTCTTACTCTTTGCTTCCTGTGATTTAACCAATTCCATAGTCACAAGAGGACTTCTCCTCTTACTCCTTGACTGCTAAGCTTACTCAGGAGTCTTTGATGAGGGTCTATATCAAAAGCTTTTTGAAGCTTTAAGTGCATAATGTTGACCGGATGAGCCCAATCTATATACTCTCAGCTAGACTCTCAGCTCCTGTGGGCTCCTCTGTTCTTGGGTGCAGCCCTCCTTGAAAACCAAACCATAGATATTAAACTCATCAAAAGAAATAAAGCAAATACCATGCAAGGAAGGAATTACTAACCAGAGATGTGTAAGCATTTACTGTTAACAACCAGTATGTATCAGAAAGCAACAGAAAGAAAAGAAATTAAAGACAAAAATGGTTCAACAGAAGTGACTGAACCTAACAGATATATCCAAAATACAGTAAGAATTGTTCTTGGTCTCTCTCATTTTCTTGCAGAGGAGGGGGAAGAACTCTGTTGCAACAGAAATATAAAGATCTGCCTTGTTTTCACTGGATCCTGCCTCCATCCACTCTCCTCTGGTTGTTCATGGCTTGAGGGACTCAAGAGTCCCTTGGAGGAGCAAAAGGCAAGCCCCACTTTTTCTACAACCCTTGAGGGATAATTTTATATATACAGTATAATGTTTTATTCCTTAAGGATATTTCCCATGCTTTGTGAGGACTGCAGTGATGTGTTTGCAGTATCTCTGTTGTGCTCAATTACTTTCCTGTTCTCTTACTGCAGCTGATGGTTTCAGGTTTTATCCACTGGTAGTTCCATGCTAATCAAATCCACATTTGCTGTTTCGCTAGCCATGCCTCCCCACCCCCTCCCAGGAGGAAACAGGCTGCTTTTGCCCCTCCCTTTGTCAAGGACTTGGCGCAGCTGGAACAGCCTCTTGGTCTAGGCTAGGGTCTCTCTCTCCCCAGGCAGGCCGGTCCAGAGGGGAAGCGGGGCCTTGAGGCTCTGGCTGCTGGGCCAGCCCCAAGAGCACAGGAGCCACAGGAAGGGCTCTGGGCCTCACCTCATAGAAGTTGTCCCTGTTGAGGAGCAGCTTTGCATTCTCCCAGCCCGGCTCCTGCTCAAACATCAGGCAGAGGATGTCCGTCACCATGACCACAGTCTCTGGCGGCTGGCGATAGCTGCGCAGCTCCTCAATGTCCTGCACCCGGAGCATGGCCAGGGCCTCCTTGTAGTCCTTGTTCACCTGAGAAGAGAAGGGTCACTCTGGGATGAGGCGGGCAAGGGCCTTCAGGCTGGGCTCTCCTCACCTGCCCCCTCTGCCACACCTCCCCTCCAGATGGCAGCTGCAGGAGGGCTGGTGACTGAGCAAGACCTTCCTCCCCCCCACGTGCCCCCATACCTTCCTCATGGCCAGCTCCCTCCCCTTCTCCAGAGCATCCCGCTCCTTGGTAAGAGCATCGATACGCGCTTCATACAGCTCACACTCCTTCTCCTGCTGCTTCAGCACCTCCTGCTCCCGCTCCACCTCCCGCTGACTGCAGATCACTTGCTGCAAGGCAAGGAGGATGAGTGGGGTGAAAGGAGACCACCCTAAACCGCAGCAGTATCTCCAGGACACCTGGCTGCCGCTGGCTCAGGCCACATCCAGTCCAGCGACCAGTTCTCACTGTGGCCGGCTCTGGTGCGCCTTGTGGGAAGCGCACTGGCACGATGGGTGCCCAAGAGCCTCTCTCACACATAGCGGGGGCAGCCTTCTCTGATGAGGTGCATCTGCCTCAGTTAGCACTAACAGAGAAGTGGGAGTTTAAAATATCCCTGTTCAGCCTAGCACTGAGGAAAATTCACTGTTTTAAAAATCTGTGTATTGCTTTTGATTGTTTTGCTATTGTTTGCTGTCCTGGGCTCCTTTGAAAGGAAGCGGGGAGGGATAAATACCTAAGAAATGATCCACCACAGCTTGGATTCTGGGCCCTCTGACACCAGAGAGACCACGGCCATCCTCACGGGAAGACACACCTCTCGACTCTGACCTTTGTCAGCTAAAGGATTTTGCTTTGTGGGACCCACCTTGCTTCTATATATTTAGATACTTATATACCACCAATTCATACCATAAAATATAAATTAACATCAAAGTCACTAGCCAATCAAATTCAAGCAGTTGCATAGGCTAGTCTGCATAAAAGAAGTCTTCAAGAGACACTTGGAAATCCAAAGCCAGAGTGGCTCCCACGTCTCTGCTGGAAGAGGGCTCCTCAGCTTGGGACTGGCAGCGCTGAATGCCCGACTCCTCAGGGAGGCCAGCTTGGCCCCTGCAAGACAGCAGACAACCAGCAGCACTCCTCCAGGTGACCTGCGATGGAGCTGGGACCCAAGGGCTCCTCGAGTTGTCAAGGGCTTCATATATTAACACAGGACCCTTCAACCTGACCCACCTTCAGTGCTAGCTGGAGCTTCTGGACCAAGCTCACAGGCAACACCTCATTGCAGTGGTCCAGCGTGTGGGCTGTGGTGGTTGGATCATCCAGATTTGGCTGCAGCTAGCTGGTCAGAGGCATTCTTAGCCAGTTGCTGGAGCCTCTACCGAAAAATGTACCCAGGAGTGCCCCAAGCTATGTGTCTGCTCTTTCAGAGAGAGGGCAGCCCTGCCCAGAACAGGCAACTGATCGGTCTCCTGGGCATGGAAACCACCTTCCCACACAGCCTCTGTCTCCCCAAGATTCAAAACACCCAACATGCTGTGAGACAGGTTTGCCTCTATGGTTTGTCCAAATCCACTTTCTATAGTTTCTAACCCTCCACAATAGAATGGGATAAAAGACGATTTCCCCTTTCTTCCTGATTCCATTCTGAATATCCAAATCTTATTTACAAGCCTTGCCCTGTTCCCAGCTTCCTTTCAAATCCCTCTTTCCTGCAGTTCCTTCTGCTCCAGTAAATTGGTCAGTGCAACTGAGCTGCCAGCCCAGAAGAGGCTGCTCTGATGGAGGAGACTCTATGGGCAGCCTCCCCTTGTGAAGACTTCCAGCTCTGCACAGAAAGGGGAAAGGCAGCCCTCAGCAGACGCCTTGTCTTGCTCTGCTGCTGGGGCAAAATGGGCTTCAGTTGCTTTGGAGGAGCAGCTCTTAAGCCTTTTGAACCAGGTCCTTCACTTGAATATGGCGCCCAGTGAGTTCCAGGTGCTTTAGAAATGTCAAGCCAGCTGGGAGCTGAGAGAGTTTCAAGCAGGCAGGCAGCAACTGAGTGGAGCAGGACTGGCCGGCCTCACTCACCTCCTTGATCTTCACCAGCTTCTGCTGCAGGAAGCGCACGTCCCGCGTGTGCTCCTGCTGCTTCTTGCTCACTTCCCCCATCTTGTGCAGGGCCATCTTCATCCTGCAGGTGGGGAAAGCACCCCATGAGGAGGCACACAGAGGGGGTCTGGGGCACAGGACTCGGGGGTCCAACACCCACCCAGGTCTGTCAGTTAATCTGGTTGCCTGAAGTCCCTTCATAGGATGCCTAAGACAGATACGTGACGCCCTCTGAACCAGGGATGCCTACAGAGAATGCAACTTGGGGGGCTACTTAAGTTCCTCTCAATGGGGTGAGGATGCAATCCTTAGTTCTTGGCTGATGGTCAGAAGGCAACTCTTGCTTCCCTTCAAGGGCTCCTCTCCATCCCTCCTGCACCCATGAACAAAGGTCTTTCAGGTAAACTCACCTATCCCGTGAATCAAAGTCCTGCAAAATACTAACAGATGGACCTTCTCCATCACCCTACCTGGCCCTTTTTATTTATTAATGCATTTTTCAATTTACATCATGCAGTGGTACCTCGGGTTAAGTACTTAATTCATTCCGGAGGTCCGTACTTAACCTGAAACTGTTCTTTTTTTAAAATGTTTTAAAGTTTTTATTGTTAAAATAATTCAACATTAATACACATATATTACAAATATACAAGCATACAAACATACATTTCATACAACATTCCTACATACCTACAACATACCTACACTCAATCCCACAGATAATTCCTTTTCCCATCACCATCCACCACCCCTCTGTTCTTAACCTGAAGCACCACTTTAGCTAATGGGGCCTCCTGCTGCTGCTGCGCCGCCGGAGCACGATTTCTGTTCTCATCCTGAAGCAAAGTTCTTAACCTGAAGCACTATTTCCGGGTTAGCGGAGTCTGTAACCTGAAGCGTATATAACCTGAAGCATATGTAACCCGAGGTACCACTGTACATTCATATTTACATCCTATCAAATCCTGTATGGACTTCCCAACCTATCTTTCCTTGATGCCCTCTTACACATTCTTATGTTTGTTATACCTCCATTTATTATCTACTCCAAAGGTTTTCAACCTTTGGGGGTCCACAGCTCCCTTGACCAACTCCCTTCTTTCTGCAGCCCCCCTGTGGGGCTCAGGAGCCCAGTTGTGCCCCCCCTTGCCTGCAGAGCTGGCAGCCTCTCACTCTTTTGGAACACCCTTCCTTGTGGAGTGTTCCCTCAGCCTCAACTGCCCCTGGTCTCTGAGCCACCCCCCACAACCCTAAGAGAGGTGCTTCCTCACACTGCCCCACAAGGGCCTTAGTGGCCCATCGGAGACAGGCCAAAGCTGAACGGGAGGCCAGCACCTTACCTTGGGAGGCAGCAGTGGCAGCGGCAAACACAAGAAAGGCCAGCACAGCGCATGTGAAATATACTCGGAGTCGAGAGTGGATTTCATGCTCTTTATTCAGCTCATAGTGGTGAGGAGGAATGCAAGTTCCCCTAAAATATCTGCTTTATATACATTATTTACTCAATGGGCTGCATGTGATTGGCTAATTCCGGGATTCTCCTGTAGGCCAATCAGGTTGTGGATTCACTTCCACCTGGAGCTGGATTGGGTGGCCCCTGCAGACCAATCATACTGCTGCATTGTTCCTAGGACCAATCAGACTGCTGCATTTTGGATCCTATTGTTCTAGGACCAATCAGACTGCTGCATTTTCGATCCTATTCAACTCAGTATATGACAGCCTGCCTGGCTGGCCTCCCACTTGTCTGTCCATTCCCAACAACATGGGCTGGCGGGATGGGCTCCTTCACCCACTTAGAATCATAGAATCATAGAGTTGGAAGAGACCACAAGGGCCATCGAGTCCAACCCCCTGCCAAGCAGGAAACTGTTAGGATATTTCCGTTCCACCTTAAAAGGGAGCAGGCTTTGTGAGTCAGAGTCTGCGCATGTCCTGTTCACAGGATGTTTATGTTTTCTGTTGCTTTCGTTTGTCGCAGACACTAAAAGCAGTCAGTCATGTTTTTCTGTGTTCTGATCAACGCTGAATAAACTTGTAAATAATGCTCTCCTGATTGCAACTTTTGGCTGTGCATTATCTGCTGATAGAGCGTGCATGAGCTCGAGAATGTGGCAAGATATTTTCTAGAAACTCATGTCGCTGCGTGCCTACGGGAGGTCGATGGATCGTCCGGCAGACGGCTTGGGGGCCTTGATGGACTTTATCTCCCTGGCAGTATCCCAACAACAGGTTTCGGGCCCAGATTCACAGCACTTACAGGAGAGTAAGACTGCGACAGACTGCTGAAAGGTATGTGGAGGAAAAGCGAAAGTAAGGCTTTTCTGTTTGCCGCAGCAAAGTCTCTTTGATGTCCGGCAGGCCTAATTGGATCTGGGAGCCGCGCCAGCAGGCCTCAAGATTTATGGCTGCTGAGATAAGACGTTTTTGAAGGCATAAAGGCTCACGGCTCAAGTAGAAACCTGGAATGGAGTTTTTCCAAGCTTCTGAGGCTGCTGAGTGCCCAAAGCTAAATCGGCACAACTATCGGACCTGGGCAAAGTGGTGTGAGAGCTTGCTGCGTCAGTTTGGAGTGTGGCATACTGTGTGTGAAGCCCCTCCAGTTCCTCTGACAGATAGATGGAAGGCCGAGAATTCGAGGGCGATAGACATACTAGTCTTGTCCGTCTCTCTGGAGGAAATTAAGACGCTTGCTGGCAATGTGACTGCACGTAAGATGTGGAATGCTTTGAAAGTAGCCCATTTGCCAGTCATCCCAGCCCAGAGTTTGACTGCATCGGGGGTCCTGGCTGTTTCCCAGAATGCGAGTGAATGCAGGGATGCTGAGGGCACCGGTTGCAAGCTGCAGGGGGAGCTGACTGTCACGTCATCCCAGGCAGCATTCCAGCCTCCAGGGGGAGCCAAGGAGTCGGCAGCTGAGAGCTCTGTTTCTCATGGGAGCCAAGGTCATCGCCTTTGCAGAGGCCGGAAGGGCAAAGGTAAACAGAGGCAGACGCCTGCAGATGGCCAGAAGCAGAGGGAGGGTGAAGAGCCCACGCCAGAGGAAAACAAGGCTTTGTTTGCTGGCACAGCTTCACCAAAGGCTAAAGGCAAGTCTGATGGCCAGGAGCAGGGGGGCAAGCTGCAAAAGCCCACGCCAGTGGAAAACAAGGTTTTGTTTGCTGGCACAGCTTCACCAAAGGCTAAAGGCAAGTCTGATGGCCAGGAGCAGGGGGGCAAGCTGCAAAAGCCCACGCCGGTGGAAAACAAGGTTTTGCTTGCCAGAAAGACTGCTCCAAAGGCCAAAGCCAGGTTTGTTGTTGATTCAGGCTGTACCCGCCATGTCTCAAAGGACCGCCATCTCTTTATCTCCTTCAAACCTCAAGAAGGTGAGATCCACCTGGCTGATGGAAAGACATTGCGGATCGCAGGAGAAGGGACTGTGAAACTGGCAAGTCTGCACACTACCATCAAAGATGTACTGTATGTTCCAGGTGCTGCAGACAATTTGCTCAGTGTCCCACAGCTTGACTGGGCGTGGTTTTGAGATTTCCTTCAAGAGGAGCGTCTGTGTCATCAGAAAAGGCAAAGAGGACATTTTGCATGCAAAGTTTATGGATGGCTTGTTCTGTATAACTTATGACGACAATGGTGCTGTTGTGTCTAATGCTGATTCTTGTTGTGTTGCACAAACTAACAAAGTTCTTCATGCAGGATGCATTCACGATGCACTCAGAAGGTTTTGCCACCTCTCTTGGAAGGCACTGGCCAAGATGCCAGAGATGGTTGAGGGTTTGAACATCAAACCCTGTAAGTTTCACATGAAATGTGTATCTTGTGCAGAGAACAAGGTGAAGGTTGCTCCAAAAGGCAAGGAGTCTAGCAGGCAGGCTTCCAAACCCTACCAGCTAGTGCACGCAGACCTGGTTGGTCCACTTGCGCCCTCTTTGGGTGGAGCAAGGTACTTCATGGTTCTAATTGATTCTTTTTCCAGGTACATTCATGTGTTTATGCTCGAGCAGAAATCGCAAGCGTTTCCAAGTTCAAGGCATTCTGTGCTTGGTTGGAGAATGTTCACGGTAAACGTATTGGCTGTCTGTTTACTGATCGAGGCGGGAGTTCACTTCTCAGCAGTTTGAAGCTTTCCTGACTGAGAAGGGAATCCAGCATGACTTGTCAACGCCTAGATCGCCATGGATGAATGGGCTTGCGGAGCGAGCAAATCAAACGTTGCTGCAAGGAATGAAAACATTGTTGCATGATGCCAATCTCCCTGATAAGTTTTGGGGGGAGGCTCTGTCGAATTTTGCTTACACTTATAATCGCAGATTGTCATCACCTATTGGTTGTACTCCCTATGAGAAGATGTTTGGTAAGAAACCCAACATCAAACACATGAGAATCTTTGGTTCTGACATGTGGGTACACACCCCACAGAGCAACAAGCTTGGGAAGCGTGGGGCACATGGTTTGTTCATGGGGTACGAAAAGGTGCATACAGGGTGTGGATGACCAACTCTAAGTCCATTAAGTTCACAAAGAGTGTTGAGTACAATCCTAAGTGGGGGGGAAATGTGGGAATTTTCCAGAGTTACCCAGAGGAGGATGAAGGTGATGTCAAAGAAGCAGCTAAAGCTGAGGAAGCTGCAGGAGTGAGGATGATGATGATGATGATGATCAGAGTTCGGATTCCAGTTCAGTGGGCGGCGCTGCTGCTGGTGTCAGTGACAGTGATGACACAGCAGACTACAAGAGCGCAAAGGCCTCAGTCAGACCATCTGATGCGTCTGACAATGAACTGGAAGAACCACTGTTCACCATTGGTCACTTTTCTCCTAAGAAAGAGGAGATGAGTCCAGAAGACTTGCGTCTAGTACGCAGATCTGAAAGAGCCACCAAGGGCAGACCTCCAAAGAGATTTGCTGATGAGTTTGCTAAGACAGCAACTGCTGTTCTTAGTAGCTCAGAGAAGGTGTGGGAACCTTCAAGCTTCAAAGAGGTTCAGGAGTTAACCTCTAAAGATGCTGAGCCTTGGCTTAATGCCATGAAGGCTGAAGTTGATTCCTTGAATAGGAACCAAACTTGGGAGCTGGTACCGGTAGTCCCAGGAATGAGACTGGTTGGCAGCAAATGGGTCTTCAAGGCCAAGACAGACCAGAATGGCAAGGTTGTCAGACACAAAGCCAGATTGGTTGCCAGAGGTTTTTCACAGGTACCAGGACAGGATTACCACGAGACCTACTCACCCACCGTCAAATATGAGAGCATTCGGCTGATGCTCAAGATAGCTGCAGAGGAGAAACTGCATGTTTCCCATCATGACATTAATACAGCTTTTTTTGTACGGGATTTTGGAGGAGGAGCTGTTTATGCTTCCACCTGATGGAATGCAGATACAGAAGGGAATGGTCTGTAAACTGCGGAAATCCTTGTATGGTCTCAAGCAGAGTGCCAGGTGTTGGAACACGAAACTCACTGAGACATTGCTTTCTCTAGGTTTTCACCAGGGTAAAGCTGATCCGTGTGTATTTGTCAAGGAGGAGGGGCAAAACAAACTGTATTGTTTATGTTTTGTTGATGATCTTCTGATGTTTTGGAAGAATCAGGCTTTGTACCAAAGCACCCTAGCTCAGCTGAAGGAGCACTTTGACATGAAGGATCTTGGTGAGGTATCCAACTATCTTTCTCTGCAGGTGGAGAGGGACCAAGCAGGTAATTTTCTGGTACACCAAACACAGAAAATTGCTGATGTATTAACCAGGTTGAATTTGGTTGATGCAAACCCAGCAGACACACCGATGGTGACAGGTTACCAGGTAGATAGTACTGCTGAAGCGTTTTCTGACACAACGCTGTACAGATGCATTCTAGGCAAGTTGAATTTCATTGCTAGATGCTCAAGACCTGACATTGCTGTAAGCTGTAACCTGCTTAGCAGACATGCCAACAATCCTACTGTTCAGGATTGGAAAGCTCTGAAGCGCATAGCCCGCTATTTGAAAGGGACTTTGCACTACAGGCTGAGGTTCACCAGTCAGAAGACTGGAGGTCTTGAAATCTTTGCAGATGCAAGTTTTGGAAGTGACACCACGGATGGTACAAGCACTTCTGGAGTATGCTACATGTACAACCACTGTCTGTTTGACTGGCTGTGCAAAAGCAGACGACAGTGAGCCTAAGTTCCTGTGAAGCAGAACTCAATGCTCTGTCATTTTCACTCATGGATTGTGAATGGTTGATGCAACTGTTTAAGGACATCAGAGTTTCTGTGAAATGTCCTGTACAAGTGTATCAAGACAATAGATCGTGTTTGGCTTTGCTGAACTCGGAGAGTTGCAAGCAAAGGACCAAGTACTTGCAGATTAAGCTACATCGTGCAAGAGAGTGTATTCAGAAAGGACTCATTCAGGTGTCCTACATGCCAGGAAATGAAATTCCTGCTGATCTGTTGTCTAAGGTTGTTAACAGAGAACAACTTAAGGTTTACGTACAAAGGTTGCAATTGGGTTGAACCACAGGTACTACAGGTTACACGGAAAGGGGGAGGATGTTAGGATATTTCCGTTCCACCTTAAAAGGGAGCAGGCTTTGTGAGTCAGAGTCTGCGTATTTCCTGTTCACAGGATGTTTATGTTTTCTGTTGCTTTCGTTTTCTCTCTGTGTCGCAGACACTAAAAGCAGTCAGTCATGTTTTTCTGTGTTCTGATCAACGCTGAATAAACTTGTAAATAATGCTCTCCTGATTGCAACTTTTGGCTGTGCATTATCTGCTGATAGAGCGTGCATGAGCTCGAGAATGTGGCAAGATATTTTCTAGAAACTCATGTCGCTGTGTGCCTACGGGAGGTCGATGGATCCTCCGGCAGACGGCTTGGGGGCCTTGATGGACTTTATCTCCCTGGCAGTATCCCAACAGAAACACCATCAGAGCACTCCTGACATATGGTTGTCAAGCCTCTGCTTAAAGACCTCCAAAGAAGGAGACTCCACCACACTCCTTGGCAGCAAATTCCACTGTCGAACAGCTCTTACTGTCATTAAATTCTTCCTAATGTTTAGGTGGAATCTTCTTTCTTGTAGTTTGGATCCATTGCTCCGTGTCCGCTTCTCTGGAGCAGCAGAAAACCACCTTTCTCCCTCCTCTATGTGACATCCTTTTATATATTTGAACATGGCTATCATATCACCCCTTAACCTCCTCTTCTCCAGGCTAAACATGCCCAGCTCCCTTAGCCGTTCCTCATAAGGCATCGTTTCCAGGCCTTTGACCATTTTGGTTGCCCTCCTCTGGACACGTTCCAGTTTGTCAGTGTCCTTCTTGAACTGTGGTGCCCAGAACTGGACACAGTACTCCAGGTGAGGTCTGACCAGAGCAGAATACAGTGGCACTATTACTTCCCTTGATCTAGATGCTATACTCCTATTGATGCAGCCCAGAATTGCATTGGCTTTTTTAGCTGCCGCGTCACACTCTTGGCTCATGTCAAGTTTGTGGTCAACCAAGACTCCTAGATCCTTTTCACATGTACTGCTCTCAAGCCAGGTGTCACCCATCTTGTATTTGTGCCTCTCATTTTTTCTGCCCAAGTGCAATACTTTACATTTCTCCCTGTTCAAATTCATCTTGTTTGTTTTGGCCCAGTTCTCTAATCTGTCAAGGTCGTTTTGAAGTGTGATCCTGTCCTCTGGGGTGTTAGCCACCCCTCCCAGTTTGGTGTCATCTGCAAATTTGATCAGGATGCCCTTGAGTCCATCATCCAAGTCGTTGATAAAGATGTTGAATAAGACCGGGCCCAAGACAGAACCCTGCGGCACCCCACTAGTCACTCTTCTCCAGGATGAAGAGGAACCATTGATGAGCACCCTTTGGGTTCGGTCAGTCAGCCAGTTACAAATCCACTGAGTGGTAGCATAGTCAAGACCGCATTTTACCAGCTTCTTTACAAGAATATCATGGGGCACCTTGTCAAATGCCTTGCTGAAATCAAGGTAGGCTACATCCACTGCGTTCCCTTCATCTACCAGGCTTGTAATTCTGTCAAAAAACGAGATCAGGTTAGTCTGACATGACTTATTTTTCAGAAATCCATGCTGACTATTGGTGATCACAGCATTCCTTTCTAGGTGCTCACAGACTGTTTGCTTAATGATCTGCTCCAGAATCTTCCCTGGTATTGATGTCAGACTGACTGGGCGGTAATTATTTGGGTCCTCTCTTTTCCCCTTTTTGAAAATAGGGACAACATTTGCCCTCCAGTCTGCCGGGACTTCGCCTGTTCTCCAGGAATTCTCAAAGATGACTGCCAGTGGTTCTGAGATCACATCTGCCAGTTCTTTTAATACTCTTGGATGCAGTTCATCTGGCCGTGGAGACTTGAATACATCTAAACTAGCCAAGTATTCTTGTACTATCTCCTTAGTTATTCTGGGCTGTGTTTCCTCTGCTGAATCATTTGCTCCAAATTCTTCAGGTCGGGCATTGTTTTCTTTATCGGAGAAGACTGAGGCAAAGAAGGCATTGAGGAGTTCAGCCCTTTCTGTGTCCCCTGTTTGCATCCCTGGGCATAGTGGGCCAATCGGTGTTAAAGAGGGACAGAACTTTCTTTATGTATGCTACAACAGCAGCAAGAATACTTATTGCAAAGCATTGGAAGACACAAGACTTACCCACACTGGAGGAATGGCAGATGAAATTGATGGACTACATGGAATTGGCGGAAATGACTGGCAGAATCCGAGACCAGGGAGAAGAGTCGGTGGAAGAAGATTGGAAGAAATTTAAAGACTATTTACAGAAATATTGCAAAATTAATGAATGTTAGAATGATGTTGGATTGAAGTTAAGTGGTTTCTAGCTGTACTGGTATAAAAGAATATGGAAAAATTGGTTTTTAATACGTAAAAATTTAATGTTATAATATATCAAGATTAAAGATCAGGATTAAAAAGGAGGGAAAGGAATTGCTGGACTAACAAATTGAATTGGAATACAAAAGGGGGAGGTATGAGGAGGTCCGGGAAACAAGTAAACGTAAGAGAAGTGATGAAAAGATGGAAATGTTTTTAACTGTTTTTCTTTTTTGTACTTTGTATTTTTCTTTCTTTATTGTTACTTTTCTTATTAATGTAATCTTTTTCTTTTGAAATTTTAATAAATATCATTAAAAAAAAAAAGTTCTTTAGATAGCCACCCTGGCTTCTTTAGGCACCTTCCATGTTTCCGTCTCATTGGTATTGCCTGAAGTTGTGCTTTTACTATCTCCCTCTTAACAAACTCCCAGCCATCATGAACTCCCTTTCCTTTCAGTATTACTGTCCATGGGATCTCACCCAGCACTTCCCTAAGTTTTATGAAGTCGGCTTTCTTAAAGTCAAGAAATTGAGTCCTAGTAGGCTTGGCTGCTCCTTTCCGCTGTATAGTAAACTTCAGAAGAGCATGATCACTCGCGCCTAATGATCCTTCCACTTCTACCCCACTAACCAGGTCATCAACATTGGTTAGGACCAGATCTAAAATGGCTGTTCCTCTTGTTGCTTCTCCCACTTTCTGGACAATGAAGTTGTCTGCAAGGCCAGTGAGGAATCTATTTGACCTTATTCTCTTGGCTGAGTTTGACATCCAACAAATATCCGGGTAATTGAAGTCCCCCATTACTACTATCTCTCTTCCTTTTGCATGCTTGGCCATCTGTTCCAGGAAGGCATCATCTACAGTGGTACCCCGCAAGACGAACGCCTCGCAAGACGGAAAACCCGCTAGACGAAAGGGTTTTCCGTTTTGGAGGCGCTTCGCAAACGAATTTCCTATGGGCTTGCTTCGCAAGACGACAGCCCATAGGGAAATCTCAGGGACAGCGGGGAAGCGCAGCGCGTCTTCCCCACTGTCCTCGGACCTCCTCCTAAGCGTGGCGGGGGGGCGGGTACACCTCCTCCCGCCGCCGGGCTTCGGAAGGCTCCTCCGGCCGGGCGGGGGGAGGCAACACCTGCCGCCGCCGCCCGGCTTCGGAACGGTGCCCGGCCGGGCGGGGGGAGGGAACACCTGCCGCCGCCGCCCGGCTTCGGAACGGTGCCCGGCCGGGCGGGGAGGGAAGACCTCCCGCCTGCCCGGCTTCGGAACGGTGCTCCGGCCGGGCGGTGGGGAGGGAAGACCTCCGCCGCCGCCCGGCTTCGGAACGGTGCCCGGCCGGGCGGTGGGAGGGAAGACCTCCGCCGCCGCCCGGCTCGGAACGGTGCTCCGGCCGGGCGGGGGGAGGGAACACCTCCGCGCCGCCCGGCTCGGAACGGTGCCCGGCCGGGCGGGGGAGGGAACACCTCCGCCGCCGCCCGGCTTCGGAACGGTGCTCCGGGCCGGGCGGGGGGAGGGAAGACCTCCGCCGCCGCCCGGCTTCGGAACGGTGCCCGGCCGGGCGGGGGGAGGGAAGACCTTCTGAAGGCGGGCGGGGGCGAAAGTCTTTGCTCCCCTGCCTGCCTGTCCCGGAGGGCTTTTGAAGGCGGGGGAGCAAGACTTCGCCCGCCCGCCTTCAGAAGAGGTCCAGGACCTCTTCTGAAGGCTGGCGGGGGCAAAAGTCTTTGTCCCCCTGCCTGCCTTCCCAGGGGCTTTGAATTGCCCCGGACAGCGGAGAAGTCCTCCGCTGTCCCGGGTGATTTTAAAATGCCGCCCGCCAGCATTTTAAGATCGCCCGGACAGCGGAGAAGTCCTCCGCTGTCCCGGGGTTTTTTAAAATGCTGGGGGTGGGAAGAAAAGCCCTTGCCCCCCCCAGCCTTCAGAAGAGGTCCGGGGACAGACTGTCCCCGGACCTGGTCTGGAGGCGGCTTCCTAGGAACGCATTAATTGATTTTCAATGCATTCCTATGGGAAACCGTGCATCGCAAGACGAAAAACTCGCAAGACGAAGAGACTTGCGGAACGAATTAATTTCGTCTTGCGAGGCACCACTGTATGTCCTCCGTTTGGCTTGGGGATCTATAGTAAACTCCCACAATGAGGTCACTGTTATTCTTCTCTCCCTTAATTTTGACCCAAATGCTCTCACTTTGGCTTTGAGGTTCTAAATCTTGGATCTCTTCACAGGTATACACATCCTTGACATATAACGCCACTCCTCCTCCTTTCTTGTCTGGTCTGTTTCTCTGAAATAGATTGTATCCCTCCATTATTACAGATGACACAACTTGGATGGCAGAAAGTGAGGAGGAATTAAAGAACCTCTTAATGAGGGTGAAAGAGGAGAGCGCAAAATATGGTCTGAAGCTCAGCATCAAAAAAACTAAGATCATGGCCACTGGTCCCATCACCTCCTGGCAAATAGAAGGGGAAGAAATGGAGGAAGTAAGAGAGAGTCTACCACCTCCCAAGGGAGTCCATTCCACACAGTTCTGTCAGGAAGTTATTTCTGATGTTTAGTCGGAATCTCCTTTCTCATCACTTGAGGCCATTGGTTCCAGTCCTGCCCTTCAGAGCAGGAGAAAACAAGCTTGTTCCCTCTTCCATGTGATAGCCCTTGAGATATTTGAAGATGGCTATCATATCTCTCCCAGTCTCCTCTTTTTCAGACTAAACATACCAAAATCTCTCAACCGCAGAATGCCACAGCGAGGCTCTTTACAGGGTCCTTGCCACAGGATCACATTCATCCCGTGCTTTACCAGCTGCACTGGCTCCCGGTGGAGTACAGGGTCAGGTTTAAGGTGCTGCTTTTGATCTTTCAAGCCCTATGCGGCCTAGGACCCTCGTACCTATGGGACCGCCTCTCCTGGTATGCCCTGCGGAGGACCTTAAGGTCCACAAATAACAACACTTTGGGGGTCCTGAGCCACTAGGTGGTTAGATTGGTCTCAACTAGGGCCAGGGCCTTTTCAGTACTGCCCCTGACTTGGTGGAACACTCTGTCACAAAAGACCAGGGCCCTGCGGGACTTGACATCTTTCCGCAGGGCCTGCAAGACAAATCTGTTCCACCTGGCTTTTGGTTTGGACTCAGTCTGACCCTTATGTTTCCCTCCCCGTATGGTTTTGATTTATGGGCTACTACTAAAATGAGGCTGCATTTTAAATTGTATTTTAACCCTTATTTTAATTAACAGGTTTTTCCCCTTTCCTATTATGTTTTATTGTAATTTTATTGGTGTTAGCCGCCCTGAGCCCGGTTCTGGCCAGGGAGGGCGGGGTATAAATAAAAATTTATTATTATTATTATTAAACGTTCCTCATAGACCCTTGATCATCTTGGTTGTGCTCCTCTGCACACGTTCCAGCTTGTCAATAAATATCCTTCAATTGTGGCACCCAGAATTAGACCCAGTATTCCAGGTGTGGTCTGACCAAGGCAGAATAGAATAGCACTATGACTTGCCTTGATCTGAACACTAAACTTCTGTTCATGCAGCCTAGAGTAGCATTTCTTCATCTCAATATCACACTGAGCATTTGGACTAGAGGGACAACAGCAGGTCCCCAGGACTGACTCACTCTTGGGGTCAATGGAAAGGCAGATTCCTGCCACCAGAATGCTGATGGCGCCCAAATCCCTTGATGATGGCTCTCAGTGGTTTGATGTAGACGTTAAAAGGTACAGCAGACAGAATGGACCCTTGTGGGACTCCACAGCCCCAGAACCAAGAAACAAACTCCCGGTGTTAGCCAAGAAACGCATTGCTTTCCAGTAGTGACTGAGCAGGGGTGGAGCCCCCATAACAGGACCTCCAAATCCCACCGGCTTGAGCTGCTCCAGAATGCCACAGCCAAGCTCCTGGCCCCACCCCAAGGCAGCAACGTGGCTGGACCCAGGGGCCTTACCGGAAGTCCCAGGAAGTGAAAACTGGGTTTGCTGGTGTCACTGCTGCGCCCGCCTTCCCAGCTGAGTGGAAGAGCCACACTTACCGATCCAGCTGCTTGGCATTCTTTTCCTGCAGACTGCTCAACAGCAGTAGGAAGGTGTCAAGGAAATCCAGGAAAGTCTTGGGGCTGATGAGGGGGAGGTGGGCGGCCAGGGAAGTCATGTATGCCATGGTACAGCAATGGATCCGGGAGGCGGCCTTGGCCGTGCGATGCATCAAGTCCTTGAGGTCATGTACTGACGTCAGCCCTAACAACAGAGAATGGACATATCTGCCCAGGTCAGAGCTTGGGGTGGGGTGTCCATCATGGAGACAGAGACTGGGACGCTGCCATCACCAAGACCAAGGAGAGTGGAGAACAAGTGGGCAGTGGGGGTGGCGGCATGGTGGGCACACAGGGAGGCCTGCTGCGGGGGGCACAGGGCTGTTTGCTGTTGCTGGAGGGACAGGAGGGAGCGCCCTTCCTCCCCACTCCCAGCCGCTGCTTCAGTGGCACCCACCTCGAGTGAGCTTGGCTGAAGTCTTCTGGTGGTACATGAGGTACTTGGAGGCCACTGCCACCAAGGACTCGTGGCTCCATGGCTGATAGACCTCCAGGCTGCTGAGCACTTGGGCCAGGGCTGTGGCTGTGATGGGCGGCAGTGCCAAGGAGCCAGCACCCCCCAGCAGCAGCACCACATGCAGGTTGGCACGCACAAACTGGAAGAATCTGCAAGGAAAGCCAGAAAGCAGGACTGAGCCCTGAAGCAAGTCCTCCCTGGCCAGCCCCCTGGGCCAAGGGCTGCCCCAGCCCCACACCTTTGCAGAATGAGCTCCTCCCGCATGTTCCGCTTGATGCTCTGGTTCTCCTGCAGCAGGGCTTGGATGACAGCCATGGTGTCTTCTGGGCTGTAGAGGCCAGGGCACGTGCCCTCGGCCATCAGGGCCAGTAGCAGGTGCAAGGTGGCCAGGCTTATGCCGGCGTGCACCAGCAGCAGCACTCGCTTGCCCATGATGCCTGCCTGCCAACTGGCCAATCGCAGCAAGGCCAGGGCCCCTGCCTCATCCTCTTTGGCAGGTATCTCCATCAGCAGCGAGGCGGTGGCACGGGCAGCCAGAGCCACGAGGGTCCTCCGCCCTGTGCAGCGGGCAAAGGAGACAATGGCCCCATGCCGGTCAGGGCCACAGAAGAGCCGGCTCAGGCGCACTATGTGCCTCAGTGACTCCAAGCACAGCAGGAAGTTTTTGGGCAGCAAGGGCTTCAGCTGCTTCTCCAGGGTCTTCCAGAGCTTCTCTTGGTAAGGGTTGTGGGTGTTGGGGCTGTAGGAGTCAGGGCCCAGGTCCTTGCTGAAGACAACGTCCCGGAGCTCCTCGCCTGGCTGCAGCAGGAGGTGGGAGGGCAGCAGGGGGCCGGTGCTCTCCTTCTTGGGAGAGCCATGGCGCCTGGCCTTGTGGAGGTGAAGCCGGTTGGGGGATGCCCGGCGCCGGTCGCGTGGGGACCGGCCCTGGGAGGCAGGGGTCTGCTTCCTTGCAGCTTCCTCTGCGGTTTCCGCCTCTGTGGTCTCGCTCTCTAGCTCCAAAACAGCCAGGCCTTCTCCAGGGTCTGGGCGGTCCAAGGCCAGCGCTGCTGCCTGCTCCACTGGGTCCCAGGGGTCAGGGCAGCCCACCTCACCACTCCAAGGGAAGAGGGGCTTCTCTTCTTCTGGCTCCTCCTCCGCTGCCCATTCTGCATCAAGGCTGAAGCTCCCGCTGGGCAAGTGGAAGGTGATGCCAGCTCTGCTGGGCGGGTGGTGGTCCTGGTCCCTGGGGGGGCTGGAGGACCAGGTCCTCTGCGCAACCCGTATGACATTGCGCTTGGCACAGAAGACGCTTATGGCCACGTCCATCAGCATCTGCCTGCAGAGCTCCCGCTGCTGCTCCCTCCGCAGTGGGTCACAGAAGACGCACAGACACTCATGTATCCAGAGGCGGACGACCAGTCGGGTGCTGAGGAGGGCAGTATAGCCCGCCCCCATGGTCATCTTGGTCACCCCAGAGGTGCGCCGGCTGGACGCCTGCTTGAAGTTCTGTTCCTCCAGGGGACTGCTGAGGTGGATGCCTGGGCGGGGCCGCAGCAGGAACAGCCCCTTGAACACCTTCTGGATGTCGTGCAGCGAGAAGTGGAAGAGGCAGCAGGCGGGAGAGGGTGGGAACAAGCTCTTGGCCGTCTCATAGGCGTTGATGGTGGCCCTGACCAGCGCCAAGGCCAAGTCATTTTGCCGGGACAGCAGGGGGAACTTCTCCAGCCAGCACAGAACGGGCTCCACATACAGGCCCAGCAGGGAGTCTCTGGTCGTGAGCGGCAACACCACAGTGCTGAAGAGCCTGCCAAAGCGAGGGCAGAGGGGCAGGGCGCCTGTCATGGGCACGGAGAGTGTGCCAAAGCAGTTGAAGCCGGTGGCCGGGCAGTGCTGCACCTCCAGGGTCTCTCCGTGGTAGAACTGCTGGTAGCTCAGAGCCTGGCGCAGGGACTCCACCACAGGGCTCGAGCCCCGGGCTGAATCTGGACAGGAGGAGGAGGAGGAGGACCATAAGAGCTGTGGCAAAGTCCCTCACGGCCTCCCCACGGAGCAGGGAGAGGACCTTCTCCTCCCCAGCCCCCTTGGCTCACCCACAAAGGCCAAGTGCAGGTCCTCCACCAGGAAGAGGCAGCGTCCCTTGGCAGCTGCCCCCCGCCCGGGCTTGCCCTTGTCTCGCGCCAGGCTGAGGAAGCGCTTGTGCAGCAGGTGGCGCAGGTGGGCTGGTCTAAGTGCAGGGGTGAGGCAGACCCGGTGGTAGCTGTGGTTCGGTTGCACCAGCATCTCTGCAAAGGAGGACTTCCCGCAGCCCGGCTCCCCAACCAGCAGGACTGGACGCTCGCTGCTCAGGAGCAGGTCCACCACGAAGAGCGCCCGCTCATGCTGAGGAGGGAGGAAGGAATGGCAGAACACACATGGGCTCCCCAGCCAGAGATCCCCCCCAAGGGGCTGGCCCTACCTGGGGCTGCAGGACAGAGAAGGTGACTGGGAGGACCTTGACACGGTTGGATAGATAGGACCCGTTGAAGGATTCCAGGGTGCCATCCGCTGCCAGGGGGCAGAGGTCGAAGGCGGATGGCCCAGTGGGGAGCTTGATGGAGAACTGGCTCCTGTGCAGGGCCTGGCGGGCAAAGTGCTCAAAGAGAGGCCAGTGCCTGGAGGAAGACGAAGGGCAGGGGAAGAACTCTTTGAAGCCCCCAAGACCGCAATACCAAAATGCTGCTCCCCCCACCCCACCCACCAGCATGGCTCACACCCTGCCTGTTCAGCACCACCAATATAACAGAATCATATCAAATCGTAGAGTTGGAGGGGACCCATGTGCAGTACTGCATGTACAGTAAGATGTTCTGGCCCCTGTGGAGAGTCAGCCTTTCCGAAAGCAGCTCTGCTGCACCACTGTGATGCCCACGAGGGAGAAAAGCCCAAGGTCCAGAGCGCAGAGGAGAGGAGAGGATCTTGGCTGCTGGCTTTCTGTGGGTTGTCTTGTTCCAAGTCTGAAGTGGGTCTCTCCAAGCCCTCCTTGTCGTCGCAGGGCCTTGCCTGGGGGCAGGGGCATAGCATGGGGGGCCCCGGGGGTGGTTGCCCCAGGAAAAAAAATGTTAGGGGCAAAACATTTCAACCAGGAAGCAACCTCTCCAGACAACAGAACAACTCTTATTTTCTTTGCAGCTGTAATTTCCTGGGTGACGTGGCCCCATTAGGCAGCTGAATGTGCGTGTTCTCCATCCATTTCCCTCCCACCCCTCCGAGTGGCCCTGGGCACTGGCAACCCATGCTCCACCACCAGACAAGGGGGGAGGGGCTGAAGAAGAGCTTGGGATGGTCTGAATGAGGAGAGAGGGTTGTGGGGCAGAGACAGAGCCCTCTTGCCTCCACGCAGGACCTCCAGTGCCACTCACCTCTTCACTTGCCCTACCCTATGACGCTGGCATGCCCCTTGCTGGCTTCGGAGATGTCTTTGCAGGCTCCCACCCGCTTTGCTCCTCCAGTCCTCTCCCCTCCCCTCCCCCAAGGTCTCTCCCTCACTTGCATTTCTCAGGCCTCTGTGCTGCCCCCTCAGTACACAACATCAGCTAGTTGGCAGCTGGCGCCCGTCTGTCTCGGGAGACTATGGAGGAGTGTGCCTTTGGGGGTGATGTCAAACTATTGGAAGGTTACAGCACCAAGAGGACAATCTCTTTCCATACACTTACTGGCATTTCCAAAGGCTCCTTCTTCCCTGGCTCTCCCCTGCCCCCACGGGCCATGATAAACATCTCCCTCCTTAGGTCTTCCCCCCACCTTGTGAGGCAAAGAGTGCAAAGAGTCCAGAGTACCTGGGGTGTAGGTGGCCTCCGAAGCCCCAGATGTAGGCAAAAACAAAGATGCTCTGCACCAGCAAGTGGTGGTGGGCAGGGACGGTGTCGTCCAGACTACGGGACGAGGAGGCAGTGCGGCTGTCCAAGACGGTGCCCTTGGCGTCTGTGGGGAAAGGGCTGGGGTGAGCTGGGCTCCCCACCACGCTCCACGCTCCACAGAGCCAGGGCAAGGAGCCTCTCCACCACTAAACACACCAAGGGCATAGGGATCTACGGAAATAGCCCCACAACATGGGAGGCAGCCCTGGCAGGAAGAGGCTCCTTCCCCCACACCCTGGGGTCTCAACATGCTCCCAGGTCACTTACCTGTCGACTCCTGAGCGGCAGCAGGAGGAGGAGGAGGTGGCGGCAGGTGCTTGACCCGGTCCCGGCGCAGGTGTTGCTCCAGCAGGGCAAGGAGGAGCCTCAGGAAGGTGGTTGTCTCTTGGACGCCCTGGGCCACGGGGTCCTGGGGGTGGGGGTGGGGGAGCAGCACCGAGCAGCAGTGCTCCCGCAGGAAGGCCAGCGTCGCGGGGAAGAGCTCCTCGGCCAGGCTGCGCAGCAGGGCCAGGCTCTCCTGGGTCAGGCTGTACATGCGGTACACGGGGGCCAGGCCCGAGGCCAGCAGCCCCCGCCACAGGCTGGCCCCCCCGCAGTACAGCAGGGAGTAGTGGGTGCAGACGGAGGGGGGCACGTTGGAGGTGCTGGGCATTTCAAAGAGGAACTTGACATTCTTGGGGATCCGCAGCTTCTGCCCGTTCGGCAGACTGAGGGAAGGTCTGGCACTGAAGAGGGAGGAGATGGGCTCCAGCCACTCTGCACAGGCTGCCCCATCCAGCACCAGCCACTCCTGGGAGCTCCCCTCACCAGTCCTGCGTGCCAGGGTGGAGGTGGCCGCTCTCTGCAGGACCCGGGAGAGGACCCCATCCTGCCATATGCTGCCCTCCAGGCTCCCCACAAACTCAGCTACGCTCAGGCAGTTCGGCCACAGGCAGACGGTGCTGGTCGGCTGGAAGAGGCTGCTGGGGCTGACCTCAGTCATGTGGGCCCCTGGCGCGGCATCGCTGGCTGCCAGCCGGCTCAGTGCCTTGGCCAGGGTGCGCCACATGGTGGTCTTGCCGCTCCCCGCAGGCCCCAGCAGAAGGACGCCTGGGGCCCCCAGCAGGGCCTGGAAGAGCTGGCCAGCTATGCTCAGGAGCTCCTGCTCGGGCTGCAGCTTGTCCTCGTGCAGCTGGGCCACCAAGGCACTCTGGAGGCGGTAGGGCACCCGTGACTCAAAGGCCTGCAGGGGGGCTCCCGGAAAGACCTCGCGCAGCAAGTCCCGTGTGTTCTGGAGTCGTGGGCACTCAGGGCCGCTGAGCAGCGAGGAGAGGCACAGCGCTTTGACCATGGCCGGCTGTTCCTCCAGGCCCTGGAAGAATGCGGCCCTGCCTGAGGGCCGGGACTTGAGCGTCAGGGAGCCCTGCCCGGCTGGAGGGCTGAACAGGATGCTGACCGCCACCCTGACCACCTCCCGGACGAGGCTGCAACGGCCCAGGTGGGGTTTCGGGTTCAGCTCCCCCTCCAGGCGCAGAAAGTGGTTCAGCTTCTCTGCGAGACGGGTAGCCTCCCGGAAGCCAGCGGCCAGCAGGGTGACCTCTGCTAGCTGGGTGAGGTCAGGGGGCAGCATGGCCAGGGGGCGCATGGCCAGGCACAGGGCCTCTGGGAGGCGCTCCAGGGTGATGACGCAGCCATAGGTCTCCCGCACCCGCAGCAGCCGCCCCCCAAAGAGGATGTTGCCCAGGACACGGGGCTGGTAGGGCTCGGCCTCATCGGTGCCCAGCTCCAGCACTGGGATGGCAGGCTGCAACTCGCCCTCAGAGCTCTCAGAGCTCTCGGAGCTCTGGCTGGGATGGGGGGAGCCGCCACCCGAGGACACCCCTGCTGTGGCTCCACGGCCCCCTTGCAGGCTCTGGCACATCCGCTGCAGGTCAACCAAACGCTGGCTGAAGGCCGAGAGCACCGCTGCCTCCAACCGCTCCGCCGCCTCCAGCAGCAGCAGCGCGCCAGCATGCACCGCCCCGCAAAGGTAGCGCGAGAGGCAGCCCACCGACACCTGCAGGGTGCAGTGCAGGGTGACCAGCTGGCGACCCAGAGCCTCGGCCAGGCCCCGCACCGTGTGAGACTTGCCCACGTCCGGGTGGCCCAGCAGGCCTCCGCAGCGGAAGTCATCCAGCGCCAAGAGCAGCCCCAGGAAGGTCTTGTCCAGCGAGGGGCTCCCCAGGAGGTGCAGGCAGGGCCCCAGGTACTCATAGTCATAGCGGAAGCGGCGGTCAAGGGCTTCTGCCCAGCAGCCAGGGGGGCTGCCCACCCAGGGGCTGCCAGCAGGGAGCCCCGCTGTCCGGGCGCACTCGGGACTCAGGGCCACGCGGTACTTGAGGAGCCGGGCCCACTCAAAGGCTTGCGGGGAGCTCACCTGGCACTGGAGCAGCCGGGCAAGCGTGTCGCGCTGCTGCACCGTCAGGGTGATCAGGACTTCCAGCAGCAGACCCAGCTGCTCGCTGCCGGGCCGGCGGGGGCGCAGGTTGCGGAAGTTGCGGACGTAGTGGGCCAGGGCTTCCAGCTTCAGGTTTAGCTTGAGCTCCAGCTCTGGCTGGCAGTGCTGATTTGAGAGGGCCTCCTCCAGGGTGGCGCGCCACAGGGCCTCCTCGGCTAGCACCACACATTGGTTGGGGAAGGTGCGACACAGCGTGGCCCAGCCCTCCACCACCATGTGGAGGGGCAGCTCGGTGGGGCCAGGGCGATGCTTGAAGGCCACATCCAGCTGGGGCCGCAGGGCCAGGCGCTGGGCCACACACTGCTGCATCTGCTGAAAGACGCTCTCTTTCATGCGCTGCTCCAGGGCGCAGAGCCACTGGGTGGCCTTCCGGCTGAGGCAAACTACGCTGCACAGCTCCAGCTCCTCCTCCTGGTCCCCAACAAGGCCCGTCACCTGGACCACCGGCAGCTCGGCTGACAAGGCGCCACGGTTGTGGGCAGCGGAGGGCACGATGAGCGCCAGCTGGCGCACTCCGGGGAAGCAGCGCTGGGCCCAGACTGAGGCCTCTGCTGGCTCCGAGGCTGTGGCCAGCAGGCTGATCAGCTCCTCGTTGCTGAGGAAGAAGAGGCGGGGAAAGCCCATGCGCGTGCCCTCCAGCACGTAGTCCAGGGCCCGGATGATGACCTGCAGGTCTCTGGAGCCGTCCACAAAGGCTTCTTGCAAGGCACCCCCCACAAAGCGGCTCTCGCGGCAGGAGCCACAGGGGGGCCTCACGCTGGACAGCACCAGCGGGTCATTGCAGGTCACCTGTATGAACTCTCGGAAGTGGCTGTCCACCCGCTGGAACCGCGACTCCTGCATGGAAGGGGAAGGGGGAAGACTGGGCTGCAGCAAGGGGCTTCGGGCAGGGGACCAGTGCAAGGGCGCCCAAAGGGAAGAGGCAACCAAGAGGCTCGGGGGCTAAAAGAGGCCCGTCTGCAACTCACCAGCTCAGAGCTGGGGAGACTGATGTCCATCTCGTAGAGAACAATGTTCAAGAAGACCCATTTCTGCTGGAAATTGACCCAGGCCTCGAGGAGGGATTCTGAGGTACAAAGTGGAGATGAGGATAGGGAAGACTCTCTCTTGGCTGCAAAGCACCTCCTCCCTCATGGCCAAGCTGGCCCAGAGCTATGGCTGCCCCCACCCCAAAAAAGAGGGCTGCGCCAGAACTGCCCTTCCCCCAGGGCCTCCTGCCCCAGCTCCTCACCAAAGGAACGCAGGATGGACGCCCAGCTCTCAGCCTCCAGCAGGATGTCGGAGGAGAACGGGGAGAGGATGATGTTCTGGAGAGTCAAGAGGCTGTGCTCCACCATTGCCTTCAGCTCTGCCGTATCTGAGGCCGAGAGCAGAGGATGAGGGCTGGGCAGGGAGGGGAGGCAGAGCCCACCTTTGCCCATGCCACGCAGGCGCGAGGGCTCCCGCAGCAGGAGCCACCTTCAGAGGACTCTCTCTGCTTGGGTCACGGCTCCGTCCCCCCTCCCCACGTGAGGAGCCCTTGCCCTTGCAGCTGAGGCTGGCGCTCTGGTGCTTTACCTGACAAGACGTACGTGCCGCTGTCCTTGGAGATGTGCTCCAGCTTGGGCTGGCGGTGCCGGCGGAAGCGCTCGGGCGGCGGCTCCTTGTGGGGAACGTTGAGGATGAAATTGACGAGGCGGAACTGCTTCTCGGCCCAGGACCTCTCCAGGCGGAACAGGGTGTCCCTGGCGTAATGGCGGCTCTTCTCCAAAGCATAGACCTGGGGATCAAGGAAGGTCACAGCCCCCAGGAGAAAGTGGTGGGGTGGGGCCAGGCTGGGCCACGGGCACAAGGAGCCTCCTCTTCTCCAGGGGCCCCGGCTTCTGCTAACCTGCCAGGCCAAGCTACTCACCCTGAAGATGGAGTCACTGTGCTCCAGGAGTGGGTAGGAAAGGAGCTGCCCCAGCGTGAACTGCATGTTGAGGGGGCACTTGACGCCCATCACTGTGAGAGAGGGGGGGGCAGCTGAGGAGATGGGCTCTGCAGAGTCCTCAGAGGAGCCTTCTTCCCAACCTCCCTGCCTGCTGGCTTCTTGACCCCCACTGCTCCCACCATGGAAAGAGAGGAGGAGGAGGAGGAAGCCCTTTGACCTCCAGGGCAGGGTCCAGCAGGGACCAAGGGGCTTCCTGCCTCATGTCTGAGCACCAGGGTCTCACCAGCAAATATCTCCTTCCAGCAGCTGAGCTTGAGAAAGTGGCTGCCCAGTTTCAGGAGGATAGGGAGGTACTTCTGCAGGTTGGCAATGGCACGCAGGCAGGCTTGCAGCACCTGGTTTGGGCTGGGCAGGCAGTGCTCCAGGCTGATCACCTCCTTTTGCCACTCTTCGGTCTTCTCCATGGCCAAACCGGTGTTGAACTGGGGGTGGGGAAGAGAGGAGAGGAGGTATGCTTGGGCAGCCTCACATAGGTTGCATGCTGGGGGAGAGGGAGGGACTGAGGTTTGGGACCCCAAAAGTGGTTCTCCTTGGGCAGGGAGAGGCCAACCCAGCCCCCTCCATCTCTTTACCTTGACAAATGCCAGACACTTCCACTCAGTGATCTGCTCAGTGATGATGCGGAAAAGCTGCCAGATGCGAGTGTGGATCTCGATGACCCCCTGCTTCCCAGTGATGAATGTGACGTCCATGCAATCCCCTGAGGAGGCAGCAAAAGGCCGCAGCAGGGTTCACACCCAGCCCAGAAGAAGGGAGCTCCCTCCTTGCAAGGAAAGGACACCCTGCAGCTCACCTGTCAGGATCCGCTGGGAACGGCAGAGATCAGTGATGCGCAACACCGTGGCCTGGAAGGACTGGCAGAGAGTGCGCAGCTCCTCTTCCATGGCCCGGGGGTTCTGGGAGGGGTCCTGGAAACGCCCCATTGTCACGACAGTCAGCAGCTCCTGCAGCTCCAGGGTCGCTTTCCGGAGGGAGCTACTGAGCTCAGCGATGATGCTGAGGCGCCGTGAGACAATGAAGTCCGAGACCTCCCGCTGCTGGTACGCAAAGGCATCCCAGGTGTCCAGGAGCTGCAAGAGCCAAGGCTGAGGGTCAGGCTCATGCCAGGCTCTCCGGGCACCTCACCCGAGAGGAACCTGCACAGCCCAAAGGGCTGCTCTCCATCCCAAGCACATACCAAGTCTGCCCCATGCTTATCTCTGGTCACAAACGCTATAGGAAGGAAAAGGTGTGCTGGAGGTGGCCTGCTCAACATCACACAAGTGCAACATGCTAGAAATTCCCAGGGGGACCCACTTTTCCACAGAGTCATTGTGGGTGAGGATACTGGGTGCCCACAGTTATTTAGTGCTGGGGGCATGCTATCATCCCATAGCTGTCAACTTTCCCCTTTTCTTGCGAGGAATCCTATTCGGAATAAGGGAATTTCCCTTAAAAAAAGCGAAATGTTGACAGCTATGTATCATCCTCCCGACCCAAATATGCCAAGTGGTCTTGAGATGGATACTTAATCAGTGAGACATGTTGTAGTGATATCAAATTCAAGATATATTTAAAGTGCCAGTCACGAAGGCAATCCAACATGGTCACTTTTGGCTTCAAATGAGAAAACTGACCAAGAGTGAGAGCACTGGTAAAAGGAAAGTTGAAAAGCAAAACCAAGTGAGTGAAAACTCTTCAAAATACTTGGGGGTTGTTGAAGAACCACAATACTAGAAGCTCAGTTGGAACATAAGCATGTCAGTAACACAGCTACACCTCCACTGAATGCATGAAAACAAAAACATATGAATCAGACTAAGAGAATGCTGAGGGGGAAACAGAGGTGGCTGAATGTCCTCCAGTCCACTCCTCAAACAGAAATTCACAGTAGGTACCAATTTCCATTTTTGGCCAGAATGGACTGGAGGGCATTCAGGGAACAGGACGTAGCACAGCAGGATCCCCAAAGGATGGGCTGGGATTCCTCTGCATCAAAACCAAATATGAACAACCCTCTGAGCACCTTTCCTCAGTGTCAGCTGGGGGAAAACCATCTATAGGGCTTCACCAAAGTATGTGAGGTCCAAGGGGATGCCCTGCAGATGTCAACAACCGGGAAATTGTCCTTTAAAACAAGCCAAGGTGCCATTTCCTTAAAGAATGAGTGGAGAGTCCCCAAGGACTTCCCCATATGCCTGGGTAATACACAAATTAAGACATTTAGAAAATAAAGGATGAGGACACCTTCATCTCCTTAGATGGACCTGAGAAAGAAGAGCCAAACAGGAAAGGCTCACATTCTGTCTGAGAGAAAAATGTCGGACACACCGGACATCTGGGGACGGCCAGCTAGGGCAGAAAGAGGGAAGCCCTCCCAGGTTTGGGGCTCTATGGAAAACTGAATGGAAAGTGGTCTGGGGATAAAAGCACATCAGGATCCCCTTGGAAAGCGCTGAGTTGAGCATCAGAGGACAAAGCCCCCAACTCTGAAGAAGACCTACAAGGTGAAGGATTGGCAACGAGGAAATGAGTTTTCTTTTTATGTACATTAGTTTTCTATGACTGTATTGTGAAAGTTTTTCAAAGTACAGCAAGATATAGAAAAGGGCACGGGTGGCGCTGTGGGTTAAACCACAGAGCCTAGGATTTGCCGATCAGAAGGTCAGCGGTTCAAATCCCCGCAACGGGGTGAGCTCCCGTTGCTCAGTCCCTGCTCCTGCCAACCTAGCAGTTCGAAAGCACGTCAAAGTGCAAGTAGATAAATAGGTACCGCTCCGGCGGGAAGGTAAACGGCGTTTCCGTGCGCTGCTCTGGTTCGCCAGAAGCGGCTTAGTCCTGCTGGCCACATGACCCGGAAGCTGTACGCCGGCTCCCTCAGCCAATAAAGCGAGAAGAGCGCCACAAGCCCAGAGTCGGCCACAACTGGACCTACTGGTCAGGGGTCCCTTTACCTTTAAGATATAGAAAATGAATGTACATAAAAAATAGATGGAAAAAGTTACAAAAGGAAAAAGAAAAGAAAGAAAAAGAAGCAGACAGAAGATAGGGAAGGAAGAGAAGAGAGAAGAGGAAAAGAAGCAATATAGAAAGAGAAAAAGAACTTCTGATTTTCCATCTGCCGGTTACATTCAAAAGTTATGAAAAACGTCTTATTTTAAGAGAAGGAAATCTACCTTTTCAAAAGCTAAAGGAGAAGCCTCCAGAAACTAGGGAAAGACACTCCTGGCGTTTCCTGCACTTCCGATCCATTTTCTAGGGGAGTTCCTAAAACTCCTCAGGGACTCCTGAGGTAAAAATGGATGATTTCCAGCTGAAGCTATTTAGAGCTGCCCTTGCAAACACCTCCACCCCAAGTCTTCTTTTCATAAGCAGCTTGGGGGTATTTTATTCTGATCAGTGGAGAGGGAGAAATCCCTTTGGATCTCCTGCCAAACCTCCTGAGGGCCAGCCTGCCTCCCAGGGCAATGGGGAGGAGAACCATGTCCGCCCCCGGGAGCTCCTTGGAAGGGAAAGACGGGATAGAAAGGTCAGGAAGGAATCCAGAAAGCCAGAGCTTGCTTGGGCCGAGGCCCTTGAGAGGCAGCGCTCTGAGGGAGCCATTTTGAGCTGGGGAGGGAAAGGGCGGGAAAAGGCCTCAGCCGGAGGGCGGCTGCCATGTCTGGGCCCGGCCGGCTCCATCCCGGTCTGTTCTGAGGAGAAAAATGTCTCCGCTCCTCACAGAAGAAAGGAAAAGCAGGCCCTGCAGCCGGGGACTTGGGTGAGTGAAGCTTCCGTAGGAGAAGCCAGGGACGGGGAAGGGCAATCCGGGGTCTCCTCTGCGAAGGCCTTGGAGGCCGAAGCGAGAGAGAGAGGGAGAGAGGGAGGGAGAGAGGGAGAGGGAGAGAGAGAGAGAGGGAGAGAGAGAGGGAGAGAGAGAGAGAGAGAGAGAGAGAGAGGGAGAGGGAGAGAGAGAGGGAGAGAGAGGGGAGAGAGAGAGGGAGAGAGAGGGAGAGGGAGAGAGGGAGAGAGAGAGAGAGAGAGAGAGAGAGAGAGACCCCTCAATGGCCGCCTGCAGGGGAGCCAGGGCGGAGGGGGGCCTGAGGCCAAGGCAGCTGGGGGCCAAGAGGAAGAGGGCCCCCCAGGGCCGGATGGAGCTTGGATGCGGCCCTCAGCTCCGGAAGGGAATGGGGCCCTTTCTGGGTCCAGCTCTCCTTTGTCAACTACAAATTGCCGCTGTTTTATGTGTTGAATATATGCGAGATGGTAATTTATGGACCTAATAAGTATCTCAAGCCATTTGCACTCCTGTCTTCCACTGCCTCCCGCAGTTTGGTCAGACTCATGCTGGTAGCTTCGAGAACACTGTCCCACCATCTCGTCCTCTGTCGTCCCCTTCTCCTTGTGCCCTTCATCTTTCCCAGCACCAGGGTCTTTTCCAGGGAGTCTTCTCTTCTCATGAGGTGGCCAAAGTCTTGGAGCCTCAGCTTCAGGATCTGTCCTTCCAGTGAGCACTCAGGGCTGATTTCCTTCAGAATGGATTGGTTTGATCTTCTTGCAGTCCATGGGACTCTCAATAGTCTCCTCCAGCACCAGAATTCAAAAGCATCAATTCTTCAGCGATCAGCCTTCTTTATGGTCCAGCTCTCCCTTCCATACATCACTACTGGGAAAACCATAGTTTGAACTATACGGACCTTTGTCGGCAAGGTGATGTCTCTGCTTTTTAGGATGCTGTCTAGGTTTGTCATTGCTTTTCTCCCAAGAAGCAGGTGTCTTTTAATTTCGTGGCTGCTGTCATCATCTGCAGTGATCATGGAACCCAAGAAAGTAAAATCTCTCACTGCCTCCATTTCTTCCCCTTCTATTTGCCAGGAGGTGATGGAACCAGTGGCCATGATCTTTGTTTTTTTGATCATCACTGAAACCTGGTGGGATAAGTCCCACGATTGGAATGTAATAATGGGGGGATACAATCTATTTCAGAGAAACAGACCAGACAAGAAAGGAGGAGGAGTGGCGTTATATGTCAGGGATGTGTATACCTGTGAAGAGATCCAAGATTTAGAACCTCAAAGCCAAAGTGAGAGCATTTGGGTCAAAATTAAGGGAGAAAAGAATAACAGAGACCTCACTGTGGGAGTTTACTATAGATCCCCAAGCCAAACGGAGGACATAGATGATGCCTTCCTGGAACAGATGGCCAAGCATGCCAAAGGAAGGGAGATAGTAGTAATGGGGGACTTCAATTACCCGGATATTTGTTGGATGTCAAACTCAGCCAAGAGCATAAGGTCAAACAGATTCCTCACTGGCCTTGCAGACAACTTCATTGTCCAGAAAGTGGGAGAAGCAACAAGAGGAACAGCCATTTTAGATCTGGTCCTAACCAATGTTGATGACCTGGTTAGTGGGGTAGAAGTGGAAGGATCATTAGGCGCGAGTGATCATGCTCTTCTGAAGTTTACTATACAGCGGAAAGGAGCAGCCAAGCATACTAGGACTCAATTTCTTGACTTTAAGAAAGCCGACTTCATAAAACTTAGGGAAGTGCTGGGTGAGATCCCATGGACAGTAATACTAAAAGGAAAGGGAGTTCATGATGGCTGGGAGTTTATTAAGAGGGAGATAGTAAAAGCACAACGTCAGGCAATACCAATGAGACGGAAACATGGAAGGTGCCTAAAGAAGCCAGGGTGGCTATCTAAAGAACTTTTAACTGAGTTAAGATTAAAAAGGATGTGTACAAAAATGGAAAAGGGGGAAACCACCAAAGAGGAATTCAAACAAATAGCCAGCACGTGTAGACACAAAGGCAGAAAAGCTAAAGCACAGAATGAACTCAGGCTTGCTAGAGAGGTTAAAAGCAACAAAAAAGGCTTTTATGGGTATGTTTGTAGCAAAAGGAAGAACAAAGAAACAGTGGGGTCACTCAGAGGAGAAGATGGTGAAATGCAAACAGGGGACACAGAAAGGGCTGAACTCCTCAGTGCCTTCTTTGCCTCAGTCTTCTCCGATAAAGAAAACAATGCCCGACCTGAAGAATTTGGAGCAAATGATTCAGCAGAGGAAACACAGCCCAGAATAACTAAGGAGATAGTACAAGAATACTTGGCTAGTTTAGATGTATTCAAGTCTCCACGGCCAGATGAACTGCATCCAAGAGTATTAAAAGAACTGGCAGATGTGATCTCAGAACCACTGGCAGTCATCTCTGAGAATTCCTGGAGAACAGGCGAAGTCCCGGCAGACTGGAGGAGGGCAAATGTTGTCCCTATTTTCAAAAAGGGGGAAAGAGAGGACCCAAATAATTACCGCCCAGCCAGTCTGACATCAATACCAGGGAAGATTCTGGAGCAGATCATTAAGCAAACAGTCTGTGAGCACCTAGAAAGCAATGCTGTGTTAAACTCTCTGGATATGAGAAATGAAATACTAAAGTTAAACTATAATCAAAAATTATGTATTGAGGGAAAGCCAATTATTATATTTAAAGAGATTCCTTCGAGATTTCTTCGTAAGAGAGATGTTTATAAAAAACTAACTAACCAATTGAAGAAGATAGGGATCCAATATAGATGGGAGTTCCCGGAAGGGATTTCATTCTATTTCAAGGAAAAAGATTCAAACTATCCAGCTCTCTGGAATTGGATAAATTTGCAAGAAGATATGAGAAGGAACTGGGAAGGTTGGGAGGGGGGGATCCAGAAGGGGCGCAGATGGGGGAAGAGAGGGGTGGAGGTGAAGAAAGTGGAGAGGGAGAAGAGGAGGAAAACCTAGACGAAGAAAAAGAAGAGGAAGAGACAGATAACAAGGAGCAGTAGACCTAACCTAGATTTGACCACTTACTGATTGTACATTAAAAATGACCTTAAAAATAACCTCGTGGAATGTGAACGGGCTCAATAATAAAAATAAAAGAAACCAAATTGCTCATGTATTGCTTAAAAAGAACCTTGACATAATCTGTCTGCAAGAAACCCATGTAACAAAAAACATAAAAGAATTTTAAGTAATAAGAGATTGGTGTTGGACTTTGTAGCATCGGATAATGTCAAGAAAAGAGGAGTGGTACTATATATAAAAGAAAAATTTGATCCAAAATTAATACATAAAGACGAAGAGGGAGAACGATAGCAGTACAGATCACCCACCAAGGAGAAAAGATAATCGTGGTAGGGATATATGCACCCAATGACAAAAATCAGCATTTTATTCTGAACTAGGTAACAAATTGTTAGAATGGATGGACCAACAAATGATATTGATGGGGGACTTTAATGGAGTGGTTCTCCCAAATTTGGATAGATCAATAAGAAAACAGGAAATGAGGGAGGGCAAATTACCGAAAGCCTTCTTCGAATTAGTGGAAAATTTGGGATTAATTGACGCTTGGAGATTTAAAACCCCACGATAAAACAATTCACTTTCTTTTCAAACCCAAATCAAAGCTGGGGAGAATAGATCATATTTGGGTCTCGAAGGAATTGACGCAAAGAGTAATTAAGACTGAAATCCTCCCACAAACTTTATCTGATCATAATCCAGTATATATGGAGGTAAAAGGAAAAGATTTCAGAACATTAAGATGGAGAATGAACGAAAACCTATTCAATGATCAAAAGATAGCAAATAAAGCAAAAGAGACAATTGAGGAATATTTTAAGTGGAATTTGAATAAAGAAACATCTCTAGAAACGGTGTGGGATGCCGGGAAGGCTGTCATGAGGGGTTTTCTTATTCAGAAAAATAGCATCTCAAAAAAGATAAAAGAGAAAAGGAAAGAAGAAATCTTACTACACCTTATGGAGAATGAAAGACAATTAACCATCAAACCAGGAGATGAAATATTAAAACAAAACATAAGGATGCTACAAGCTCAATTTTCTATGATAGTGAACCAGGAGATTGAATGGAGGATCAAAATGATGAAACAAAAGAACTTTGAATCAGCAAATAAGATAGGAAAATACCTGGCGTGGCAATTAAGAGAGAGGAAAAAACAAAACATGATATGTAAGATAAGGGATGGAGAAAGGATAGTGGAGGACCCAAAAGAGATAAAGAAGATATTTCAGAAATACTATAAGGAACTATATAAAAGAGAAAGAGAGATAGATAATGAGATAGAAAATTACTTGAAAAAATACCAATTGCAACAGATCACGACTGAAGAAAGAGAATATCTAAACCAGACAATTACAGAGGAAGAAATTAGGAAAGCAATAAAAAAATGAGAATAGGAAAAGCGCCGGGGCCAGATGGTATCTCGGCTAAATATTATAAAATATTAAGTGACCAAATTTCCCCAGTGCTATGTGAAGTCATGAACAATGTATTAAAAGAAGGGAGAATTCCAAACACCTGGAAAGAAGCGTATATTACCTTAATCCCTAAAAAAGACACAGATGGTTTAGAGGTAAAAAATTATAGACCTATTTCGTTACTAAATAACGACTATAAATTATTCGCAGACGTACTGGCAGAAAGGTTAAAAAAAGTCTTAAATAAAAGAATCCATAAAGACCAAACGGGTTTCCTCCCGGGGAGACAACTGAAAGACAACGTAAGAAATGTGATTGACATCATTGAGTATTTGGATACTAGAATAGACAAACAGGCGGCGCTGATCTTCATTGACGCCGAGAAGGCATTTGACAACGTCTCCTGGCGTTTCATGAAGGAAAATTTAAAAATGATGGGAATTGGTGAAGGATTTAGAAAAGGTATTGACGCAATTTATCAAGAGCAAAATGCCAAACTTATAATAAATAACAATATATCGGAGGCCTTTGATATTGCCAAAGGGACTAGGCAAGGTTGTCCTTTATCCCCTTTGTTATTTATAACAGTGTTGGAAGTGTTTAATAAAAGGTTAAGGGAAACACCGGAAGTTAAAGGAATTAAGGTAGGAAGTAAGGAATTCAAAATAAAAGCATTTGCAGATGACTTGATATTAACATTGGAAGATCCTAAGAACAGTCTACAAGCAGCCTTACAGAAATTAGAAGAATTTGGAAAAGTGGCAGGTTTTAAGCTTAACAGGAATAAGACCAAAATGATAACAAAAAATATAACCAAGGAAGAGATAGCAGAGCTAGAACAAAGGACAGGAATTACGGTTGTTAAGAAGGTAAAATATTTAGGAGTGTGGATCACAGCAAAAAATATAAACTTATATAAAGATAATTATGAGGCTACTTGGAAGGGTGTCAAGAAAGACTTAGAAATCTGGGAGAGATTGAAACTTTCTTTCTTAGGGAGGATCTCAGTTATTAAAATGAATGTCCTGCCCAGAATGTTATTTTTGTTCCAAACTATACCAGTAATGAAAGGACTAAAACAGTGTAAAGATTGGCAAAGGATCTTAGCGAGATTTATCTGGCAGGGGAAAAGACCACGAATAAAAATGAAAATATTGGTAGACAAAAAGAAAGAGGGGGTTTTTTCTTTACCAGATTTGAGTCTATACTATGAAGCGGCTTGTTTAATGTGGGTGAAAGACTGGATAAAGTTAGAGAATACTGATATCTTGGATTTAGAGGGCTTTGATAACAGGTACGGGTGGCACTCGTACCTGTGGTACGAAAAGGTGAAAGTTCATAGAGGCTTTCTAAATCATATAATCAGAGGATCATTATTTCAAGTATGGGAAAGAAATAAGAACTTGCTGGAAAAGAAAACTCCATGGTGGATCTCACCAATTGATGTCTTAACTGTTAAAAAACTAATATGGAAGGGAAAAGAGCCACCTATGAAGAACTTATCAATAAAACTGATCAGGGCATAAAACTCAAGCCCTATGAGGAGGTAAAGAATGTACTTACGGGATGGTTGCAATACCATCAAGTGAATGATCTGTTAAAAGATGATAAAAAGAAACTGGGATTTGAAGATAAAAATCTAAATTTAATGTAGAAATTATTGAAGGCAAAAACAAAACATTATCTAGGATGTATGACCTTTTACTGGATTGGTATACAAAAGATGAAGAGGTGAAGGAGGCTATGATAAAATGGGCCATAGACATTGGTTACAACATTGACTTTGTAAAGTGGCAGGAATTGTGGAATGTAAATATGAAATTCACGGCGTGTACGGCATTAAGGGAGAATCTCTGGAAGATGATTCATAGGTGGTATCTCACACCAGTGAAATTGGCTAAGATTTACAAACTGAAGAATAAGAAGTGCTGGAAATGTGGAGAGGAAGATGGTGAGTTCTACCACATGTGGTGGACATGCAGGAAAGTAAAAGGCTTTTGGGAACTGATCTACAATGAGCTTAAAAGGATTTTTAAATATACTTTTCCCAAAAAGCCTGAAGCTTTCCTGCTAGGAATAGTTGGCAAGGAAATTAAAAAGAGGATAAAAATCTGTTTCTATATGCCACAACGGCCGCTAGAAATATGTTGGCCCAAAGCTGGAAAACAGAATTAATACCTACTATAGACGACTGGCAGAACAAGATGATAAATTATGTTGAACTAGCTAGAATAACAGGAAGACTAAGAGACCAGGATGACCAGAAGTTTCATGAAAATTGGAATAAATATCTGACGTATATAAGAGATAAGTATAGAACTTTGAGGACTCTGGCAGGGTTAGAATAACTCTAACAGTGTTTGGCAAATATGTAAAGGAGATAAAACATGTAACTTTAGAAATTATCTGATACTTATCAATAAAGTGAAGGGAAGTCCGAGGCTCGGCGGAGCCTATAAATAATTGTGTACTATATATATGATTTTTGTAACAGCTATGTTATATGCAACTTATGTAATCTAGACTGTATATATGTATAATCAATGAAAATTAATAAAAATGTATTAAAAAAAAAAGAAAAAGAAAGCAATGCTGTGATGACCAATAGTCAGCATGGATTTCTGAAAAATAAGTCATGTCAGACTAACCTGATCTCGTTTTTGGACAGAATTACAAGCCTGGTAGATGAAGGGAACGCAGTGGATGTAGCCTACCTTGATTTCAGCAAGGCATTTGACAAGGTGCCCCATGATATTCTTGTAAAGAAGCTGGGAAAATGCGGTCTTGACTATGCTACCACTCAGTGGATTTGTAACTGGCTGACTGACCGAACCCAAAGGGTGCTCATCAAGGGTTCCTCTTCATCCTGGAGAAGAGTGACTAGTGGGGTGCCACAGGGTTCTGTCTTGGGCCCGGTCTTATTCAACATCTTTATCAACGACTTGGATGATGGACTCAAGGGCATCCTGATCAAATTTGCAGATGACACCAAACTGGGAGGGGTGGCTAACACCCCAGAGGACAAGATCACACTTCAAAACGACCTTGACAGATTAGAGAACTGGGCCAAAACAAACAAGATGAATTTTAACAGGGAGAAATGTAAAGTATTGCACTTGGGCAAAAAAATGAGAGGCACAAATACAAGATGGGGACACCTGGCTTGAGAACAGTACCTGTGAAAAGGATCTAGGAGTCTTGGTTGACCACAAACTTGACATGAGCCAAGAGTGTGACGCGGCAGCCAAAAAAGCCAATGCAATTCTGGGCTGCATCAATAGGAGTATAGCATCTAGATCAAGGGAAGTAATAGTGCCACTGTATTCTGCGCTGGTCAGACCTCACCTGGAGTACTGTGTCCAGTTCTGGGCACCACAGTTCAAGAAGGACACTGACAAACTGGAACGTGTCCAGAGGAGGGCAACCAAAATGGTCAAAGGCCTGGAAACGATGCCTTATGAGGAACGGCTAAGGGAGCTGGGCATGTTTAGCCTGGAGAAGAGGGAGGTTAAGGGGTGATATGATAGCCATGTTCAAATATATCAAAGGATGTCACATAGAGGAGGGAGAAAGGTTGTTTTCTGCTGCTCCAGAGAAGCGGACACGGAGCAATGGATCCAAACTACAAGAAAGAAGATTCCTCCTAAACCTTAGGAAGAACTTCCTGACAGTAAGAGCTGTTTGACAGTGGAATTTGCTGCCAAGGAGTGTGGTGGAGTCTCCTTCTTTGGAGGTCTTTAAGCAGAGGCTTGACAACCATATGTCAGGAGTGCTCTGATGGTGTTTCCTGCTTGGCAGGGGGTTGGACTCGATGGCCCTTGTGGTCTCTTCCAACTCTAGGATTCTATGATTCTATGATTCTATGATGTTGAGCTTCAGACCATATTTTGCACTCTCCTCTTTCACCCTCATTAAGAGGTTCTTTAATTCCTCCTCACTTTCTGCCATCCAAGTTGTGTCATCTGCATATCTGAGGTTGTTGATATTTCTTCCGGCAATCTTAATTCCGGCTTGGGATTCATCCAGTCCAGCCTTTCCTATGATGAATTCTGCATATAAGTTAAATAAGCAGGGAGACAATATGCAGCCTTGTCGTATTCCTTTCCCAATTTTGAACCAATCAGTTGTTCCATATCCAGTTCTAACTGTAGCTTCTTGTCCCACATAGAAATTTCTCAGGAGACAGATGAGGTGATCAGGCACTCCCATTTCTTTAAGAACTTGCCATAGTTTGTTGTGGTCGACACAGTTGAAGGCTCTTGCGTAGTCAATGAAGCAGAAGTAGATGTCTTTCTGGAACTCTCTAGCTTTCTCCATAATCCAGCGCATGTTTGCAATTTGGTCTCTGGTTCCTCTGCCCCTTTGAAATCCAGCTTGCACTTCTGGGAGTTCTTGGTCCACATACTGCTTAAGCCTGCTTTGTAGAATTTTAAGCATAACTTTGCTGGCGTGTGAAATGAGTGCAATTGTGCAGTAGTTGGAGCATTCTTTGGCACTGCCCTTTTTTGGGATTGGGATGTACACTGATCTTCTCCAATCCTCTGGCCACTGCTGAGTTTTCCAAACTTGCTGGCACATTGAGTGTAGCACCTTAACAGCATCATCTTTTAAAAATTTTAAATAGTTCAGCTGGAATAGCATCACTTCCACTGGCCTTGTTATTTGCAGTGCTTTCTAAGGCCCATTTGACTTCACTCTCCAGGATGTCTGGCTCAAGGTCAGCAACCACACTACCTGGGGTGTACAAGACATCCATATCTTTCTGGTATAATTCCTCTGTGTATTCTTGCCACCTCTTCTTGATGTCTTCTGCTTCTGTCAGGTCCTTACCACTTTTGTCCTTTATTATGGTAATCTTTGTACGAAATGTTCCTTTCATATCTCCAATTTTCTTGAACAGATCTCTGGTTTTTCCCATTCTATTGTTTTCTTCTATTTCTTTGCATTGCTCATTTAATAATAATAATAATAATAATAATAATAAATGTAAATGGCAAGTTCCCAAGAAAATCCAGTGTTTGGCTTCATAAGATAAACTTCCCCAAAACTGAGAGGATTGGTAAAGAGGAAGTTGAAAGGCAAAACCAAGAGAGCCAAATCTCTTCAAAACATTTGGGAGTTGTTTAAAACCACAATACTAAAAGTTCAGCAAGAGTGCATACGTACATCAGATCAGGAAACATACCATGAGGGCCAAGTGGACACCAGTGTGGTTAATAAGCAAAGAAGCTATTGGAGGCAAGAAAGCTTTCTTTGGGAAGCAGAAGTCTTGTCCAAAGGAAAGGGAACACAAACCTTGGCAAAAGCAAGGCAAGCAGACAAAAAGGGATGCTAAAAATGTTGGTGCACATTGCTAAAATCATAAAGACCAACAACAAAAAGTTATTTAAATGCATTAGTAGCAGGAGACCATCTAGGGACCCTTGAATGGCAGGGGAGTCCAAGGTGTGCTAAAGGAGGACAAGGAGATTGCAGAGAAGCTGAATGAATTCTTGGCATCTGTCTTCGCAGTGGAAGGCATAGAGCAGAGCCCAGTGCCTGGACTCACTTTTGCAGGAAGTAAGTCTGGTTGGCCAGTGTGAGAACAGGATGCTGGACTAGATGAGCCACTGGCCAGATCCAGCAGGCTCTTGTGCAATGTTTTGCTTTTGTCTTCTTCTTCTTTAGCGATCACTCATAGCTGAGTAAGATTGTCTTCCATGAACACGATCTTAGTGGTGTGTCCGTAGGTGACTGTGGAATCCAATTCTGGATTTGATGACAGAGGGCCATCCAAGATTTGCTTAAAAACCTACAAGGCGTGTTTTCCTGAGGGAGTCCATTCCACTGTCAAACAACTCTTACAAAGTTCTTCCTGGTGTTTACTTGGAATCTCCTTTCTTATAACTTGAATCCGTTAGTTCAGGTCCTACCATCCAGAGCAGGAGAAAATAAACTTGCTTCACCTTCCATGTGACAGTTCATGAGATAGTTGAAGATGACTATCATATCTCCTCTCAGTCACCTCTTTTCTAGGTTAAATGTAGCCAGTTCCCTCAACCGTTCCTCCTAAAGCTTTGTTTCCAGACCCTTGATCTTGTTGGTTGCCCTCTTCTGTGCACATTCCAGCTTGTCAACATCCTTCTTAAATTGTGGCACCCAGAACTGGACAGAGTATTTTAGGTGTGGTCTGACCAAGGCAGAAGAGAGTGGGACTATTACTTCCCTTGTTCTGGACACTACACTTCTGTTAATGCAGCCTAGAATAGCATTAGCTTTTTTTGCTGCTGAATCACACTGTTAAGCTTGTGGTCCATCAAGATCCCTAGATACTTTTCACATATACTGCTAATAAGTCAGGTGTCCCCCATCTTATATTTGTACATCTGGTTCTTCCTGCTTAAATGCTGAACCTTACATTTGTCCCTATTGAAACTCATTTTGTTAGCTTGGGCCCAGTTCTCCAATCTGTTAAGGTTGTCTTGAATCCCAATTCTGTCTTCTGCGGCATTAGCTACCCCTTCAAGTTTGGTGTCATCTACAAATTTGATGAGCATCCTCTCAATTCCTTCATTCAAGTCATTTATAAAGACATTGAACAACATTGGGCCCAGGACAGAACCCTGCAGCCCCCCACTGGTCTCTTTTTTCCAGGATGACGAGGCACCATTAAGGAGTATTCTTTGGGTTTGGTCAGTCAACCAGCTACAAATCCCCCTAACAGTTACCTCGTTCAACCCACATTTTACCAGGTTCCTTGCAAGAACATCATTGAAAGATGAAGGATGCCCAATATCAGGTGATGCTGAAGCAGTGTCAGCCTCCAGCTTGGCACATCACTTTGCCCTGCCAAGGTTTTCTTTTCCACTCACCACCAAAATCCTTCCCTGTCCACCCGGCAACTGGGTCTCTCACCGAGTTTTCCAGGCTCTCTTCGCTGGGCGTAAGAGGGCGGAAGCATTGCTGGATGACCTCATTGAGGGCTCGCACGTAGTCAACATATTCCTGCAGCTCTGCCATCTGCCCCTGGTACTGCTCCAGCTGCACGGGAAGAAGCACGTCAAGCAGGGATGTTGCTGCTGCCCCAGAGAGCCCCAGATGGGCATCACTAGCCCACAAGCCTTGGCTGTACCACGCAGCAACTGGGTCTGCCCCAGGTTGGGAATCCACCCCAGCCCTCAGCCCTGTCCTCTGCAGATGTGATTAGAATGCCCAGGCTCCTTACACAACATTGGTTTTCCAGGCAGGAGCACGCAGAACCTGGAATCCAAAGCTGGCAGCAGAAAAATGGGAGGGTGGAAACAGAGAGGCGGAAACAAGACGCAGAACTCTGCTTCCTGGCCATCACCCCTGGATCCCTCCTCATGTATTGGACAGGGCTCCCTGGCAACTCAGACTGCTAAGGGGGACCCAACCTTGAAGCCACCCATGGAAGAACGTGTCACAGCAAGGGGCCCGAGCCCCCTCCTTTCTCCAGCCAGACCCCCCACAAGCAGCCTCCTTCTTGCAGGTGTCTCCATGTAGCAAAAGCTTCCTGGAAAGATACAAGAGCTACTTTCCCTGTTAGTCCCACCCCAGGCTCACAGGAGCAGTCTCAAGGCTTCAGAGGTTCTGAGCAGAGAATTCTCTCTTACAACATTTGGGGCTCTTGAATTGTGAATTGTGCTCAGAAACATGCTGGGAGCCAGAAAAGATCCTTTAGGACCATTGTTTTTATTATTATTATTATTATTATTATTATTATTATTATTACTACTACTACTGCTACTACTATTCACTTTGTGTTTTTATTCTGTATTTTTATGCTGTGAACCACCCTGAAATCTTCAGATGAAGGGTGGTATACTGCTGCTGCTGCTACTACTACTACTACTACTACTAATAATAATAATAATAGGATTGCAATGCAGGGCTTATCTATTGGCAAGGAGTGGTCTGGGCCCCAACTAGGCTAGGCAAGCAAGAGGAATCTTTTCTTTTTACATACAACCTGGAGATGTGCAGGCAAGGTATAACATGGGAACAGTGAATCTGCACATTAACTGAAGGCGTGAGCTGAAGATTCCCAGATGACCATGAATACTAGCTAAGGCAAGGGCCTTTCTGCCTCCCTGCCTGCCAGGTGGGGAGGGGGAGGAATCCTACCTTCTGGGAGCACTTGGCAATGGTGAAGATGTCGGTGCCAACATTCATGTAGAGTTGCAGGACGCCAGACAGCTCAGCAATTAGCTTCTCGCTCCGCTGCGCAGTCTCGCTCAGCAGCAAGCTCAGGATGTCCTCATTGATGGAGGCCAGCAGAGGCACTGCAAGGACAGAGCAGGCTGGAAAATGCCCCCCCCCCCCCAGTGGAGCGGGAACTCCAGCATGGCCCCTTGCTCCCACCCCTCCCCGGCACATACGGAGGTCCTGATGAATGCCGCTGCAGTCCACTAAGAGAAGGAGGTTGTGTGTGATGACCACGCGGGGCACCTTCTGGACCTGGGCCACCCACGTGCGCAGCTTGAGGATGCGGTTCACATACTCCTCGGCCGGCCAGCTCTTCATGCTTTCCAGCTGGCTAGGGCTCCAGCTGTGCACAAAGTTGTAGATCTCGCCCAGCCAGGTATACTGTCGGCACAGCAGTTCTGTCTCGGTCAGGGCCATCTGTGGGTGGGGAAAGGGGCAGTACTCAGCTGAGGCCTTTGCCATGCTGGACCTGGCCCCAGCCCTCTGACCCACGAGTCAGGGCTGCCGGAAAGGAACCCTGCACATGCTCTGCAGCTCTCCCCACTTCCCCTGCAGATGTCGGGGCCTGGCTCTCCCCACACCCCATGGTTCAGGAGGAAGCCAACCTGCTCCCACCTCCCAGGAGTTCTGGTCAGGGGGTGCAAAAAAGAGATAAATGTTTTGGGTCTTTATGATTTTAGCAATAATGTGTCTCAAGGTTATTTTTTTTACATTCCTTATTGTCTGCTTGCCTATGGAAGCACTCTGTGGAGCACTCTGCCCCTTTGGGGATTTCGAACTTGCTGGACTCCATGCCCTGTTTGAGACGGTTACCTCTCGGGGGAACCTTTCCTTGTCCTTCCTATAGAGTGTGTCTGTAGAGACCAGTGTGCCCCACTTTGTTCTCTCTTCTAAGACCAAGCACTCCATGCTTTCTCCTGCTCTGGATAGTAGGACCCAAACCAATGGATTGAAGTACAAGAAAGAGGATTCTGACTAAACATCAGAAAGAACTTCCGAGCTGTTTGGCAGAGGAACAGGCTCCCTCGGGAGGTTGCAGACTCTCCTTCTTTGGAAGTTTTTTTTAGCAGAGGTTGGATGGCTGTCATTGAGATTCCTGCATGGCAGGGGGTTGGACTAAATGACCCTCATCTAGAATCCCTCTCTACAATTCTACATTGCATTTGCAGTGTTTCTCTCTTCCCCCAAGTAGTTTTTGCACTCTCTGAGTTGCTATCACGCATTGGCTGGATAATGGTCCTCTGTATGTCCCAGATCCTTCTCTACTAGGATGGAGTCTGCATGGCACCTGAGGCAAAAGGAACAGAGTGCAACGTGGAAAGAGGCAGCTCTGGAGAACAGGGCCTGCTCTTGTCCCTTTGCTATACTGTTGCCTCGGAGGTCCTGCTCAGCTCACCAAAGAATGGGCCCCAGTTTTGTCCAAATTCACTGGCGCTGGGTAAGTCCCTAGACAAAGCAATCCAAGCCCCTGCCCCAAACCCTGGCTGCTACAGCTCCCTATGCCAGGCAGAACCAGAGCAGGCGGCTGTCAAGCCTAGAAGCAGCCCCAGCCCCAGCTCAGCCCACACTTCCAGGGGGCGCTCACCATGAGCAGGGCACGCAGCTCCTCAGTAGCCTCCTGGATGATGCGGTCTGACCTCAGGTCCTTCTCCAGTTGCTCCCGTGACAGCAAGGGGTACATGCCCTTCAGCCGGTGGCCAATGACCTCCAGGCCACCATATACCTTCACGTCCATCTGATATACCAGCTGGGGCTTCTCACCGCAGAGCTCTGCTGTCGACAGCCGCTTGGGCTGAATGAGGGGCTCCAGGGAGGCCTGCTGAGGAATGGCGCTCCCACTGCTCACATCTGCAGCTGCAGGGGAGGAGAACAAGCACTGTCACCTGGCCAAGGTGGAAAAGACAACGACCCACCCCTACAAGATGGCAAATGCACCACAAAAGCAGAGCACATACACCAAGCAAGGGGAGAAGACTCGGCAAGCTCACGGTTCACATCCACACCATACATTTAAAGCACTCTTAGATCACTTTAACAGTCGTGGCTTTTCTTCCAGGAATACTGGGAACTGTACTTCACTAAGCATGCTGGGACCTCTCACAGAGCTGGTTCCCAAGACCCTTCATAAACTACAGTTCCCAGGATTCCCAGGATGTTGGATTGAAAATGAGTGGTTTCCAGCTGTACGGGATTTAAAGTTATAGATAAACTACCGTATTTTTCGCTCTATAAGATGCACCAGACCACAAGACGCACCTAGTTTTTGGAGGAGGAAAACAAGAAAAAATATATTCTGAATCTCAGAAGCCAGAACAGCAAGAGGGATCACTACGCAGTGAAAGCAGCAATCCCTCTTGCTGTTCTGGCTTCTCGGATAGCTGCACAGCCTGCATTCGCTCCATAAGACGCACACACATTCCCCCTTACTTTTTAGGAGGGAAAAAGTGAGTCTTATAGAGCAAAAAATACGGTAAGATTAAGGATTAGGATTAAAGAAGTTTAAGGAAATGGAAATTTGGCTTTTAAGAGGTAAAATTTTAATGTTATATTATATTAAGATTAAAGATTGGGATTAAAAAAGAGGGAAAGAAATTGCTGGACAAACAATTTGAACTGAAATACAAAAGAGGGAGGTATGAGGAGGTCCAGAAAACAAGTAAATTTAAAGATGGAAACGAAAAGGTGATATTGTTTTTAATTGTTCTTTTTGTCTTGTATTTTGTTTTTTCTTTGTTCTTTTTTCTCTTTTTTTTGGATTATGTATTGTGCTTTTTTGAATTGTGTATTTTTTGTTTATTTTTTTTGTTTAATCTTTTATTGAAACCTTAATAAATATCATTTTAAAAAAAATATACAGTTCCCAGGATTCATAGGGTGGGGGAAAGTGGTATAAGGGGGCTTTCAAGGTATGGTGTGGATGTGGATGGAGCAAGAAGGAGCTGGCATAGATTTGGTGTCACTTCTGGAGAGGCCTAGTCCAACACCCCACCCCTACCCCTTGAGCAGCCCCAAGGAGAGCCCAAGGAGGCCAGGCAAGGGCCCACTGGGATGGGGCTTGTCCTCTCCCTGGCTTACCACTCGGCTTGGCTGCATGGTGCTCAGCTTCAGCTGTAGTGCTCTGAGGGTTCTCCGGAGGCGCTGACCCCTCACTTTTGACCCGGGTCGTCTGAAGGGAACAGAAAGTCTACTCAGCTGGTGGGGCAAAGCCCCTTCCCAAACACTTCTGGGCAGCCCCTGCCACCTACTGCATGGAAATGTGGTTAAGTGCAAGGCACAAGAAGCCAGGAAGTTGTGGGGTGGAGGGAGAGGGAGGAGGGACCCTCCTTGTGTGGTGTTTGACCAGGAAGCTGACCCACCTGCAGGACGGACTCCAAGACCGTATTCACAGCCCCCAGCAGGCAGTCCTCCAGCTCCTTGTGGGAGGGGAAGAGCACGAGCTGCCTGTCAGCGCCAAACACCAGGTGCACCTGGAGGACCGCTTTCCGCTTGATGCCATCGGCCTGCGGGGAGACACCAAGCGGCAGGTGAAAAGGCTTCTGGCGCCCTAGACATGTTAAGTGTAACTAATTGTACCCTGAAATGTGAAAGAACTCTGTACAGTATGTGTCTATATGTATACTGTGTAGCATGGTATGGAAACTTCCATTCTGCTAAACTAGAGTTGCAGAGAGCCTAACAAGTTTATGATGAGTGAGAATACATCTCTGCTAGCTCTGTCACAAGGTGAGAAAGGATTGTATTACAGCCCTATGTGTTTGTTAATCTGTAGGGATCCATTTTGTGTATGTTAGCTTTTTGTTCTGAAATCAATGAAGAGAATGGTGTGCTAAGTCTTTCTCCGGGAGATAGCCTCTGGCTAAAAAGAGCCTGTTTGGGAGATGCAAAGCTTTGATTTCAGCTCTGGGTAAAGATATCCATAATTCTAATTGTGCCCCTGAAGGACCAGGTGCACAGCCTGGGAGTCATTTTGGACTCACAGCTGTCCATGAAGGTGCAGGTAAATTCTGTGTCCAGGGCAGCTGTCTACCAGCTCCATCTGGTATGCAGGCTGAGACTCTACCTGCCCGCGGACTGTCTCGCCAGAGTGGTGCATGCTCTGGTTATCTCCTGCTTGGACTACTGCAATACTCTCTACGTGGGGCTACCTTTGAAAGTGACCTGGAAACTGCAACTAATCCAGAATGCGGCAGCTAGATTGGTGACTGGGAGTGGCCACCGAGACCACATAACACCGGTCTTGAAAGACCTACATTGGCTCCCAGTCCGTTTCCGAGCACAATTCAAAGTGTTGGCGCTGACTTTTAAAGCCCTAAACAGCCTCGGCCCAGTAGACCTGAAGGAGTGTCTCCACCCCCATCGTTCTGCCTGGACACTGAGGTCCAGCTCCGAGGGCCTTCTGGTGGTTCCCTCACTGTGAGAAGCAAAGTTACAGGGAACCAGGCAGAGGGCCTTCTCGGTAGTGGTGCCCACCCTGTGGAACGCCCTCCCATCAGATGTCAAGAAAATAAACAGCTCTCTGACATCTGAAGGCAGCCCTGTTTAGGGAAGCTTTTAATGTTTGATGTTTTATTGTGTTTTTAATATTCTGTTGGAAGCCACCCAGAGTGGCTGGGAAGGCCTGGGCAGATGGGCGGGGTATAACTAATAAAGTGTTGTTGTTGTTGTTGTTATTCTTTCCAAATGCACAGTATTAATAACCTCAGTAAGGCAGGGCATCCTGTCTGCTCCACAAGCAAAGAACTGAGCCAGACTCTGGAGGCCGACCCTGAATCCCCTGCTGGAGCAGAAGCTGAAAACCACAACAGACTCTGCCCCCCCGCCACCCCCCCCCCCAGAGCAGGTATCCCTGGGCTACGGGACCTTCATGGTGTCATAGATAAAGGCTCTGACTTCCTCTTGCATTGCAGAGACCAGGTTCTGGCAGAGGAGGAGGTTCACCAGCAGGGCCAGGAAGCCCAGCCTCTGCAGCCAGTGTTCGGCGATCTGAAGGCGGTGCTGCAGCTTCTCAAAGTCGATGCGCTGCTTGTACAGGGAAGCCTTGGTGATGTACAGCTTGTAGCTCTGCACCTGCTGCTGCAGCCCACGGACCATCCTGTATGTGTCGTCCCGGACCTGCCAGAGCAAGGCATGCAGCAATGACGCCACCGCGGGCCGGGGTGCAGCAGCCGCCAGCCAGGCTCCTCCCCTGGGCCCAGACAGGCAGACCTATCTGCAGCAGATACATGCAGACAGATCCACACGGCTGCCTGCCAACAGGAGTCTGCCTGACCGCACATTTCCAAAGGGCCCCTTGCAGGAGCCCAGCCATTCCCTGCATGAAGCAGGGTGGCCCAAGTCACTGGCACTGGGGAACGGGGCAGTCTTGAACCCGGGTGTCACTAGCAGGGTCACTCTCAAGAACGTCATGGAAGGGATTCCAGGGGCCCAAACCCTCATGGGCTTTGCTGCGTAAAAACAGCAATAGAAGATGTTTTTGTTTTACTATGCACATTGTGTTCTCATTTTGTATTGTTATGTTGCGAAGCGCCCTGCGATCTTCAGATGAAGGGCAACATAAATGAATAAACAGGACATCAAGGTGGTGTATAACAAAATATAAAATGACAATGAAACAAAAAACCATTAAAGCAACAGGGGGAAATATAAAAAACAACTGGCTCAACTTGTAAAAGTTTAAGTGACTGAATAGACCTGTTGGCATAACAAGATCTTCAGGAGACGTCTGGAAATTAGCAGGGAAATTCGCAGCCTGGGGTGGGAAGCATCTCCCAGCAGCCCTGGGGAGTTTGCCCCAGCCTGTGCCAGAGGGAGCGTGGGCTCCCGGCTCCCGCACAGCCGAGGGATACTGCTGGTGCTCACCCACTGCAAGACAGAGGAGCAGAGCTGGAGGAATTTGCTGAGCAATCCTTGGGCATTTCTGTTCTCCTGGGCCAGGGCGCGCTTGAGATCCGAGAAGGTATAGCACTTGACTCTGCTTCTTGGCAGCCAGTGGATGGAGTGCAGCTGCAGCAGCAGCCTGCAAAGGAAGGACACGGCACAGCTGCCTGCCGGGGCCAAGGAGCAGCAGAGGCCCCCAAAGGGGGAGCGGGTCCCCACTCCAGGGCCTCCCCACCCCCATGCCTCACCTGGAGATGTGAAGAAGAGCAAGTCCAAAGTGGGGCACCGAGTGGAGGAGCTGCAAGCTCAGCTTCTCCCGGCACTTCAGGTAATGCAAGTGCTTGACATTGACGAACCAACTGGCGGGGGGTGGGGAGATAATAATAATAATAATAATAATAATAATAATAATAATAATTTATACCCCGCCCATCTGGCTGGGTTTCCCCAGCCACTCTGGGCGGCTCCCAACAGAATATTAAAAGCATGATCAAATGAGAGAGAGAAACGTGTCACTGAGACTGGGGAAGCCGCTCTCTGCCTTTGCTCTCTTGCGGCGGCAGCAACCCAGACCCACCACACAACGCAGGAGGACAACACCCGCATCACTTTGGCCTGGCACTTCCTCGCCCCCCCCCTTACCGGACAAAGGCTTTGCGGACCAAGAAAAGCCGGAAGAAGGGGATGTACTGCAACAGCTGCCACAGCACGGCCTGCCGGTGCAAATCGCCCAGGGAAAAGGCCTCCGACCCTTCTTCAGGGTGCACATGCAGCACCCCAAAAGGGGAGAAAATGTAGTGCTGAGGGTTGACCAGACGCTTGGGAACAGCCACCAGGTCATAAGGCCTGCAAAAAGGGGGGGGCAGAGTTGCAGGAGCCTCCAAGGGAAGCAAAGCAGGGCATCCTCGCCCCCTTCGCTCCGTCCTGCCCTCTCTGCTGTCAGGCTTTTCCTGGAAGCTCAAGGAAGAGACAGAAATTCAGGAAGCTGCCTTATTTGTCAAGCCAGACCACGGGTCTATCGAGTTCAGCTCTGTCAACGCTGACAAGGGGCTTTCCTGGGACCATCTGCATGCAATGTTTGTGTCCCCCCCACAAGCTACAACCTTTCCCCCCAACCTTATGCAGCTCTACAAAGTGCTGTGCCCATCAGTGAGACTGCCCAGGCGAGTGTTGAATCACAGCCAGAAGAGCATGGAATGCCAAGGTTGCTGGTCCAATCCCTGCATGGGTCAGCTGCATCTTCCTGCACTGCAGGACTCGATGGTCCTCAAGAGTCTCTATGATCTATGATTCAGGTTCTGGACTCACGTCTACGGACTCTAGGGGGGCCAAAGCTGGGAGAGGCCTCTGAGAAGACCCTGGGGAGAGGCGGCAAGACAGGGCTGGGCAGACAGAGCAGAATTCACCTCCTTTCCCGCTCCCCCCCAGCAAAGGAGGGAGGGAGGGGGACCCACTTGCATGATGGGATTGGCAGCCAGGGCAAGAAAACAGGGGTACCTGAAGTGCCGGTTCTGGGCAACGTTGAAGTAAATGAAACTTATTTTCCCCAAATGGCGCTTCCTTGCAAAGAGCTCAGCTGCCTCAAGACTCGTCACCATCTCTCCTCCTCTGTCTCCTGCTGCCCCAGCTCTCCTCTTGGGCACTGTGGGCGGTCCTGGGCTTTCTTTGCGTGGCTCTAGGGAGGGCCTGCATCAAAATTGGAAAGAATCGTCTGTGTGACATTTGTCAGGAGAAACGCCCCGGGGTGAGCCAAGTTGGCTTGGGGAGGCCTTACCCTGCAGTCCGGCTTGGAGCAGCGCAGGGGAATTCTGTTGGCACATCTGCAGCTAGAGTTAGAGGCATGAGGCCAAGGCTGCCAGGTCGGGGGGTCTCCTCTTGAGCCACCTCCCTGCCGACTTGCCCCACACATCTCTGCAGCTCCTGGAGGGACACGGGATCTGGCTGCAGCATGCCAGAGGCCCCAGCCGCTACCCATTCCATCGCAAAAGGGCAGGATTGGCCCAGAAAGACTGGCTCTCTGCTGGAGGGCAGCTGCTTGGCTATTTCCTTAGGCTCTCGGGGGCAAAAGTCTCGTGGGTCAGCCCACAACACAGCACAGTCCGTGGGGAAGGCCCGCCAGATGGACCCCAGAATATCTAGGTCAGAAACCATGGCCTGGCTGCTGCGGAACTGGAAATAGAGGCCCTCCAGGTAGGGGGCCAGCTCTGCCCGCCTCGACAGCAGCTGCTGGAAGGGGGCGATCAGCCGCAGCGCCTCCATCAGGCGCAGCCAGGCCCGGCGACTGCTTCTCTCCAGGACCGTGCGGAAGACGGCGGTCAGCTCCGCCACAAGCGCATCCACATCCTTGGGCTCCGCATGCCCAGCCTCCTGGATCTGGGTAGCCAGGCGGCGGCGGAGGGCGCGGGCCCAGGAATGCTCCTCCTGCTGGGCTGGGCTGCTGGGCATCTGCCTGCCTGAAAGAGACACGAAGGTGATGGGTGAGGACCACCTCAGAACAGCCCTCTTCAGGCCTGGCAGAGCACAGCCAGGAAAAGGGGCCTCTGGGGATGACAAGAGGGGCCTTCAGCACCAGGCGAGGACGTTTCTCCCCCTTTGCACGGCTTTTCAGTCATCGCCACCCAGCCTGCAAGCTGTGGGATTCATGGGGTTGCAGTGCTTGCCCATGGCTGGGTTTCCTGGGAGTGAGGGACAGGAGAGACTCTGGTGCCTTTATGATATATAGGGCTTATTGCCACCTGTCCCTAAGAGGGAGGGGCTCGTCCTTCCATAGTCACAACCTTGGCTCTGTGCTCAGCTTCTGCCTGCAGCTTGCTTCCGGCCCAGCTCACACCCAACTTTCAGGTGTAACAGCCAGGTGAGCAGGGGGCGCTTGGGCTAGGGTTAGAACCACTTTGAGGTACAGCAAACTAAATATGACATAATAGGCATCACTGAAGCCTGGTGGGATAAGTCCCACGATTGGAATGTAATAATGGAGGGATACAATCTATTTCAGAGAAACAGACCAGACAAGAAAGCAGGAGGAGTGGCGTTATATGTCAGGGATGTGTATACCTGTGAAGAGATCCAAGATTTAGAACCTCAAAGCCAAAGTGAGAGCATTTGGGTCAAAATTAAGGGAGAAAAGAATAACAGAGACCTCATTGTGGGAGTTTACTATAGATCCCCAAGCCAAACGGAGGACATAGATGATGCCTTCCTGGAACAGATGGCCAAGCATGCAAAAGGAAGGGAGATAGTAGTAATGGGGACTTCAATTACCCGGATATTTGTTGGATGTCAAACTCAGCCAAGAGCATAAGGTCAAACAGATTCCTCACTGGCCTTGCAGACAACTTCATTGTCCAGAAAGTGGGAGAAGCAACAAGAGGAACAGCCATTTTAGATCTGGTCCTAACCAATGTTGATGACCTGGTTAGTGGGGTAGAAGTGGAAGGATCATTAGGCGCGAGTGATCATGCTCTTCTGAAGTTTACTATACAGCGGAAAGGAGCAGCCAAGCATACTAGGACTCAATTTCTTGACTTTAAGAAAGCCGACTTCATAAAACTTAGGGAAGTGCTGGGTGAGATCCCATGGACAGTAATACTAAAAGGAAAGGGAGTTCATGATGGCTGGGAGTTTGTTAAGAGTGAGATAGTAAAAGCACAACTTCAGGCAATACCAATGAGACAGAAATATGGAAGGTGCCTAAAGAAGCCAGGGTGGCTATCTAAAGAACTTTTAACTGAGTTAAGATTAAAAAGGATGTGTACAAAAAATGGAAAAGGGGAAACCACCAAAGAGGAATTCAAACAAATAGCCAGCACGTGTAGACACAAAGTCAGAAAAGCTAAAGCACAGAATGAACTCAGGCTTGCTAGAGAGGTTAAAAGCAACAAAAAGGCTTTTATGGGTATGTTCGTAGCAAAAGGAAGAACAAAGAAACAGTGGGGTCACTCAGAGGAGAAGATGGTGAAATGCAAACAGGGGACACAGAAAGGGCTGAACTCCTCAATGCCTTCTTTGCCTCAGTCTTCTCCGATAAAGAAAACAATGCCCGACCTGAAGAATTTGGAGCAAATGATTCAGCAGAGGAAACACAGCCCAGAATAACTAAGGAGATAGTACAAGAATACTTGGCTAGTTTAGATGTATTCAAGTCTCCACGGCCAGATGAACTGCATCCAAGAGTATTAAAAGAACTGGCAGATGTGATCTCAGAACCACTGGCAGTCATCTTTGAGAATTCCTGGAGAACAGGCGAAGTCCCGGCAGACTGGAGGGGGCAAATGTTGTCCCTATTTTCAAAAAGGGGAAAAGAGAGGACCCAAATAATTACCGCCCAGTCAGTCTGACATCAATACCAGGGAAGATTCTGGAGCAGATCATTAAGCAAACAGTCTGTGAGCACCTAGAAAGGAATGCTGTGATCACCAATAGTCAGCATGGATTTCTGAAAAATAAGTCATGTCAGACTAACCTGATCTCGTTTTTGGACAGAATTACAAGCCTGGTAGATGAAGGGAACGCAGTGGATGTAGCCTACCTTGATTTCAGCAAGGCATTTGACAAGGTGCCCCATGATATTCTTGTAAAGAAGCTGGTAAAATGCGGTCTTGACTATGCTACCACTCAGTGGATTTGTAACTGGCTGACTGACCGAACCCAAAGGGTGCTCATCAATGGTTCCTCTTCATCCTGGAGAAGAGTGACTAGTGGGGTGCCACAGGGTTCTGTCTTGGGCCCGGTCTTATTCAACATCTTTATCAACGACTTGGATGATGGACTCAAGGGCATCCTGATCAAATTTGCAGATGACACCAAACTGGGAGGGTGGCTAACACCCCAGAGGACAGGATCACACTTCAAACCGACCTTGACAGATGAGCGACCTGGGCCAAAACAAACAAGATGACTTTGACCAGGGAGAAATGTAAAGTAGTGCACGTGGGCAAAAAAAATGAGCGGCACAAATACAAGATGGGGGACACCTGGCTTGAGAGCAGTACATGTGAAAAGGATCTAGGAGTCTTGGTTGACCACAAACTTGACATGAGCCAAGAGTGTGCCGCGGCAGCTAAAAAGCCAATGCAATTCTGGGCTGCATCAATAGGAGTATAGCATCTAGATCAAGGGAAGTAATAGTGCCACTGTATTCTGCTCTGGTCAGACCTCACCTGGAGTACTGTGTCCAGTTCTGGGCACCACAGTTCAAGAAGGACACTGACAAACTGGAACGTGTCCAGAGGAGGGCAACCAAAATGGTCAAAGGCCTGGAAACGATGCCTTATGAGGAACGGCTAAGAGAGCTGGGCATGTTTAGCCTGGAGAAGAGGAGGTTAAGGGGTGATATGATAGTCATGTTCAAATATATAAAAGGATGTCACATAGAGGAGGGAGAAAGGTTGTTTTCTGCTGCTCCAGAGAAGCGGACACGGAGCAACGGATCCAAACTACAAGAAAGAAGATTCCACCTAAACATTAGGAAGAACTTCCTGACAGTAAGAGCTGTTTGACAGTGGAATTTGCTGCCAAGGAGTGTGGTGGAGTCTCCTTCTTTGGAGGTCTTTAAGCAGAGGCTTGACAACCATATGTCAGGAGTGCTCTGATGGTGTTTCCTGCTTGGCAGGGGGTTGGACCTGATGGCCCTTGTGGTCTCTTCCAACTCTAGGATTCTATGAGGTTCTTATGACTTTTAGGAAAACAAACAAACAAACCAACAAGGCCCTCTAGTGGTTTATCAGTGAAAGTGCTAGCTGAGAGCTAAGGCAGGGTCGGGTCTGGTTTCAAGGTGGATGGGGAGCTGCATGCTGAGATTCCTGCCTTGCGGGGGGTGGACTAGATGGCCCTCGGGGTCCCTTCCCACGCGACACGGAACCGGCCGCCGTGCGGCTGCAGCCCTGATCTCCCCAGGCCACTTGCCGGACTCGTCCCAGCCCGGCACTTCCCGGGAGAGTTTCTCATTTGGGGCATCTGCCCCGAGGGGGGCGTGGAGGGGGCGCCAAGCCCCCCCCCCAAGGAAGCAAGAGGGAGAGAGACGCCCCCCAGGAGCCCGGAGGAAGGACCCTCTGCCCCTGCCCGGGGGGGCGCCCCTTACTCGGCAGGGCGTCGGGGGCGCCGGGCTCCATGGCGTCGTCGGGGCGAGGGGCGGCGAGGGCGCGCGGGACGCGTTGCTAGGGGCGCCCAACGGCCGGCGCTCCGCGGCCCCCGGGATGCCAGCCTCGCCCCGCCTCCGGGTCCCTTCGGAAAGTCCCGCCCTGGCCGCCGAGGCTGCCCGCCCCCCCGGGGCACCGGCGCCGGACTGGGCAGCTGGCGCGCAGGCAGGTCTGGTCTGGAAACCCCCTTGCTCAGCTCCAGAGCAGGATCCCCCCTGTCCTCTCCCAGGATCTCTCCCAGCCCAGGATCCTGCTCGCAGGCCCGGCCGTCCTGGCATGGCCAGGCTGTCTCGTGGGAAGGCTGGAGTTTTGCCTTGGACCACAGAACTTCCCTGGCTAGAAGCCAACTGAAGCAAAAGCGGGGAAAAGACTAAACATGAAAGGACAGTGGGCCACGTATAGAGATTTATTGATGGAGGTAGAAAATAAGTTAAAATTAAAAACATTTGAAGAAATGAGTTAATGACGGATTGGTTGCAATATCATCAGTTAAATGATGTGTTCAAGGAGGAGAAAAAGAAGAATAGTTTTGATATAAGAAGATCCAGGCTGGAGAGAGAGCTTTTGGATGATAAGAGAAAAATATTATCAAAAATATACAAATTATTATTGGAATGGCATACCAAAAATGAAGAGGTGAAAATGGTAATGATACAATGGGCTAAAGATTTTGGATATAATATTCAGTTAGAACCATGGGAAAGGTTATGGAATGAAGGAATCAAATTCACCACATGTAGTGCATTAAAGGAAAATGTTATGAAAATGATGTATAGATGGTATCTAACACCAACTAACCTTGCTAAAATGTATAGGACAAGAAATAAGGAGTGTTGGAAATGTAAAGAAAAAGAAGGGAACTTATATGTGGTGGAATTGTAACAAGGCAAAAGCATATTGGGAAATGACACATAATGAGTTAAAGAAAATGTGTAAGTACACCTTTGTTAAAAAGCCAGAAGCATTTTTATTGAGTCTAGTGGGTGAAGAGATGCCATAGGGTGATCAAAAACTGTTTATGCATGCAACAACCGCAGCAAGAATCCTATTAGCCCAAAAATGGAAACAAGAAGAAATACCAAGGAAAGAAGAGTGGCAGATGAAGATGATGGACTTTGCGGAATTGGAGAAGCTGGAAAAATCCAAAACCGACGTGATCAAACTTTCCAAAAAGACTGGAGTAAATTTATAAAATACTTGAAGGACCATTGTAAGCAATTAACAACACTAGAAGGGTTGTAAGAAGACTTGTATTGATAATTGTCACTACTCTTTTTTATTTATTTAAAAATTGTGATATTCTGAATGAAACGTAAAATGGAAAATGCATAAATGCTGTCACGGAAATTACGGGGGGGGGCACATATTTAAAGTTAAATGTTACAAATATTATGCCTGAATGTATCCTTTCAACTTGACAGCTCAGGGAAGTTACCTAGCTTTAAAAATACAGTGGTGCCCCGCAAGACGAATGCCTCGCAAGATGGAAAACTCGCTAGACGAAAGAGTTTTCCGTTTTGGAGGTGCCTCGCAAAACGAATCTGCTATGGGCTTGCTTCGCAAGACGAAAATGTCTTGCGAGTTCCTGGGTTGTTTTTTTCCCTTTCCCCCTCTTTTTCTAAGTCGCTAAGCCGCTTATCTGCTTATCCGATAAGCTGATAAGCTGCTAAAAGCCGCTAAAAGCCGCTAATAGCGCTAATCCCATCAATGGGCTTGCTTCGCAAGACGAAAAAACCGCTAGACGAAGAGACTCCCAGAACGGATTCTTTTCGTCTTGCGAGGCACCACTGTAATATAAAATCAACTCCTTTGCCAGTTTCCTTCATTCCAAAGCTATTTTCCCCTTAAAAAAGGACTCCAGGAAGTTCCCAGAGGTGACAATTGCTGAGCTGATTGTTGGCCAAGGAAAGCCTAATCCCATCACCAAACTTGCCAAGGGGCCAGACATGCTATTGTACTTTGGCTGGTGGGACTTCAGAGGTGTTTGCCTCTGCTAATCTTATACCTGAGTCTTGCCCTGCCATGTCTGCTTATGCTAATCTTGTACAGTGGTGCCCCGCAAGACGAATGCCTCGCAAGACGAAAAACTCGCTAGACGAAAGAGTTTTCCGTTTTTTGAGTTGTTCCGCAAGACGAATTTCCCTATGGGCTTGCTTCGCAAGACGAAACGTCTTGCGAGTTCTTGCAAGTTTGTTTCCTTTTTCTTAAAGCCGCTAATAGCCGTGCTTCGCAAGACGAAAAAACTGCAAGACGAAGAGACTCGCGGAACGGATTAATTTCGTCTTGCGAGGCACCACTGTACCAGTGTAACCCCTGCCTACCCCTCCCCTTTTGTGAGATGTAGCAATGATGTAGCAACGATGCTGTACGAACTGTATTCTGGGATATGTGGGAAAGTTTTAAAAGTCCTTGTCACCCCATCCTCGGGGTTCAAAATTCCTCTTTGAACCTGTTGCGCAATGAACTTTGGTCTACAGCTATTTCCTCCGGTTGGTGGCTGGACTCCTTCCTTTATTCTGCAGGGACCCACGGGCTCCGCTCAACCAGCTGGGGGACTGAGCAGCCTCACACCTAGATTTTTCCGTAACAATGCTGTGATATACAAATGAATTTTGAAAACCATGAGGCAGGCGGGAAGTCAACAGGCTCGTATGAGCAAAAGAAGTAAAGTGGATAACGAAGATGTGTTTAAATATTATAAAATGGAAAATTAATAAAAATATTATTAAAAAAGAAGCCGTATCTTGTGTTCCCCTTGCCCTCTTCCTGGTCCGACCAGCTCTGATCCAAAAGGCTCGAGACCATTTCCCACACAAGCAGCTGTAGGTCTGGAAGAGTCAAAGGAGGGTGGGATTCTCCCTGTCTGCATCTGCTGCCCCCCCCCATACTCCCACAAATGACTGCAGTCCCACTGGCTTCTGGAAAAAGGGCTAGCGCCACCTTATTGTACCAGGTGGCTCTGCGCAGGAATACAGGAGGTAGCTGCCTTATAGAGAGTCGGTGCATTGGCCCACTGCATGGAGCTTAGGTGGCCCCATGGTTTTCCCTGGGAATGAGGGCAACAAAACAACCATTCTGAATCAGACTGAACATGGGTTGGAGCTCAATGTCCAGCCTACCAAGGGGCAACAGCTAAGAAGAAATTCTGGTACATGCTCTGGTTATCTCCTGCTTGGACTACTGCATGCACTCTATGTCGGTGACCCGGAAACTACAATCCAGAATGCGGCAACTACACTGGTGACTGGGAGCAGCCACTGGGACCATAATATACCAGTCCTAATGGATCTTCACAGCCTCCCAGTATGTTTCCAAGCACAATTCAGTGTTAGAGCTGACCTGACAGCAGGGGGGCCTTCTCGACAGCAACGTCCTCCCTGTGGAATGCCCTTCCATCAGATGCCAAGGAGATAAAGAACCATGCTACTTTTAGAAGACAGATGAAGGCAGCCCTGTATTGGGAGGTTTTTAACATTTAATGTCTCACTGTGTTTTTCTATTCTGCTGGAAGCTACCCAGAGTAGCTGGGGGAACCCAGTCAGATGGGTGGGGCACAATTAATTAAATTATTTTTAGTAGTAGTACCAGCCCCACTGACAAGCAGCTGCTCTTAGGGGTTCCAGGCAGAGGTCTCTGTGAGCCAGCAGGGATTGAACCTGCGACCTTCTGCATGCACAGCATTTCCCCTGCTATTGGGCTACGATGGTCCTTCTTGGGAGACCCTTTGGTGCAGGAGCAGCAAGGCCCTTCCCCCCCATCCGTGTGCCCTGCATTGTGTGCCAGATCTGCTCTTGGAGATCCATGTTTTCTTTTGCCAAATGTTTGATGGAACTGGGGGGGGGGGGCACATCTCCAAATGCCACACAGACAGCAACCTGCATGTGGTCCACATGAAGCGGCACCATCCCTGCTTCAGGGGGTCGCGGCTCATGTGGCGCAGTCCGTCCAGATCCCACCCACAAGCCACGCTGTGGTGGCCACAGCACCAGAATTCCCAGCAAACCCTTTTCTCAGGGCCCCACGATGTCAAATCAGAACTTGAAACAGCAGGCGGTGAAGGGGGAGCTGAACCTGGAGGGGAGGAAGGGAGCCTTGCTACTTCCAGCTGCCAACAAAGGAGCTCTGCTCTCAAGCTGAAGTGTCAAGGAGCAGCTGGCCGAGGCCACCCCACCCTCAGGCAAGCAGAATGGAAATCACAAGCGAAAGCACCGCCCAGGGCCAGCACAGCACTCTCACGCACAAGGGGTCCCAGAAAGGGGTTTTATTGTCCCCGGAAACGGTGTGCTCTGGGATGCTCCTGGAGAGATGGGCCCCAGAAGGAGCAGCTGTCCAGTCTGGAGGGGGGCATCTCTGAGGGCAAGCGGCCCGGTGAGGGGCTCCCTGGAGCGGCAGCCACGAAGCAGCCGGGGCCCTGCCGTCGGGGAGAGACCAAGCAGCCCGGAGGGGCCGTCAGGAGGCGCTGACCACGCTGGGCGCCGGCAGGGCGGGAGGCTCCGCGGGCGGGAGGGCCGCTTCCTGGGCGGCGGCCTCGTAGTCGGAGATGCGGCGCTGGACCAGCGAGGGCATGAGGCGGACGTAGGCGGCCATCAGGCGGTGGTTGGAGCGCACCAGCTTCCCCGCGCAGCCGTCCAGGCAGCTCTCCTGCGGGGAGAGAGAGAGAGAGAGGGAGGGCTCAGCCCGGCCGGGGTCTCGGGGTCCCGGCGCCCCGCTCCCCGCCCTCCCGCCCTCCCTCCCGGCGCCCCGCTCACCTCCTCGCCGGTCAGCGTCCGGTAGTTCAGGTTGGAGACGCAGCGCTGGAAGCAGAGCTCCGTCATCTGGTTGTAGGCCAGCAGGAAGTCGCGCAGCTGCAACGACAAGGCCAAGCTGGGAAGGAGGGAAGGAAGGAAGGGGACCCCCCCCCCGCGCATCCCCACGAGCCCCGCCGACGCGTGTCGCCCGGAGGAGAGTCTCCGCCGGCTCCCCGCCCGCCTCCCCCCCCCGCCGCCCCCCCCCCGCCGCCGCCGCCCGCCTCTCACGCCGCGCAGTTGCTGCTGCTCCATCTTCCTCCTCCTCCTCTCGGGGCTTCCGGATCCACTTCCGGGCTGGCCCAGGCCCCGCCTCCTCCGGCGCCGGGGCGCGTGACGTCGTTTCCGGTGTGCCCGGGGCCCAACGCGGATCCGACGCCCGGAGCCTCCGGGAGCCGCCAGGCAGGTGCGCCGCCGAGCCGAGCGGGAGGGAGGGAGGGAGGGAGGCAGCCAGCGCGGGAGCCGGAGCCGCGACGAGGCCGCTTCCCGGGCCAGGGAGGCTCCTCTCCCCTCCTCCCCCCCCTCGGCCCTCGTCCCGCCCGGAGCGCGCAGCTGGCCGGGGCCCGGGGGGGGGGCAGGCGGGGGCGGGGTCGGCTCCCCCTCGGGGCTCCGCTTCCTCCCCTCCGGGAGGGGGTCCTGCACCTGCCGGCCGGGCCGCCCCCGCGCCCGCTCTCCTCCTTCCCGCCAGCCTCCCGCCGGGGGGCAGCCCAGGCCGAGAGGGCAGCCTGGCACGGGCGGCAGGGGCGCCCACCGGGCACGGCCTGCTTCTCCGGAGGGGCCGAGCGAAGCCGAGGCGGCGGGCGCCCCCTGAGCAAGGCTGGGGCTGCGGCTGAGGGCCGGGGGGGGGCAGATGGAACATGGCCAGAAGGGGGCGCCACTCCGCTGCCCTTGCTGCCCCGCATCTCCTCTGCAGCTGAGGCCGAGGGAGCCAGAGAGGGGGCTTGGGGGTCCCTGCTGGCTAAGAGGCCCTGAGGATGGGGGGGGCTCCCTTCTCCTCTCCAGCAACGCCATCATGGGGGGGGGGGCTTGGGCAGGTTGTCTTGCTCAAACTCAGCTGCGGGAAGGAGGGAGGGTCCTGGCCCGATCTGGCGAGGGGTCTTGGTTGTGGGGCAGGAGATTCCGCCCTCCAAGCTGGCAGGCTCCCAGGGAAGTGCATAACAATACATTGCAGTTTACAGGTGTGTACCAACTCCCTCCCCAATAAAACCCACAGTATTAAGCAAATAGCCAAAAGCAAACCTGGCGCCTGGCCCTGCCCTTCCTGCCAAGGCTCCTCCGGGGCCACGTCAACCACCAGCCTGGAAACGCTGCATGTTCCTGGAGTGGGGAGGGAGCTGTTCCCCCTCGCCCCCCCCATCCCAATGTACATGCCAACGGGACCCTTGGAGGTGACCCACCATGACTGCCCGCCAGTTATGAAAATAGGCTGACTGCATGTGCATGGGGGGGGGGACGACGACGACTGAGGTTCCAGCAAGAAGGGGGGAGGGACAGCATTGGGCCCCATCTGGGTCGGCTTGCAGGAGGTGCTGCTGCCCCCGCCAGTTCTGCTTTGGAGGGTTGGGTGCTGATGCCCCCCTGGTGCCCCCTGGATTTGGCTCCCTTGAGCTGATGCTCTCTGCTGTGTCTGTGGCTCCTTCCCCACCTCGGGCGTGTGGGATGGGTGGTGTGGCATCTCTGCCCGTGCCCCAGTGTGCTGGGCCCACTGGCGGGACTTGTCATCCCAAACAACTTCTGCCCAAGGGGAGCAGCTGCCCAGGAAGGGGGAAGCCCAGGTATTGAGAGACAAGAGACGTCTTGGGGGCTGCCCCCTGTTGCATCCCGCTTCCTGCGTCCGTCTGCTGGGCAAGTTGATCTGGAGCTCATTCTGGCAGGTTCCTGTTGAAGCTGCCCCCCAGGTTCCTGGATGAGGCTGGTGCCACTAGGAAGGCAACATGGTTTGTGCTGGATTCCCCCCCAGGGGGTGGCATTCTTCCTGGCACTATTGTTAAACTTTCTGACCTGGCCCAGATGGTGCCCTGGCTGCAGGTGGTTCTCTTAGTTTCTGGAGTGGAGAAGGCTTGTGGGTGGGGGCTTGCTCCCTTGTTATTCTGTCCATGTGCCTCCGAGGTGTGCTGGGCCCGTTCTCTTCTCCTTTCTGCATTTGGGAGAAGAAAATGCCATGTGAGGCTGAGGGCAGCCCAGGCAGCTTCTTTCTCTGGGGGGGGGGCTGCTGGAAATCTGTGGGGTTTCAGGGGCTGTCGGGGAGTGATGGGGTGGAATTGGCATTAGGGGGCTGCCAGGTAGCAGGTAGCACATTCTTTTCTCTTTCCAAGAAAGGCTTTTTGGTACATTGAGGGGGAAACCAGACCCACTTTGCTTTTTATTCAATAATAATAATAATAATAATAAATTTTATTTATATCCCGCCCTCCCCAGCCAAAGCCGGGCTCAGGGCGGCTAACAACAATAAAACAGTATAAAAGTATAGCATAAACAACACTCTAAAATCATTCATTATAAAATTAATTAATTCAGGCCACTGGCAACTATTGGGCCAGAGCTCCGCGAAGATTGCCGAGGGAGGGAGTCAGGCTGTGCCCTGGCCAAAGGCCTGGTGGAAGAGCTCTGTCTTGCAGGCCCTGCGGAAAGATGTCAAGTCCCGCAGGGCCCTGGTCTCTTGTGACAGAGTGTTCCACCAGATCGGAGCCACAGCCGAAAAAGCCCTGGCTCTAGTTGAGGCCAGCCTAACTTCTCTGTGGCCTGGGACCTTCAAGATGTTTTTATTTGAAGACCGTAAGTTTCTCTGTGGGGCATACCAGGAGAGGCGGTCCCGTAGGTACGAGGGTCCTAGGCCGTATAGGGCTTTAAAGGTTAAAACCAGCACCTTAAACCTGATCCTGTACTCCACCGGGAGCCAGTGCAGCTGGTGTAGCACCGGGTGAATGTGATCTCGCAGCGAAGACCCCGTAAGGAGTCTCGCTGCAGCATTCTGCACCCGCTGGAGTTTCTGGGTCAGTCTCAAGGGCAGCCCCACGTAGAGCGAGTTACAATAATCCAGTCTGGAGGTGACCGTCGCGTGGATCACAGTGGCTAGGTCAGGGCGAGAGAGGTAAGGAGCCAACTGCTTAGCTTGGCGGAGATGGAAAAATGCCGCCTTTGTTATAGCTGCAATCTGCGCCTCCATGGAAAGGGAGGTGTCGAAGATTACACCCAAACTCTTAACGGACGGTGCTGGCACTAATTGCGCCCCCGCAAGAGATGGGAGTTGCCCCCCCAATCCCATATCGCCCCGTCCCAGCCACAGGACCTCTGTCTTCGAAGGATTTAGCTTCAACCGGCTCCCACGTAACCATCCAGTTGCACCTGAGAACTAAAAGGAGGGAGAGAATGGAAGGGAGATTGGCACTGGGAGGGTTGCCAACGTGGTGCTCCTCTTGTGCTCCCTGGTTTCCCGCAGGCTCCTCTTGGCCCAGGTGGCCCACTGGCCAAATCCAGGCGTCAGGGAACAAGACTGGCATGCTCAGCAGAGCAGGTCTGGGAAGTGGCGTCCGCCGGGGGCCATCAGAAGGCTCCTGAAGACCTGGGGGTGTTTGCCCTGGGGTGTCCTGCTGCACTTTGCTCCTGCTGCCAGCCCCCCCCCAGGCATTGGGGGCAAGGAGGCGGGCTGCTCCCCCTTCCTTGGACTGGCATCTTGGCTGGTTGTGGGGGCTTCTCAGGAGGGGGGAGAAGGATCTAGGCTGCCTTATCTATTGACTGGGACCAGTATATGGGGTGGGGGTACTCCAGAGATGGGGTGTGTGGACAGTGGAGCCCCTTCCTCTGCCCCGGCGCCTGAGCCCCCCTTTTTTCCTGACCCCTCCAGACCCTGAGCATGACCGACGGGCTGATGAGCAAAGCAGCCACCATGGAGATCCCAATCCATGGCAACGGAGACTCCCGGCGTCTCGCTGAGGACGATGGTCTGGAGCAGGTAACAGGGAGGGGGTAAGAAGGGGGGGGGGTCCACTGATGTCCCGGGCGCAGTGTGTGGGGCTTGCAAGGGGGAGATTTCAGGGGGCTCTGTAAGCTGAGCTCTGATGGTTATCGGGCAGGGGAGGAATTGGGACGGTTCACTTGCCTTTGGGACCCCCACCCCCATTCTAGCGGTCCAGTTTGACTCCCCGCAGGCCACGGATTTGGGGGAAGCAGGCCCTGCTGCAGAGCAGCCACCCCGGCTGAGGGGACGCCGCTGGGCCTGCCTGAAGCCCCCTCCCCTCGCGCTGGCCTCTGCCACCTTCCCTTTCTCCCGCTGCAGGACCTCCAGCAGGTGATGGTGTCGGGGCCCAACCTGAACGAGACCAGCATTGTTTCCGGGGGCTACGGGGGCACCGCCGAGGGCATCATACCCACCAGCGCCATCAAAGGTCAGGCAGCCTAAGAGAATCGCCGTGCTGCTCTCTGCGCGGGGAGGGGGCCAATCTCTGCCAACAGCCGAGCCCTGCCTGCCCGTGAAGGGCGTCCCTCGGCCAAGCACCGTCAGCAAGGCCCCCCCACCCCCTCCTTCGAGACGGGCCTCCTGCAGCCTCCCTTTCCCCTGACCCCAGGGATGAGGAAGGCACGTAGCTCAGCCAGCACCTTGCCTGGGGAACTGTGCCCGCCTCGTGCTCCTCTAGGAGCCTGGCATCGTGTGCTCATGCCACCCTGTCCATGTCTGCCGCAGCTCATCAGCCCGCCTGTCTTATCCTGCACCCCCTCCATGGCTCCCTTCCTCCTCCTCCCCATCCTGCCCGCTGCCCATCTCTGCCCTGCCTTGGGTCCCCTCCATTTCAGGCTCTCTCGTTCCATCTCACCCACCCCGAAGACCACTCATCTCCCCCAGCCCATCGGCTGCCAGCCGGATAGCCAGCCAGGCGGTTGCTGCCTCAGGTATTGCCCTATCCCCTGCCCCCAAAAGCCCCCCCCATGGGAGCGGTTGGGGTGCAGGCTTCCAGGGGAATGTAGGCGAGGGGGAGAGGTGTTTTCCTGCCTCCTCCTCCATGGGGCAGCTTGGCCTCCGGAGCATTGGGGGACCTGCCCTTTCCCCCTGCTCAGGAAGCCCCCTGCCCGCTCGGCCCTTGCAGGTTCCAGTTTGCACCAGCAGCACCCCAACCCGGCCCTGGCAGGTGAGGAGGCCACGCGGGGCATCGCGGTGGAGAAGTTTGATGTTGTCAAGAAGTGGGGCATCAACACCTACAAGGTGAGCGGGGGGGGGGGGGGAGGCGTTGTGCTCAGCCCCAGCAAGAGGGGGCGCTGGTGGGGCTGGGCCTGAACCAGGCAGGTGCCCTCTTCCTCACATGGATCGGTCTCTTGCTTCTGGATCGATCCCCTTTGGCCCACCAGCAAGTCTCTGCCTTCTGGACCCCTCAGTGCCCTGCTCTGGGGGCTGCCTTGGGAGGCTGCTCCAAAAGGCAGGGGGCACCCACCCAGCGGGACCCTTGGCCCCCTTCCCAGAGGGCAGGAAGGGGGGGAACGGCCTTTTCGGCTGTGGCCCCTTTGCACAAGGCTTTCCCGCGCACCTGCTCTTTCTCCGTCTGGCCCCTGAGCTCTGCCCGCCCACACGCCATTGCTGTTTTAAGTCCCTTTGACAGCTTGAGTGATCCTGGGCAGGGACCCCAGGGGTCATCCAGCCCAACCCCCTGCAGGGCGAGGGGGTCTTCCGCTCCGGGTGAGGCCCCCCCAGCTGCCCCTCCTCGTCTCCCTCCGCAGTGCACAAAGCAGCTGATCTCGGAGCGCTTTGGGAGGGGCTCTCGGACCGTCGACCTGGAGCTGGAGACGCAGATTGAGCTCCTGCGGGACACCAAGCGCAAGTACGAGAGCGTGCTGGGACTGGCCAGGGCCCTCACCAGCCACTTCTACAGCCTGGTGCAGACGCAGCACGCCCTGGCAGACGCCTTCTCCGACCTCAGCCAGAAGTCTCCAGAGCTGCAGGTGGGGACGCGCCCCACGTCCCTTGGGCAGGGGGAGGCAGGATGGCCCAGGGGCCAGGTGGAGGGGAGGTCCAAGGGCATCGGAAGCCAACGCCCTGCCTGGCAGGAGAGCAGCTACAGCCACAAGGCAGCCCCCAACCTGGAGGGCTTTGAAAGAGGATTGGGCAAATGTGTGGGGCAGGAGAGAGCTATCAAGGCCTGATCCAGCAGACTTTTCTTGGGCTCTCAAGTTCTGGGGGGTTTCTTGCTTTTGGGGGCTGGCTTGTGGGGGTCCGGGACGGTCAGCCCCCTTTTCAAGGCCCTCACCCCCCGCAGGAGGAGTTTGGCTACAACGCAGAGACCCAGAAGCTGCTGTGCAAGAACGGGGAGACCCTTCTGGGGGCCGTCAACTTCTTTGTCTCCAGCATCAACACCCTGGTCAACAAGACCATGGAGGACACGCTCATGACCATCAAGCAGTACGAGACGGCCAGGTGGGGCCGTAAGCGGGGGGGAGGGGAAGGGGGGCAGCTCCAGGCAGGGCCCAGCAGATGCCCCGCTGCCAGTTGGGGGGCATCTGGCCAAGGGGTGGGAGTTGTGCCGCCGCTGCTTTGACACTCCCCCCCCCCCCCGTGCAGGCTGGAGTACGACGCCTACCGCACGGACCTGGAGGAGCTGAACTTGGGGCCTCGGGACGCCAGCACCCTCTGCCGCCTGGACGCCGCCCAGGCCCACTTCCAGGCCCACCGCGCCAAGTACGAGAAGCTGCGGGCAGACGTGGCCGTCAAGCTGAAGTTCTTGGAGGAGAACAAGGTGAGGGGGGCTCCTGGTCAAAGGCCTCCCACCCTGGCCTGTCCTCCATGCCTGGGTCCAGGAATCCCAGCCAGAGCATTCCTGGTCTCTGCTTCCAGGCCAGGCAAGAAGAGTCCAGGAGGGGTGCAAGGGGGGGCTTCCTTGGGTCGGGGGCGGAGGTGGGGGGAGGAGAACAGAAAGTCCTTCACGCAGCACAGAGCTGAACTGCGGAAGCAGTGATGCCCTGCGGCCCCCTGAGATGCGCGGCTGGCCCCTGGGGGCTCCTGGCCTGCTCCAGGCGGCTCCTCTGACGCCCCCCCCCCCGTTGCAGGTGAAGGTGATGCACAAGCAGCTGCTGCTCTTCCACAACGCCATCTCGGCCTACTTTGCCGGCAACCAGCAGCAGCTGGAGCAGACGCTCAAGCAGTTCAACATCAAGCTGAAGAGCCCCGGAGCAGAGAAGCCCTCGTGGCTGGAGGAGCCGTGAACTGCCAGCCCCCTCCCCCGGCCCCCCTCCCCGGCCCCCGCTCCCTTCATGGACCTGGACTCTGCGGGGAGGGGGCTGAGCTCAGGCACCCCCTTGCTGCTCCTGCGCCCCCTCGCCACCCTCTGGAGCAGAAGAGGCAGGCCAGATGAGGAGGGGGCCCTGCCCGGCAGAAACCGTCTCTCCTCTCTCCCCCACCAGCTTTTCCTGCGGCTGCTTGAGGGGCAGGGGACTCTCCCCCCACCCCAGATTTTGCTCTTGGCTCTGGAGAAGGGGCCCCGCCTCCACCACCTCCTCCAGGCCACCAGGGCCGGCACTTTTGACACACTCCATGGTGGTGCTGGTGGGAAACAGCCACAAAAGAGGGGCTGGCTTTTTGGGGAGAGGGGGAAGCGGGGTTCTCCCTCTGGCCACAAGGCAGCTCCAGCCCCACACTACACATTTCCTGCCCCCCTTGCTGGCATAAACAGGGAGGGGGGCATCATCCTCTGGCCCCCAGCTGCTGTTCTGCTCCAGTACTTTTCTGACGGGGGTGAAGTGGGGGTCCTGCGTTTGGGCAGCTCTGACCTCTCCCTAGTTGTGCTCCAAATTGTGGCGGTGGGGGGGGGGAGCTGTGTGCAGGAGGCCTCAGTCTGGATGTGCTGCTATTGGGGTGGGGGGTGAATGTGAGGATCCCAAGCTGGGATTGCCCCCCCTCCCAGTATGGACCAAAAAGTAGCATGGCTTCAGCCTTGCGGGGAGGGGGGGAGATGTGTGTGCGTGTGTGTGTGCGTGCGTGCGTGTGTGTTTTACGGCCAGTACCCCTGTGTTGTGTTCCTAGGTGAGGGGGCTCCATGGGTGGCGGCGGCAGGGGGGCACCAGGGTGAAGGAATGGGTGCTTCTTCCTGCTGGGTCCCCCAACCCTCTCTGTAAAGATTCCAGAATAAACGGTACGAATCAGAGCCTGCCATGCTCCTGTTGCCGACTCCAGGGGAGCCCTCAGCCTGGCACACTCCTACTCTGTGGCAGCCCCCCCCATCATTCCTCTTGATCTGTGTGGGATGGGGGGTGCAGGCAGGGGAGGGCTACCAGGCAGGCAGCAGGAGGAGGCGCCCAGCAAGACCCCCATATTGCAGGGGGTTGGACTAGAAAACCCTTTGGGTCCCTTCTCATTCTGTCCTCCTCCCCTGCTTGTATCTCCGTTGAAGCCTACCTGGTCTGGCCGCTGCATTGGAGGAACTGGGGGGCCAGGGAGGGCCTGCCTCTCTCCCCTGGGGGTCAGCCAGATGCCCTCACAAGGTTCCCTTCCAGAAGGGGCTCCTGCCCGCCCCCTTGAGAGACCCCCTGGCTCCTCCTTCCTGGCTCCCCCAGCAGCCGAGGCCCCCTCCCCATGTAGTCTGTTGCGTTTCAGTCGAAGAAGCATGACTTCCATTACTAAGAGGAATGACGGAGAGATCCAGGAGGAGGAGGAGCGGGTGACCTTGGAGACAATCAAAAGGGTTGCGTAGAAATAAAGTGCAATGTTCTGTTTCTAACTGGAGAAAAGCTCTTATGTGGGGATCCCTTCTACGAACCGACCTTCTTCTGCGGGGGGATTCCCTCTGGGGTACACAGGGGGGGGGGCAAGAGAGCTGGCCAAAGCTGCCTCAGCTGAGAGTGGACTGGCATTTGCTCAAGCCCAGCTGGCTGCCCCATGGCACTGGCATGTCTAGGGCCCCTAACAGGCAGGCAGGCAGGCAGGCAGAGGGTTCTTTGCCTGGTGGTGGAGAGCAGGAGCCCTGCGGGATCAGGCCACAGACCTATTTCCAGGGTGGGAACGCTCAGGCCTGGTGGCCAAAGGCAGCTCTCCAGCCCCCCCCCCATCCCTCACAGGCCCTGCTCCCTTCCCTGCTTCTCTGAGGCATAGCTGGGATGGGGCTTTGAAAGGGGGGGGGGAGTACTGGAAGAGTGAGTCTCCCTCTTCCTGGGAGGGTGCAGGGCTGGTGAGGGAGCCGGCTGGCCTTTGCTGCCGCCCAGAGATGTCAGGAAAGCAGCAAAGGAGCTTACGGTAAGCACAGAGCTTGGAGAGCCAGATTCCCAGTTCCAGCCTCAACTAGCTAATCTGGAGAAAGCAAAGGCAGCTGTACTGGCTCCTTTGTTCTCAGAATAGTGCCAAGGTGAGAGAGAGAAGTGGGAGGAAGCTGTAGAACAGGATGCAACCAAGGAAGTAGCCTGAGCAGCAGGGAGCTCCGCTCAAGAGGTGAGAAGCACAGGGACAGCCGGGGGGCTGGGACTCCCTCTTCCCTGTGCAGACCTTCTTTTGCAAGCCGAGTTGCACCCAAACGTCCAACGTAAAGCCTCTTCGTTGCCTGGGGAGGGGGGTGTCTGGTTTTTGCATGATTTGTCACTTCTCTCGTCTTGCCCACACTTGTGTGGCTCCTGCAAGGTTGCCTTCCCCCAGATCAATGTAATCCAGTTCCTGCTGCAGCCAGGCAGGTGCCCAAGGGGGGGTGTCTGAGCTGGAGGTCCTGATCTGGCCCCCGGCCCCCTGTTTTCTACCTGGGAGAATTGTCCCGTGGGGACACAAGGACCTGCCCCGCCTGACACAGCTCCCTTTGAGCAAAAAGCTGGCGTGCTCTCTTGAGTTCAGTTTTTTAAAAAGACTAGTAAAGGGACTTGGAAGAGGTGTCTAAAATTATGCATGGTGCGGAGAAAGTGGATAGAGAGAGCACGCACACACACACCAGGATACTAGACCATAAGAAGCACCAGTCCAGCATCCTGCTCTCACAGCCAACGGGATGCTCTTGGGAAGCCAGTGACCAGCACCTGCTCCTCCTGTGGCCGCTTCTGGGAGTCGGAGGGATGCTGCCTCTGACAGGAGGGAGCACACTGGGGGAGACACTGGAGGAGGGCGCCATCCCTTGCCCTGCTAGAAGAAATGCCTTCTCTTCCCCATCCTGACTCTGCACTTCCTTGATTGAATCATAGAATCATAGAGTTGGAAGAGACCACAAGGGCCATTGAGTCCAACCCCCTGCCAAGCAGGAAACACCATCAGAGCACTCCTGACATATGGTTGTCAAGCCTCTGCTTACAGACCTCCAAAGAAGGAGACTCCACCACACTCCTTGGCAGCAAATTCCACTGTCCAACAGCTCTTACTGTCAGGAAGTTCTTCCTAATGTTTAGGTGGAATCTTCTTTCTTGTAGTTTGGATCCATTGCTCCGTGTCCGCTTCTCTGGAGCAGCAGAAAACAACCTTTCTCCCTCCTCTATGTGGCATCCTTTTATATATTTGAACATGGCTATCATATCACCCCTTAACCTCCTCTTCTCCAGGCTAAACATGCCCAGCTCCCTTAGCCGTTCCTCATAAGGCACCGTTTCCAGGCCTTTGACCATTTTGGTTGCCCTCCTCTGGACCCGTTCCAGTTTGTCAGTGTCCTTCTTGAACTGTGGTGCCCAGAACTGGACACAGTACTCCAGGTGAGGTCTGACCAGAGCAGAATACAGTGGCACTATTACTTCCCTTGATCTAGATGCTATACTCCTATTGATGCAGCCCAGAATTGCATTGGCTTTTTTAGCTGCCGCATCACACTGTTGGCTCATGTTAAGTTTGTGGTCAACCAAGACTCCTAGATCCTTTTCACATGTACTGCTCTCAAGCCAAGTGTCACCCATCTTGTATTTGTGCCTCTCATTTTTTCTGCCCAAGTGCAATACTTTACATTTCTCCCTGTTAAAATTCATCTTGTTTGTTTTTGCCCAGTTCTCTAATCTGTCAAGGTCGTTTTGAAGTGTGATCCTGTCCTCTGGGGTGTTAGCCACCCGCAGCTTGTTCTTTTATACAGTGGTACCTCAGGTTAAGAACTTAATTCGTTCTGGAGGTCCATTCTTAACCTGAAACTGTTCTTAACCTGAGGCACCACTTCAGCTAATGGGGCCTCCCGCTGCCGCCACGCGATTTCTATTCATTCTGAAGCAAAGTTCTTAACCTGAGGTACTATTTCTTGGTTAGCAGAGTCTGTAACCTGAAGCGTCTGTAACCTGAGGTACCACAGTACATTTGCTTAGTCTATCTTTAACAATACTTGGTCACCACTTTTCTGGGGACAGGTGTAGCTGGACTGTAATTTCCAGGATCCCCCTGAATCCCTTTTTAAAAATTGGTGTTGCATTGGCTGCTTTCCAGTTCTCAGGCATGCAGGCTGATCCAAGGGACAGGGTTCATTTTTTAAAAAAGACGATTGACAGTTTCACATTTGAATTCTTAGAGAATCCTTGAGTGGGTCAGTTTCTGTTTTGTCTGTGGGCCTAGAATTCCCCTCTCATCACTGCTTCCTACCTCAGTTCCTTAGGCCTCCTTCCTGCAAATGTTAGTCCAGGCACTGGGATCTGCCCTGTATCTTACGTTGCAACTTCTCTGCAATCTCCTTATCCTCCTTTGGCACACCTTGGACTCCCTGGTCATCCCAGGGTCCAACTGCCACCATAGCCAGTCTCCTGCTACTAATACATTTAAAGAATTTGTTGTTGCTCTTAATGTTTTCAGCAATGTGCTCCTTGGTTTCAGTTTTGCCAGCCCGTTCTGTCTGCTTGCACCTGTTTCATTTTTTGCGAAAGTTTGTGTTCCTTTTTCTTCTTTTCATTTGGACAAGACTTCATTTCCCAAGAGAAGCCTTCTTGCCTCCAATAGCTTATTTGACGCTAGTTATAGTTAGGTAGCCGTGCTGGTCTGCCACAGTTGAAACAAAACAAAATAAATAAAATTAAATTTTAAAATTCCTTCCCATAGCACCTTAAAGACCTTAGAGTTAGTTATTGGTATGAGCTTTCGTGTGCATGCACACTCCTTCAGATACCTATTTGACTCTGCTCATTAACCATGCTGGCATCCTCTTGGCGTCTTTCCTGATCTGCAGTATACACCAGCTGAGCTCCTAGTGTGTCTTGGGAGGTGGGGGGGGGGGGGTCACCAGCTTGGATGGCTCTGAAAGAGGAGGGGCAAATTCAAGATTGCAACAACAGGATATCATAAAAAGAGGAATCCTGCTACCTGCAATCTCTGAGAGCCTCACCATAAAATGCCTGAGGTTTCTTCACAAATTGGCAGCCAGCCCCCTCCCCCCATTCCTCTGGACTCCCTCACCTATTGCAGGCCCCAAAAGAAGAGGGGGAGAGGATCACTTGTGGGGCTCGGGCAGGAGGCCAGGAGAGGACTCCCTTAGTGGTGATGGAAGCAGGAGCCCCACGGCCTCCACCCCAAAGGCCTTGGTTGGTGGGGGCACTACAGGGAGAGCTCCAAGAAACAGCCCCCCCCCCCATATTTCGGTTCCTTGGAAAGGAGCGGCTGGGAGCACGTCGAGACATGCCGAAGGAAGCAGAGCCCAGTCCTGCCACGTCCAGCAGACCGCGACCAAGCAATGGCATGCGGAAGGCGGGCTAAGGGGCCCCTGCAGGACCCAGGAGTCCGGCCGCTCCCTCTCTTGTAGTCCCGCCTCCCTCCCGCTGGGGGGCGGGAAGCACAGAAGGGATGAAGTCTCTTTGTAGGTCGGGGTGTGGCGCACACCTTAATATCTCTGAAAGAAAACCAACAGCACCTGTTGTGACGGAGTCAGGCAATGGGGGGGGGGCTCCTTGCTTGGGGACCTCCAGCCCCCCCGTCACCAGCTGAGATGCGGCCGCCGGTGCCCTTTTCTGGGCGTCTTCAGCCACCAGCTGAAAAATAACGGCTTAGGGACCCGAGATGGAAAAGAAGGAACAGTTGTTCGCCCCGTCGCGGCTCGGCAGTGCCGCCCCCGGGATGGACGCCGAGGCAGCCGTCGGTTGCCGCGGGACAGGGGCGAGCGAGTCTTCCTGGACCTCGCCAGCCTCGCTTTGTGTAGGCAAGCCAGGACTGTCCACTCCGGTGGGGAGCCCTTTCCCGTCGGGGCTTCTTTGAAACCTGCGTGAGCTGCGGGGCAGAGGCCTGGCTGGGCAGCAACACGTCAGCGGGGAAGGGAGGAGGAGGAGGAGGCAACTGGGCGCCACCCTCGCCTGGCTTTTTCGGTGTTATCCCTCCGCGTGCCAGCTCTGGGCTTCATCGGGAAGAGGTCGATGCTCCCGCCCCGTCTCTTGGCGCCCAAGCCCCCAGGTGATACGTCTAGAGCCAGGCTGGGTGGGGCACGTCCGAGGCCGCCCCCTTCCGATGACTCCCTGACGCCGTGGGCTGGGAGCGGACACCCCCGACGGCTCTCGACGCGTCGGCACGCCTGTACTGTGCTCTCTTCTCTTCCTACCGACAATGGTGACCGTCCGGAGCTCTCCCGCCTCGCCCACAGACTGGACGGGCCCCGCGGCGACCCCCGACGCCGACGCCTCCTCCCTCTCGACGGCTTCTCTGCCCCCGGACCCCGCGGCTGCCTCGCCGCCGCCTCCGCTGCCGCCGCCCCCGCCGCCGCCCGTCGGCTTGAGCCCCGGAGCGCCACGGGCCTGGCCGGGCGGGGAGGGTTGCTCGGGGCGGCGGGCGGCGCGGCTGCGCAACTTCAACTGGGAGGCCATCCCGGCAGAGCGCATCCGGGGGCGCCACAACCTCTGGACTGCGCCCGGGCGGCGTCGGGGCGACGGCTTCCCGCTGGACCTCGCCCTCCTGGAGGAGCTTTTCGGGCAGCGCCCGGAGCCGCCCGGGGGGAGCCTGCGGGGGCAGCCGCCGGCGGAGCAGGTGAGCCCGACGGGGCGGACGGCGACGCAGCGGGCTTCGCCCTCCCGGGCGCCCGGAAGAGGCCCCTGGGAGCCCCGTGGGTGGCCGCCTGTCTGGGGAAGTGGGGGGCGCGAAGAGATCCGCTGGGGTGCCAGACGCAGCCTTGAGAAAGGAGAGGGTTGTGCGGCCCAGAGTGTGAGCAGAGTGGAGGGAGAAGGCGTGGGGCTGGCCTGCTCTCTCCCTCAGGATAGGGGACCTGGCTTGGTGGTGGTGGGGTCAGTCCCTGGCTCAGACCCCAGCGGAGAGGATCCAGCGGAAGGAGAGGGGAGCGTCTGATCTCTCTTCTCCTGTCAGGGCAGAGGGAGCACCCTGAGAGCCGGGGGGCCACTTCCCTGCTTTTGTCCAAGCTAGCTGCCTTTCGTGGGGCCACCTGTCCCTTGATGTGAAATGCAGCTCTTGGCACCTGGAATCTGGAGCCTTGGAGCTGGGCTGGGGGGCTCAGTGCCAGTCAGGTGGCGTCTTTCAAGGGTGACGCCTGCCCTGGTTGGATGAGAGAGCAGGGGAAGCAGCAGGAATGGTGGATCTTGCTTGTAAGAAAGCCTCTTCCCAGAAGGCAGCTGCCTGAGTGAAGCAGGACCGGGCTCTGGGCTTCTAGGAAGGTGCTGGGACAGGATCAGGGCCTCGGGGGTGCAGAGAGGTTTGTGTGTGTGACGCGTGGTGGCCGGGAGAGGCTGCACTTTCTTGCTCAAGTCCTTCCCTGCTTCTCTCCCTCCCTCCAGGTCTCCCTGCTGGACTCCAAGAAGATTCTGAACCTGGGCATCTTCCTCAAGCAGTTCAAGAGGTAGGTGGCAGGGCAGGCAGGAGGGCGGCCTTGGGCTGGCGCACAAGGTGCCAGCCCAGGTAAGGGACCTGCCTCGTCTCTCTTCCCAGGCCGGTCCAGGAAATTGTGGCCGATATCCAGGATGGAGCAGGAGCCCTTTACGGGGCGGAGAAGCTGCTGGAGCTGACAAAGCTGCTGCCTGATGCGGAGGAGGTGCCTTCTGGGAAATGGGGGGGGGGCGGGAGGCTTGCTCCGCTCCCCAACTCCCAAGTGACACCTCCCCTTTTCTCTTTGGGAAGGCCAAGAAGCTGGCTGCGTTCCGAGGCTGCCAGAGCCGCCTCTCGGAGGCTGAGGTCTTTGCCCTGCTCCTCGTCCAGGTGCCCAGGTGAGAGGGTTGGCGTGGGTCCAGGGGGGAGCAGAGGCTTCAGCTGGTCCTTCTGTTCCTGCTGGGCTGCCCCAGAGCAGAGGGACAGGATGCCCACCGGGAAACCAAGTATGGTGAGGAGCGGTTGAGGGCATTGGGGATGTTTAGCTCAGAGAAGAGAAGGCTGAGAGGGATCCTCAGGTATCTGGAGGGCCAATAAATAAAGAAATAATTAACGGTGGAAGATGGAGCTGTTTTCTGCTTCTCTGGAGGGCATGAAACAAGGGATTCAACTGTCAAGAAAGGAGATTCCAACTAAACATGAGGAAGGACTTTCTGATGTGCTTGATTCCTTCGGAGGTTTTTGAGCAGAGGGGGTGTGGCACCAGCCATGGATTCTGGAGCTGCCATTCCTGCGCTGCAGCGGCTGGACTAGAGGATCCTTGAGGTCCCTTCCAGCCCAGCGGTTCCATGATTCCCTCCTTCTCTTTGCCCTGCCAGCTACGTCCACCGCCTGAAGCTCCTGGTCTTGCAGGAGGAGTTCTTCCCCCAGCTCAACTCGCTGCAGTCGGCCATCCAGATTCTGACAGAGGCAGCCCTAGGTACCCATGGGGAGGGGGGGCATCTGAGTCCTGGGCATGTGGCTTGACTCTCCCCCCTCAGGGGCCAGACATTGCCTGGAGGCTGCAGAATGGCTATCAGCTTGTCCTGGTGGCAATGCAAAATTCTGAAGTGGGGATCTGTCGGCCATTCAGTTGACAGGGCTGGTGTCCCAGAGGCACTGGAGTCACCTGGCAGGGGTGCCATCCCACACACCCCTTCACCAGTATGGACTGGATTGATCTCTGCTGCCCCCCCCCATGATCTCATTTCCCCCTCCCCTCTCCCAGAGTTGTTGGAGTGTGAGGAGCTGCACGAACTCCTCCAGCTGGTGTTGAAGGCAGGAAACTACATGAATGAGGTGAGGGGGGTTGGCTGGCAGGGGAGGGAGAGGGCTGCCTCTGGTCTGGCAGGCAGGAAATGCCACCCTCTTGGGTCAGCCTCCAGGCCCCATGGGGGTTGGGAGGGCAAGGGGGTTGAGGGGTCCCCAGTTGTAGGGGGGTGCTCCACTCCCGGTGTGCCTCAGAGGTGGCGTGACCTGAGCAGGAGGGGGCACCCACTTTCTCTGCTTCTCAGCCCTCCAGCTGGCAATGGAAGCACCTCCTTGCACCCCCACAAAAGCCTGCAACAGAGGGCAGAGGACCTGCCCTTCAGCGGGTGGCGCAACCTGGCCCCGAGCACCATGGGCAGTTGGCACCTGGCCAGCCAGGGCTTCTTTGGGTATGGGGCTGGTGAGAAGAGCTGGAAGAAAATGTGGCTTTGGGGAGGGGCAGCAGCAGGGCAGGGCGTGAGCTGTGGCAAAAGAGGCTGGCCGTTGGGCTGGGATGCTCTGGCCTGTGACTCCACCTGAGGACAGCCCTGTTTCAGGAAGGTTTTAATGTTTGATGAGGATGTTTATCTGTCTTTTTGTTGGAAACTGCCCAGAGTGGCTGAGGCAGCCCAGTCAGATCAGTGGGGTAGAAATTCTTATTATCAATATTATCCATAGACCGGTGTCCCCTCTTCCTGCAGGGAGGCTACGCTGGCTCTGCGCTGGGCTTCCGCATGTCCTCGCTGCTGAGGCTCACGGACACAAAGGCCAACCGGCCAGGAATGGACCTCCTGCACTTTGTTGCCCTGGTGAGCTCTGCCAGCCCCTGAGGGGGCACAGCAGGTAGGAAGGGGGCCGGTGGGGTGTGCCCCATGTGGGTGGTGCCCTCAGCAAACGCCGGCAGAAGGAGGGCCAGAAAAAGGACTCCTTTCCTCATGATCGATCCCTAGTGTGGAATTTGCCCCTTTCACAGCTGCCATCCATGGGGTTGACGTCTCCAACGACCATCCACTATGACCCCAACATCTTGCTCCTGGTCTGTGTATATATATGTGAAATTAAGATGGTTTTGCTCCAGCTTGCACTCTTTACACCTGTTCACATTGAATTGCTTTTGCCATTGGGCCACCCATTTCCTCTGTTTATGAAGAGCTCCAAAAGAACCTCTGCAATCTGTTTATTTCTTTTTTTTACCATCCTGAACAATTTAGCATCAACAACATGATTTGGTGCCTCACTGCTCACCTCTTGCTCCAGTTTAAAAACAGATACTGGTCCTTTGGCCGGTCCGTTAGTTCCTCCTCTCAGTTTCCTGTTCTGGAAGAGGACCGGGGCCACCTTGGCCCTGCTTTTCTCCCTGTGGGGCGGAAGGTGTTGTTCTCTTCCCATGGACTCTAATCAGCTTCCTGGCTGAGCGGGGACTGAGCCAGATTCCCCCTCCCGCTCTTTCTCCCCTTTCCCTGCCTTGACCCTGCAGTCGTCTTCCTGGAAGGACAGGCCAAGGTCTCCAGGGCTAACTCACCACCTCCTTCCCCTTGCAGGAGGCAGAGAAGAAGGACCCAACTCTCCTGCAGTTCCCCAGAAAGCTGCAGCACGTGGGGCCTGCTTCGCGGTGAGGAAGGGCAGTGCTCTGTGCCCCCATTTGGGTTGGGGGGCATCCCTTCCAGTTCCTGCCCTTGCTCCAGTTTCTCATTTGCTCTCTTGTCTTTCCTGCTGGGCCTTCTGAAGCGGACTGGGCTTGCAGCTGGGGGGGGGGGGGCATGAAGCAAGTGCATCTCCCCAACAGCGTGTGACTCCCTTTGCAGGATCGTTGACCAGGAGGTGATGGTGGAGCTGGAGAGCCTGGAGCAGCGCCTTCTGAGTGCCCAGGGGGAGCTGGGGGGCCTGGGGCTGGGCGCCCAGGTGGGGCCCTTTGTGCAGGTGGCTGCGGTGGAGCTGCAGGCCGTCAGGGCCTCCCAGGAGGGCCTGAGCCAGACCGCAGCCACCCTGTGCGCCTTCCTCTGCGAGGACCCAGAGACCTTCAGCCTGACTGAGTGCTGCCGCATCTTCCAGTCCTTCGGGGAGCGGTTCCTGGCTGCCGTGCAGGTAAGACCTGGCCCCCTCCAACGTGCTGGTGGGGTGGTGGCCTGAAGGGGGCAGTCTATGGGCCTCTGGAGGGACATAGGAAGGCGTCTTGTACCTACTCTGGTCATTGGCAGCCAAGGCTCTCCAGAGACATTCCCAGCCCCGTCTGCAGGCGCCCCTGGTGGGAACTGAACCCGGAGCCTTCTGCAGGCTGCTGAGTCAAGGGCCCTCCCCCCGCTCCTTCTCTCCCCTCCCCCAGTCCTGATCACACATGAACCTTCCCCCCATCTGGAGGGCAGGGGTGGGAGCAAGGGACTCCTCTGAGGTGGGGAGGCAGATCAGGCAGGCTTAGAGCCCCAAAACACCACCACAAACTGGCTTATAAGTAGAAAACCAAATTTGCTAGAATAATAGCTAGAATAGAGATAGACTTGTAACCATTCAAGCAACAAACATACTAAGGTGCCATGTGCAAAACAAAGGCTGCTCAACAAGTAGTGTTTTCAAATCAAAGCCCCCACCCCTCTGTCCGAAAAGCTGCATGACACAAAATAGCACTCCAATTACAATGTATGGTAAACCATAAAAATTAGAAAATATCAGTCTCATACTATACCTTACCCAGTCATACAAAATGGTTTGCTCAGGATAAAGAAAGTGCCTGATGAAGCGTGTAGCGAAACCTGTAAAATATCCGGAGAACGGGTCTCCTTTTGCCCACTTGCGTTATTCCCACCAGGGGGTGGCTTTGATTTGCCTCCCCGTGATTGATCCATGCACACATTGCGTGAACGGTTACAAGTCTATCTCTATTCTAGCTATTATTCTAGTAAATTAGGTTTTATACTTACAAGCCAGTTTGTGGTGGTGTTTTGTTGCACTGGCTTAGAGCTCCCTCACCAGTCGGGGCAGAGACTGCGGGTTGGGTTCCTTGCAGTGGCTCTGCCGGGGGCACCTGAAGGTCCTTGCATGGCCTCCTGCTTTGCTGTGGCTCCAGCACCCCCTTCCGGTGCTTCCACTGGTTGGGTGAGCATGTGCAGAGTGCAGGATCAGGTCCTGGCTCCCTCCTTCACGCAGCCCATAGTGGGACTGTGGAACTCCCTCCCACAGGAGGCAAGGCGGCCACCAAGCTGGATGCCTTGAAAGGAGGATTAGACAAATTCCTGGAGGTGGGGAGGTCTTTGGAAGGCAGCTAGCCAGGGTGTCTCTGCTTCTGGGAAGCGCAGGAGGGGAGAGGTTTGGTGCTCGGAGGGGTCCCCGGTTGGCCCCGGTGAGAACAGGATGCTGGCGCAGATGGCTCTTCTTCTCATGTCCTCCTCCTCCTCCTCCCCCCCAGGACAACCAGGCTCGAGAGGCCGCCATGTGCCGGCAGCAGCGCCAGGAGCGCGAGCGCAAGGAGAAGCAGAAGCGGCGCTCCATCGCCAGCTGCTCGGCCCGCGACCCTGGCCTGCAGGACGTGGAGATGGACCTCTTCTTCCTGCGACCCCCTCGCTCCCGGAGGCGCAACCGGTCCCAGCAGGGCCTCCGCCTGGCCCTGGAGAGCCCCCAGAGCACCAGAGAGAGGGCCCTGCCCCTCGGTCGCCGGAGACACACGCTCACCGCCCTGCCCCCCTGCACAGAGCCCCCCAGGCCAGCGGAGCCGGAAGCTGCCCCGGCCACCCCCACCCTCCCCCCTGGCTGTGGCAAGAAGGCCGGGGGGCTCTTTGGGCAGGGCCTCAAGGCCTTCCTCAGGTCCCCCCCCATGGCCACGGTGGCCGCCTCCCCCCAAGGCCCTGCCTCGCCCGAAGCCCCCAGCGGCTTCCGCTTCCCCACCCTGTTCCAGAAGAAGACCCCCCAGGAGGGCCCAGAGCTCCCCACCTCCCCCCTGGCTTCCCCCAAGGACGTCTCTGCCCTGGTGGGCTTCTTCCGCCGCCTGAGTGTGGGGGAAAAGCCACGGCAGGGAGCCCAGCTCTGAGAAGGGGCGGCTGGGAGGGTCCCAGGGCAAAGCTGCTGCCAGGCAACACCCCCTCCAGAACATGGGGGGCCAGTTGGGGGGGCCCTTCTCTCCCACTGCCCACCTTGTACTGCCTCCACTCAAACTCTGCACTAGCCTAGAAGAACTGGTGTCTTGCTGCTCCCCTCCTCGCCCCCCATCCTTGCAGGATCAGCCCCTCTTTCTCAGACCACAGAGCCAAGGGCTGTGGCCGGCAATTTTAAAGTCCCCCCCCCACCAATAAAAACACTTCTATATTCTCTCATCTCCCCTTTTTTAAAACTGTTCTGTCCGTTGACTCTCAATAAACTTTTTTGGAGCTATTTCTTGCCTGAGTGTGATCTGAGCCTTTGCAAACTCTTCCTTCCGGTGGGCTGGGGGGGTGTTTAAAACTGGTGATTGACATCATCACCAACTGTCCAATCAAGGCCAAGGCACCTGCATCCATTGGATCCTCATCATGGTTCGATTTTGCTCAATAGCAACTCAGGGGAATGGGGAATAAAGCTTATTCATACAACAACAACAACCCACAGACATGTAACTGAAACACGTCTCTTCGCTCTGTTGATATACAAAGCTTAAAAGAAATGATAAATGGAGATTATATAAAATGGAATTACAAACGATACAGAATGTATACAGAAAAGGGGAAATAGAAAATTGAGTATATGGTAATTCACACAAATATGACTGATTGAATGATTAATTTTCTATTTCAATCCAATAATGGCCTCATTATACCAATTGTTGTTTAGTCATTTAGTCGAGTCCGACTCTTCGTGACCCCCTGGACCAAAGCACGCCAGGCACTCCTGTCTTCCACTGCCTCCCGCAGTTTGGCCAAACTCATGCTGGTAGCTTCGAGAACACTGTCCCACCATCTCGTCCTCTGTCGTCCCCTTCTCCTTGTGCCCTCCATCTTTCCCAACATCAGGGGCTTTTCCAGGGAGTCTTCTCTTCTCCTGAGGTGGCCAAAGTCTTGGAGCCTCAGCTTCAGGATCTGTCCTTCCAGCGAGCACTCAGGGCTGATTTCCTTTAGGATGGAGAGGTTGGATCTTCTTGCAGTCCATGGGACTCTCAAGAGTCTCCTCCAGCACCAGAATTCAAAAGCATCAATTCTTCGGCGATCAGCCATATTTATGGTCCAGCTCTCACTTCCATACATCACTACTGGGAAAACCATAGCTTTTACTATACGGACCTTTGTTGGCAAGGTGATGTCTCTGCTTTTTAAGATGCTGTCTAGGTTTGTCATTGCTTCATGGATCACTGCCTTGCAGTGGCGAAGGGGCTTGACTAACCTGGAGAAGCTATGAGCTATGCCGTGCAGGGAAACCCAAGATGGACAGGTCATAGTGGACAGTTTTGACCAAACGTGATCCACCTGGAGCAGGAACCAGCAACCCACTCCAGTATCCCTGCCAAGAAAACTCCATGGACAAAGACAACAGGCATTATACCAATGCCAAATTATAATACAATTACTAATACCAATTGTTCAAATACAAAATGATATAATTTAGGTGGCCTCCTGTGTGCTAGAACTGATGGCTGATGATTTTATTTCTGTGTTCCAAAATATTATGGATTTCAATTACATCCCGGTCAAAAAAATAATCCCTTATACAACTACAATATTCACTCCATAAATAATAAAGGATGGGGAAGAGTCAGCTCTAAGTTTCCATCGTAAACCTTTTCATAACCATCGTAAAATAGAGTTTCCCTCCCTTTTTCCTTTTTTTTACACGCTCAGTTCTGTATAACGTCGTCTTCCATATCTATAATATGGATCAGGGTTGGTTTCTAACTGCCTCAACCATTCCTCATCAGGCTTGGTTTCCAGACCCTTCACCATCCTGGTCGCCCTCCTCTGCTCACCTTTCAGATGCTCAATATCTTTCTTCAACTAGCCTGCACTGACTGGCAGCAGCTCTCCAGGGGTTCAGGAGGGGGGGGACATTGTCAGCCCCCCCGGAGATGCCGCCCAGGATGGAAATTCTGAATGCAAAGTTGATTGTCCAATCCTGCGCTATGGAGACCCCTAGCCTGCCTGGGAGGATGTGGGGCTGGTCTCCCTTTGGGAATGGGGCTGCAGGAAGAAGGAGGTGAAAGGAAGATGCAGCCCAGCTGCAGGCGGAACAGCAGGGGCCTCCGAGTTCTGAAGGAGGAGCATCACCAGGTGGGCCCAGGTCCAGGTGAGGGGGTTGCCATGGTGACAAGGACCCGCCCTCCTTTGTGACATCTCTTGCTTCTCCCTTAAAAGCCACTGACTTTCAGGCAGCCATTGTGGATTAGGAGTGAGGGGAGTGGAGGAGAGAGGAGTTGGTGGCGGTTGGAGAAGATAAGGAGAAGCGTTTCGTTTATTGTTATTTTTCCAGTTTCTTATTTTGATTTTGATTTATTACTTTGATTTATTTTATTTTATTTATTTTGATTTTCTTTTAATTCTTTATTTTAACACTTATTTTTTAGTTCTTTATTTTAATATTTTTGTTCTTTGCTTTTTATTTTGTACATAGAGGAGTAGTTAGGTGTTATGTACTGAGTTGAATAGGATCCAACTGCAGCAGTCTGATTGGTCCTAGAACAATAGGATCCAAAATGCAGCAGTCTGATTGGTCCTAGAACAATAGGATCCAAAATGCAGCAGTCTGATTGGTCCTAGAACAATGCAGCAGTATGATTGGTTGGCAGGAACCACCCAATCATGCTCCAGATAGAAGTGAATCCACAACCTGATTGGCTTACAGTAGAATTCCGGAATTAGCCAATCATGCGCAGCCCATTGTGTAAATAATGTATATAAAGCAGATACTGTGAGGGGACATTCATTCATTCCTCCTCACCAGTATGAGCTGAATAAAGAGCATGAAATCACTTTGCGACTCTGAGTATATTTCACTGGCGACGAAGGTGGGATCCCGCTGAGCTGACTGCCACACACAGCACCGCAGCACCGCCAACTGCCGCACCGCTGCCTTGCACCGTGTATCCAGGCTTCAGCTCCGGGACACAAGGAACTCAGAATGGCAGCCGACAGCAGCTTCTCGCCGTTCAACCCAGCATCTGGAGACTGGGAAGCGTATGCCTCCCGTTTCACCTTCCTCCTAGAAGCCAAAGGGGTCACTGACGAAGAAGACACCAAGAAGAGGGCAATATTCTTCAGCGTCTGCGGAGAGGAGACATTTCAAATCGCCCGGGCTCTCCTTGCGCCTAAAGACGTCGCTACTGTTCCATACAAAACAATAATGGAACAGCTGAAGGGGCACTTTTCGCCGCAGCCCTGAGTGGTGGCTCGTCGAAATGCCTTCTACGCAAAGCGGCAAGCCCCTGGGGAAACCATAACTGGGTTTGTGACCTCTCTCCGCCAAGCCGCCCGGTTCTGCAACTTCTCAGAGCTGGAGAACATGCTTCGTGACCGCCTCGTCGGTGGCCTGAAGGATGAGAAGCTGCAACGACGCCTCTACGCTAAGAAGGACCTAACGTTCCAGGTCGCTCTGGAGGAGGCCCTGGCAACGGAAGCTGCCTAGAGGTCGACGCAAGAGGCACTGCCAAGCCTGCCGTCCCAACCAAGGGTCCACCACGAAGACCTCACCGACGACTCAGGATCCGACAGGGAGGAGGTGCACCGAGTACAGCTGCGCACTCAAGCAGCCCACATACCACAGCTGCCTCGGCGAGAAGGAGGAACAGCGCAAGCTGCGGGGAAAGTCACGAGAGGAGGACCTGCCGTTTCTGCAACGCAGAGTGCAGGCAGTGCAGAAAATCGGGACACATCGCCCGGGTGTGTCGGGCTCGGCCCACCCGACGCCAGGCATCAGATGACCAATCCAAGAGCCCCAGGTCCCGGGGCCCAATGCACCAAGGCAACTCGACGGAGCTCACGGACTTCCAGGTATACCAGTTGCCCCAGCCCAATGTAATGAAACTTTATGTAGAGGTACAGATAGAGGGGGCCCCATGCCGCATGGAGCTTGACACAGGTTCAACTCTATCCATAATCTCGGCAAGGACTTTAAGGAAACTGTGTCCTACTGGGGGTCCCAAACTCAGGCCGGCCCCATTCACCCTCCGGGACTTCCAGAAATGTAAGGTCCCCACAATGGGGGTGGGGACCTTCAGGGTGCAATACCGAGGGCGGACGCGGCAACTGGACTTGCTTGTGGTCAAGGGCCCCCACATTAGCTTACTGGGATTGGCATGGTTTGGACCACTGGGGCTAGCCGTCACCGGGGTGAACCACACTAGCTTACAAGTGGACATGGACGCCATATGCAAGGAATTTCCAGGGGTTTTCGATGGGAAATTGGGACAGTATGCGGGCCCCCCCATTGCTCTACAGCTTGACCCCGCAGTACGACCGGTCAGGCTCAAGGCCCGCCGGGTCCTGTTCGCCCTGAAACCCCGTATAGACGAGGAATTGAACCGACTCGTGGAGCAAGGAGTGCTGGAGCCGGTGCCTAATGCCCCCTGGGAAACCCCAACCGCCACACCCGTCAAGCCTAATGGTTCGGTCCGCATCTGCGCAGACTACAAATGTACCATAAACAAGGCCCTCACGGCCCACGCATACCCAGTGCCAGTGGTCAGCCATGTCCTTGCCACCCTGGCTGGGTCAAAATTTTTTGGCAAGCTGGACTTGGCCCAAGCATATCAACAGCTGCCAGTAGATGAGGCCACAGCAGAGGCACAGACGATTGTGACGCACAGAGGAGCGTTCAGGGTAAAGCGGCTGCAATTCGGTGTCAGTGTGGCACCAGGCATATTCCAGAATCTAATGGACTCTCTCCTTAAAGGGATTCCTGGCGTCACCCCCTTCTTCAATGATGTGTTGATTGCCGGGCCCACACCAGAGGAGTTTGAGGACCGCCTCTGCACCGTTCTGCACCGTTTCCAGACGGCGGGTCTCAAGGTGAAGCGGGAAAATTGTCTACTAGGAGTGCCTCAGGTGGACTTTCTGGGATTTATGGTGGACGCAGAAGGGGTCCACCCGACTGGGGGACAAGGTACGGGCCATTTGTGATGCCCCAGCGCCCAAGAGCAAGACTGAACTTCAGGCCTTCTTGGGACTATTGAACTTTTACCATTACTTCCTTCCCCACAAGGCGGCGGTAGTGGAGCCCCTACACAGACTCCTGGACAAGCGGGCCCCTTGGGTGTGGGGCCAGTGCCAGGAGGCCGCATTCCAGGCAGTCAAGGACTTGTTTGTCTCAAACTCGGTCTTGGCACACTTCGACGAGAGGCTGCCGGTGGTGCTAGCATGCGATGCCTCGCCCTATGGCATTGG